TTGTCCGGTGGCACGTCGGGATCATCGGCAACCTCGACAACCTCGATAGCCTCGACGAGTCCTCGACGCCTTCGTTCGAGCTCGGCACCCGGCAACCGACGTGTCACCCGGGCAGGATCCGCCATGATCCTCGGTGCATCAGGGGGTGATGGCTCAGGGGGCAACAGTTCAGGGGGTCACAGGTCCGAGGTGACCGAATTCGAGGGGGGCGGCGCTGAACTGATTTAATCATGATTGAGTCACTCACCGTGTTGACGTTCAACGTCCGATCGATGAAGAACGCAGTCAACCAAGTCAAAATCATCCGTTATCTCAAAACCCTTCGGCCGGCCCCTGCGGCCATCCTCCTGCAAGAGCACCACCTCAGCTACAACGCGTCGCGCGAAGGCTTCGAGAGTGCTTGGCCGGGGGCTTGTATTCGTTTCACTCCTCATGTCCTTACCCTCATACCCGATGGCTCACCTTTGGCGGGCCATCTCCTTTCCTCTACCCCGGTCGTCTTTGCAGGAGCTCCTCGTTTCGACGGTCGGATTCTGCGCTCGGTGTTTCGTCTTGAGGAGCTCGATGTCGAGATCATCAACATGTACGCGCCGGTGCAGGAGGACGATCGTCGCGACTTTTTCGGGCTTCTGCACTTCAACGCCCCGAGACCCAAGACTCTTCGGATCTTGGCCGGCGATCTCAACGATTGTCCGGATGTATCGGTCGACCGAGTGTCCATCACCGATCGCGCTTGGACTCCTGTATCGCACTGGCAGACCTTGCTGTCAAAGATCGCGTTCAAGGCACTCGACACGGTCCGACATGTCCATCCTTGCACCCCTGCATTCACTCGTCCTCACTACCGTGGTAGAGGGGAAAAGCGAAAGATTTGCTCGTGGTCGCGGATCGACTATATTCTTGTCCAATGCAGTTGGGCGAACCGGTTGTTGAGCGCTTCTACGCTCTTCGATGCGCCCTGTTCGGACCACAGACCTGTAGTTGCGACTTTCGCTTTGCCTACATCGAACACTGATGCCGAACCCCCCCTTTCTCTTCCCTCCACGAGCGATTTCATTTCGAGGCTCAACCCAATGGTCTTTGACGATCAAGACTTTGTCGCATCGATTCCCGGGGTCGTCGACGAGGTCTATCGAAGGCTCGAGGGGACCGCTCCGCTCGGCGACGTCTATGACGCCGCTCTGCGGGCGGTTGCAGTCGCTGGCCATGCACGATACCGCTCGACTCGTGCCGACATGCGCCGACTGCGGGCCGAGAGCCAATCCGTCATGGAGGCTTTGGAGGCACGCGGTGAGCACATGAATGAGGCCGAGCGCGATGTGTATGCTCTTGCCAAGTCGCGGTTGGACCAGTTGGCGGTAAAGGAGGCTCAGTGGCTGCGCATTCGTGCGCATGTGCCGTCAGTCGACTCGAGGGAAGGTCAATCGGCAAGCATTCGCACGCGCCTCAACCGCCGGAGTCGCCAGACGAGCATCGTCTCGCTGGAGGATGTGGATGGCACCGAGACCGTTGACATGCAGGAGGCGCTGGGTATTGCTTCACGGCACGCGCAGTCGCTCTTCACGCCGGACCCAGCTCGTGGCGACCCGACGAACGCACGCCGGTCCCTGCTCGACCCTATTCGCGCAGCGAAATGCTACGATGACGACCGCTCGGACCCTACGTTCGGTCGTCGGCTGCCTCGTCAAGCGAGAGTGGCGCTTGACGAGCCCTTCACCCTCCTCGAGGTTGAAGCGGCGTTGAAGAAGACGGATTCGGGGCGATCACCGGGGCCCTCGGGCATTCCGTACGAGCTCTTCAAGGCGCTGCCAACCTACTTTGCTCCCAAGCTGTTGGACTTGTTCAACTCGATTTGGGAGGGCGGCAAAATGACGGCGTCCTTGGCAGAGGGGCTGGTGCGGCTCTTGCCCAAGAATAAACCGGGGGCCAATCTGAAATCACTGGGGGCATACCGACCGATCACATTGCGCGAGACGACCTACAAGGTCCTCAGCAAGGTCTTGGTGGCGCGACTCAATGGGGTGCTCGGCGAGCTTTTGCCGCCGGCGCAACACGGTTTCATGCCATCAAGACGTTCAGCGGACGCGGGAAGTCATCTCACTCTCCTTCTCGAAAAACTCAAGTCGCTAGGCACTGATGTTTTCCCCGAGGGCGCCCTCTTGTCTTTGGATCAGCAGAGCGCGTACGATCGGGTCGATCACGCCTGGATCTTCGAGGTCTTTGAGGCCTTTGGGTTCGGTGAGCGTTTCATCTCGCTGCTGCGCGCTCTCTACGATCCCGAGACTCTGGGGGTGCGCTACCTTGTCAATGGGTTCCCCACGGACTTGGTGCGGTTGCTGTGTGGTCTCGGTCAGGGGGATCCCCTCTCGTGCCCGGTTTGGAACATCACGTTCCAGCCCTTCCTCGACGCCCTCGTTCGGCGCGGGATCGCGCTCGACCTGCAGAAGGTGTGGCCAGGGGGGCCGCGTGCGCAGCTTACGCATCTGGCGTTTGCCGACGATGCTGTGGTGGTGGTGGAGTCACCGGCGGCATTGTCGAAGCTGCAAACGCTGTCGCAGACGTGGTACGAGGCTACCAACGGGAAGACCAACACGGACAAGACGCTGGTGCTACCACTCGGACCGAACTGGCTTCGGGACGAGACTGCGCAGGCGCTGCCAACGGTGCAGGAGGGGGAGAGCTTCAAGTGGTGCGGCTATGCCTTCTTTCGCCACGGTGACTCGAAACTGTTTTGGACCCATGTTCTTGACAGGATCAAGGCCAAGGCCCGCACCGCTCGAGACCGGACACTTTCGCCGAGTGGGAAGGTTTTCTATGCCAACGCTCACATCATCTCGACGGTCCTCCACGTGCTGTCCTTCGACATACCGCCTCAATGGTTCATTAAGGCGGCGGAGACGGCACTTACGGACTTTGTCTGGGGAGGAGCAGGGCGAAATACCGTCGCTCGCGATTTCGTGTTCCAGGCTCGGGAGGACGGTGGCTTGGGTTTGATTTCGATTGGCGACATCGTTCATTCGGTGGCGCTTCGATTTTGGGATGCTGTGGCGGGCTCGGACGAGGCGATCTGGGCGCCCCTAGCTCGCGAGAGCTGGAGGTCCCTCGTCGCTGCGACCCGCGATTTCAGTCCGTGGGGGTTCTTCAGCAGCACGGCTCGGGTCGAGAAGCTGTATCGCGACTCGACGCGCTGGGGGGCAGTCGTTGCAGCGGCCAGGGTCACAGTTCCAACCATCAAGTCCGAACTCCTTACGCTTCCCGAATTGCTCTCGCTTCCGCCTCGCCTCCCTTCACTCTATGCTGAAGGTGCCCAGCACGCATATGACGATGCGGACGCGGTGGCGAAGTTTGCGCAGATCGCGGACCTGTACTGGAGGGACGAAGGGAAGGGATGGGCTCTGGTTGGTCATCGACGCGGGTTCTGGCAGCACTCTAAGGAACCCGCCCTACAGCACGAGCACGTGTGGTCGCGCGTGGGTCAGTTGCTCAAGGCGAAAGCGTTGCTGCCCAAGACCGCGTTGCGACCTGCTCGGATACCTCTCAAGGAGGCTCCCCGTCCTCGGTGCTTCAACTTCTTTGGGCTCTCCCGACCTTTTACGATTCGCAAGCTTCGTCGGCTTGTGAACAAGGTGCGGTTCCCAGGGAGGGAGGACCGTGTCAAGCGTTTCCCTGATGGGACTTCTCAGAGCGATAGGAAGCGCTTCTGGAGATGGCTTCATGACCGGTTCGCGTCTGCTGTCGAGCAGGACACCCACTGGCGGCTCATGTACGACGTGACGCCGACGCGCAAGAGGCAGCATACTCAGGGTCATGCCTCTTCGCCGACGTGTCTGTTCTGTGGCAACGATGCAGCGGTCATCGAGACGGTGTCCCACTACTTTTTCGAGTGCGCGTACTCGACCAGCTTCTGGGGTGGGGTGCTACGCATTCTGCTTGACAAGCTCGGCATCGAGGATACCGACGTCGATCCGTCGACGTTCACTCCGGAGCAGCTGACTATGGGGCTCCCCCTTTTGCGGGGTCGTGGGAGAACGACCTCGAAATGGATGTGGGTTCGGCTGGCCTGCGCGATCGGTTTCCAGCGGCTGCACCTGCTCCGCTGGCGCGTTCATCAGCGGTTCGAGCTGGACAGCGTCGTGGCCCCTCCCTCGCTTCCCAGTGCGCTCAGAGCGTTCGAGCGAGATTTTCTCTCTCGAGCGGGTTTTGTGCCTGGGGTTCGAGATTGGGAGGTGTGATGACCGAGTTAAGTCCTTCCTTCCCATTTTCCTCCCCTCCTTTCCTCCCTTCCTTTTCGGTCAGAAGCTGACTGTCTTGAAACTTGTTGCGCAGTGGAAGGCTGCGCACCTCTCCCTCTCTCTACTTTGTGCAGTAGCGGTTTTCGTTCTTGGATGGATCGGCAAGCCGGGTCGATCGTCGTTGCGTTGGAGGCTTTGTGAAGTTCTCCCCTCTCTTTCCCCCCCTTTCTCCCTTCTCTTCCTCATCTCGTTCCTGTTGCTCGGTTGTTGACTACGCTTCAGCCACTTCTCCTTTTATTCCTAAGCCGTGTGTTGGATTCCGTCGAATAGATCGTTCGTTCGCGTTGGTCAAGATCTACGGCATGGATCGGGAAGAAAGGTCGCTCGTTTTTTTGGTCAATATCCTCGCGTCAAGGCGAGGCTCGTTTCGTTGTATTGGATCGTTTTCGCTCGGCCCTGACGGCTCAACAGCCAGCACTCGAGACTCAGCCAAGGGAGGACATCAGGCGCTGTCGGGGTGACGAGTAGCTCTGGCTTGGCTGCGGCCTGTCAGTCCCTGGGGACCTCTAGCTCTGGCTTCGACCCCCTCCCTTGGCCCCTCGGGTGTGTTCCCCTCCTCCTCCCCTCCTCTCTGTCTTAGTATTCCTGGTTCTCCGTGTTTCCAGTCGTGAATTTTTGTATATTCTCCCCTTTTCTTTCTCTAGGCGCTCTTGCCTGGTTTTCGAGTATCTTCGCTCCCGCTCTTGGGACGTGAAGCGGCAGCAGTACTCACCGCCCGTTGGAGTCCGCGTTAGGTGCTCGGCGGGTTTTGATCTGCGCAGCGCTCTTTGCGCGCAGGGGTTTGACTTTCACCCAATTGCTTGCCGTCGTTGCTTTATAACCTCTTTTAGCTCTTTTTGTAGCGGTCCCAGCCAACCCGAAGGATTGCAATTTATGAGCCCCAGTAATAAAAAATAAAAAAAGGGACTTCGCGGGTCAGGGTAGCTGCGCAGTCGCTCTCCTGTCTTTGTCCCGACCGAGTTGGGAAGTGGCGGCGGGGTGGGCCTCTTGTCGTTAGTACGCTATTTTATTATTATTTTATTTTATTTATCTTTTCTTTTTCTCTCTCTCTCCTTCTCTCTCTCATTCGTCTCCTGGGGGGGAGCAACCGCTTGGCTCGGGCACTTGAATCCGAGGTATCGGATTGGTGGACTTGGCCCGTTTCTCGCATCTTGCGGGCGGTTTGTGTTATCATCGTCGACTTCCATCTAGTTTTTCCGTAGGCCATTTTTTTTTTTTTTGTTTGTATGAAACTCATCGCTAACTTGCAAGACGAGAAAACCCCCTACGGAACTAAAGGAGATGCTGCCCAGTATGCACGATGATGACCACAACCGCCGCTCGATGCGTTGTAACTAGCAGAACAGACCAACCTGATACATCCGAGTTCAAGTCCCCCCCACCCACGGTTGCCAATCAGGAGAACAGGAATTGGGGGCAATATGATGAACATTGAAAAGTTTCGCGAGTGTAGAGGCAATGAGCACTGCCGTTCGAGCGAAACGAATAAGGTGCAGAAGCGAACAGGCATTTCTCTCGCCTTACTTCACTCTAAGCGCATGCGCGCCACCCCCAGGGGGGCGGCCCACCCGTCGCTTTTCCCCTCCGATGTCTCGATCGGATGCCAATGGGGTTCTCGAGCGCGGGAAGGGAATTGCGACCCTCCTTGTGTATCTTTCGGTTTGTTTGGTTGTGTTGGGATGAGGAAGATGATTAATCTTCCTGGACGAGACCCTGGGATGATGCGTACACCCCAATTCCCGAGCCCTCGGTTCGGACAGGCGCCCTGGCGCCGGACGCGTACCACAGGTCACGCCAAAAAGGAATGGAATGTGTTCTACCACCTTTAAGGATACTTTGAAGATCAATGCGAGATCCTGAAAGTATTTGTAGCGTGTGCTAGAGCGGTTTAAAGTTGCGCCGCGGCAAGCTTCCCGGTGTAATTTCTGCGAGTCTGATTCTTCTTCTCGGGCCCCGCCACCGAGACCTTTAACTTAAGGAACGATGTTTTGTAATGTAAGATTCAATCATTCAGCTCTCAACGCGGTACCTCGTGCGTACTGTGGTGAGGTGTATCCTTTTCGGAAGGCCGGCCCGGCTTGAAGTTGAATCGATCGCCGGCCGCAACTTTTCTTGTAGAACCAAATCGCTGTCCATCGCACCGGCCCGGGGGCACACCCTGGCACACCCGACGGTCCTGATCTCTTCAGGTGATTCTGCCTCTACAGAGTCAGCACCGATTTCTTTGCCCCAGATCTGCCGTCAAAATTCTTTATGTTTCCTCTCTCGCATTTTTTGTGATGTGATGTTGGTCGATTGTTCCTGGCCGCCGAATTTTCGACGAGTTGGCTCTTCGTAGGCGGACACCCACTTTACATAAGATGCATTTCCACCAGCTGAAATGCGGATGACTTGCAAGTTCAAGCTTTTAAACGGCGCTGGATTATCGTTAGCATCCATACATAATGCCGCGAGTAAATGGTGCATTTACCAATTACGCGCGCGCGTTTACCCCCGAAGCTTGACCCATCTACCCAGGTAGTAAGGTGCAAAGTTCACTTACAAATGGTGCATTCTTCGCGCAAGTTTGGTGCGTTTGCCCCGGAAGAAAGGTGCGTTTACCAATTAAGGATGGTGCATTTACCACGTAGCGGGGCAATCCGCTGTATCTCGTGTAGTATGCCATGTATCACCCTGAAACTTGACGAGCCCTTTTACATGACCACCAAGTACGTCCACCCTTGGTAAGACGCACTCTCACCCGGATCTCATGTAGTTGAAAATCGTGCCCGTACTCCCCCCCCCCCCCACGGGCTCGACGAAGGCCCCCAGGCATCGAAATATTCACTCTTTCTTTTACTGGGTACTAAAACGGGTCAAGTGATCCGATCATGCGTGTCACTGCCCAAGCAAAGTAGGCCCTGCATCCACTGCACAGCCGCGCATCGCCGCCAGCGACCTTGCTCAATTTTGTCTGGGTGCACGTAGCCTGCTTGACGCGTCGCGTCGCGCCAAATGCCTACTTCTACTTTCGACTCATGTTCACCGCGCCACGCCAGTTCCTGCCATCCGTTGCCATCGACCGATACTCGCCTTGGTTCCAAAACCCGTGTCGCATACGTCATGTCCAGTCAGCAGATGAATGCAACGCTCCAGAATAAGGGTGGCCGACCCCGCATTGGGACCCGACCAATCGACATGACCCGCCCACCTGCACGTGGCACCTCCCAGATGTCCTCGACTACGTCTACCCAGAAGAAAGACTTGGGCCAGCGGGAACCCGATATCATTGACCAATCTCCCTCAGTGACGCACTCCAATCAAATCTCAATGACTCCTGAGGGCTGCTCCGACGATGTCGACTCGAACGCCGACTCAGACCCCGCCGTCGACGACTCCGAAGCCAGCTCCTCCGATGGCGGCGAAGAAGCCATGGATCGACTGCGCCAAGTCGTCAACCTCCTCGAAAATTGTGCACCCAACCATCTACAGCTGGAGTATGACACAATGCAAGCCAAACGTCAAGCGATCATGTCGTCGAACCTCCTCTGGTCGGCGGAAGAGAAAGCCGACTACGGGCAATGGCCGCTAATTCTTGGCGACCGAAGGAAAGCAGATGAATGGACGCTCAAGGACACCATACCAATTCTCAAGCTTCCTTTGTACATGGCCACCGAAGTAGGTCGATACTGGTTCTAAGCATAAGCAGTCATTGATGGCTAGTTGAAGTTGCTGATTAGGAAGCAAAACTGACAAAATTCTTCCTCACCGATCCTCCTCCTATCCTTCATTGGCGAAACCAACCGGAACAGGAGCATGAATGGACGGCCTGCAAATACGAACGTTGTCTCGCCGTAGTAGAAACATCTCACGGTGCTCCATCGATCTCTTTCCATCAGCATCCGGCGGATCACCTGACATTGATCGAATGGCACCCGCTGATCGGCCACAATTTGCAATCCACTTGGAAGGAATCACTCAAAGAAGTGCTTCGCATATCGCACCAGTGCTCGGGCGCTTGCAACTCCGAATGCGGATCTCAGGCGAATTCTGGCGAAAGCTCTGGACATTTGGGAGATGGGTGTTTTTCAACAGACGAAGAAGAGCTACGCTTGGGTGGTTTCAGCAGGGTTAGTTTATCTCGGTCAACTTGCTCAACACTACTTGTCTTCAACTCTGCACTTACGTCATTTCCTGCGGCTCTACGCAAAATGCAGAGATGGTTCCGAGCCTAGAATAGTGGACATGCGCTTGCCGAAATGCAAATGCGCAGATTTCGACCAGTCAGGCAAGCGCTGCCCCCACCTATGGGCAGTGGATCTCCTGGTGAACAATGGGCCCTATCACACTGTGATGAATACGGTATTCAACCTGTTTGCCAGACGGAACCCATTGGATGGCTTGCTAACACCGCTCAACCATTTATGCAAAGGAGCAGGCACGAGCTGCTATGGATCTCAAGGGGGCGCTTCATGACGACATTCCGCGCAGCAAGGTTCGGGATTCGACAATCGAGATGGTGGTCAATTGTGCGATCAACGAAAATATCGCCATTGATGATCTCCACGGTAGTCTGTCAGAAGAAGATGACGAGGATGATAGTTCCGGCGAATCAGAAGCAGACGAATCAGAAGCAGAGATCGACATCGGGAATCGTGCCGGCGTCGCTATGAAGGCCGCGACCAGCAGAGGTGAGGAGGACATGTATCGCCAGCTATTTGAAGTAACCTCGCACTCTCACTGACGCTCCGCGCCTTCGCTCAGGTCCTTCACCGAAGAACAAGCCTTTACAGCCAGGTCGGTCGATCAAGAAACCGAAAGGTCGATCAAAGAAGAAGACGCGTTTGAACGTCACGGAGAATGTCCAAGGTGCCACCTCTCCTACCATCAAAAGTGCACCTCATCTCGAGCATACGGGCCGCCGGAATGGACACGCAGACAAACTTCTCAAGTCACTATTGCGGGACAAGCTCAATCCGGCGTCTTTGCGTACTAAAACCGCGAAGGACAAGCCCTTCGCCGATGAAGCATTCTCAAAGACGCGTGGGCGACGACCTGAGACCAAGCCTTCCAACAGTCTCATAGGAACCAAGCATCATCAAGCTGCCAAGGAGATTACAGATTATCTAACAACCTTGGAATGCCTCGACATCGCATGTTCCGACGAAGCGCTCTCTGACGACCAGAAACCTGCATGCCCTTGCCCCCCTTTGGTCGAAGGCATGTTGGAACCGTCGATCTACGCCACAGTAGACCCTGACGATCGAATGGCGAGCGTCACTAATATACAGGGCGTCGTTGTATCCATCAAGCACCCTTATACAGCGTCGCGACAAGACCGCTTTCCATGGATGATTCATTTAGACGTCCACCAGAATGCATATGTGCCGGGGTTGAACTTGCGAACGCTGGCGACGCTCAACGACCCCGAAGAATGGGTAAGTAGTGCTCATATCGATGCGTTCGTCACTGCGATCAATCGGTTCGGTGGTCAGGCTGCGATGCGGGAGGACCAGCGATCAGCTGCGTCAGATTGGACGCCAACGGTTTATGGATTCCACCCTCTCAAAGACTTTGGTGAAGACATCGGAGGAAAAAATCCTACCAACCGACATCCCGGGGTGAGTTGAATCTATGCTCGGATGAATTTTTTATACTCTGTCAGTACTAACCACTTACTTTACTTCTTCATAGATACGCCTCTCTCAGACTCCAGCGCTTCTATTTCCAATCCATATGCCCGGTCATTGGGTGCTTGTTGAGGCCCGTCTGTTCGACCACACCTTCCGCTTCTATGACTCGCTGCGGCGATCTAAAGAAAGCGTAGACAACCCGAACATTTCATCGCCGGAACAAAACTTTGCCAATTGTTTGAAGGTGAGAGGGAGAAGCGACTTGTGTGGATCCCGCTTACCTGATAGGCTGACGATAATCCGCCGAGCTGATGATCGCAGAACATCGTTCCTTTCCTCACGGCTCGGGCAGAAGGACCCATTCCTCGTGTCACCGGAGGCAGTGACCGGCCCACAATCCCGTACGCAGAGTGGGAGCGAGTGATCGTGAAACCGCGAGTACCGAAGAAGGGAGACTTGATGCCTAGGACAGAGTTTACGCGACAGCCCGATGGCAACGCTTGCGGCGTCTTTGTTTGTCGAACGATTGGAACGTTGGTCGCGGCGGTTGCGTTTCAGTCTGAATTAGACTGGAGCTGGAGCCCACTCAAGCCACTACAGGACAACTTCTATGCTGACCAGCGCACATACATGTTAGACGTTGTTATTCATGCTCGCTTGCGGTGTGACACGGAGTTGGAAGCAAATTCTGACCCCCCTCCCCTCGATTTGCGAGAGGGGACTGGAGCTCCTCCGCCGCTTCCAGGTCAGTCATTCTACTGTGGATCTCAACGATCTGATCTTAGTGATAGTTCAAGCTTGCTTGATATTGAGGCTGACACTCTTGTGGATGCAGAATCTGTCCCACTCGCGCTCAAGGAGAGTTCGCCGGAGCTCGAAGAGAAGCCCTTGGGATCGCCCGGCATTGAATTTTGCGCGCCTACCCTCGTTCTGATTGACCCTTCGATCGGCACAATGTACACCTCTGAGCCCAATCCCGACGCTCAATGTACTTCTCCGTTGATTTCGCGAAGCCCGCGGCCCAACCCGGCACCGTCAATTGCAACGATTGGTTCGATGCCAGATGCGCCGCCAATGAGACTCCCGAGGGTCGTAAGGTTCGACCCTACTCCCCCTCTGCTGGTGTCTGAGGCACTCGAGGTCGTTGCTTGCTTGCCAAGGTATCAAACACGTACATTGGCCGTTCGGTCAATTGCAGCTATATCCAAAAGCGCCCCAAGCCCTCGCCGATCGAAGCGCAAGAGGGAAGAATCTTTTTTCAAAGCTGCGCGGCTTCGCTGAAGCCTTGCACTCAATGCCTGGCTCGCAATACAAATCTGATGTTGGAGTCAATTGCTCAAGGTATGGGCTCTCCCAAACTGCATCGGACCCTTCCTTGTCATCAGAACACTCACATTGGTCATGGTTTATTTTGAGCAGCTGCAAGAAGAGGAGTGAGGTCGTCGATCCTAAGCCGTGCCATTATGAGTAGAACGGAAGGATGTATATACATATATAATGAGATAATGATCGCGGCTAGTGACATTTGCGAGAACACTTGGTGATGTGCTACTAGCTTTGTTGGGACAGGTTCACGGATGGTTTGGAAAGGCAGTCAATGATCTTCCTTGTCCAAGTTCAAGCTGAGGCAGGAAATACGGCGAGGAATGCTATACAAGGTGTCCCACTCCATATGGACACATCCCGCAGCTCCGAGATGATTGATCGTCTTAGTCATTGTATTGCAGCCTAGGGTGGGGGGGGGGCTACTCGGTCCGGGGTCCGGACGACTCGGCCGCGGCGTGGACGAGAGCCGGCCCGGGTGCACGCACGATTTCCAACTACATGGGGTCCTGGTGAGAGTGCTTCTTACTGAAGGTGGACGTACTTGGTGATCATGTAGGAGGGCTCGTCAAGTTTCAGGGTGATACATGGCATACTACACGAGATACAGCGGATTGCCCCGCTACGTGGTAGATGCACCATCCTTAATCGGAATTAGGTTAATCGCGCGAATAGCAGGGCACTTTGGTCCCGAGGATGGCGACTCTGGTCCCACATCGGAGCGGACTTTGGGATCACATCCGAGGTCATTCTGTACCACGTTCATGGGGACTTTGGTACCACATAGTGTAAACGCCTGTATCTCTTGCAATGTGTGATGTATCACTCTGGGAACAGTAGTTTGATGCATGTACAGGTCTATATGACATATGGCCGGTGAGACAAAGCGGACAATGCAGTAGTTGCTACATCGGGATTATGCCCTGCTTGGCCCTCCGGGCCCGGCCGTGGTGCCCGCGGTCCGACCTCACGATCGTCACCAGGCAGCGAGCGTAGCATGCAACAAACATCGTAGGGTGGAGCAAACCCTTTTTTCCCTATGCCTTGTCACTGTAACGTCATTATCACTGACCATTTCAGTGACGCCGTCACATAAACCACATGGGTGAGCTCTAGCTCCATAAGGCCTGCGACCGTTAGAACCCTTATTAGAAACCGGCAAACCCCCCAAGTCCTCGCTCGACGTCTCGCACCTCCTCAGCCTCGGGGCTTTCGAACTCTCGCAAGAACTGTTCCAGCGACTCCGAAGAGGATTCGACAAGTGATTCATACTACGGAGTCGAAGAAGGCAGCTCAGAGGTATTACCTGACAACGTCGTCTCCGCACCACTCCTGACTCGGAAAGACAAGAAGATTTGGACCGGCATACCTGCGAGCTCTCTCGGCGGAACGCAAAACAACGAACTGTCGAACACGACGCGCAGAGGCATTTTTCTCAAACATAATCTTCACCACTGCAGAGCACAACGAGCTCCGTCTCAGGCCGCTCGTTCCTCGCAAGCAGAAATCCGAATGGAAATTTGTAAGCAACCTTCCTGTCCTGGAGCTCCCAAGGTTCATAGCTACAGAGGTGTGTCGAAGCTGCGTGCTGCGCTGCGTTTTTTTTCGTCCTGTGATCGACCTAACCCCTATTGGTGAGATATATCAACAGACGCATGACTGGGCTCCACGCAAATATGAATGCTGTCTCGCTGTCGTCGAGCGACCTTACGGTAACGCGCGCTCGTCTACTCATCATCAACATCCGTCGGACGTGGCAGTGGGAATCTGATGACGTCCAGAACTGCCCATCACTCTTCTAGAAGCTTGGAGTCAACCCGCGAAGGTCGACCTGTTGTGGAGGTTCTGCGGATGGCCGTCGTTGCTCGGGGGCCTGCAAAAGAGATCGGGGACGTTTGAACATCGTTCAACTGCAATGATCATACAAGCAAAAGTCCGCCGATGTCGAAGCGTGACTTATTAGAATCTATATCTTCGCTCGATTTCTATGAACTGTTCTTCATGGATGAGAGAAGCGAGGGACCGGTGCCAATTCTGGTCTAATCGGCGCAATCACGTTCGGGAGTGTCGGCCTTGGCGGTTCGGGCGCCGGACCGCTGACACCACGGGCGCGGAGCGGCCAAGCATGGGCAGAATCCCGATGTAGCAACTACTGCATTGTCTGCTTTGTCTCACCGGCCAGAAGTACTATAGACCTGTACATGCATCAAACTTCTGTCCCCAGAGTGATACATCACATATTGCAAGAGATACAGGTGTCTACACTATGTGGTACCTAAGTCCCCATGAACGTGGTACAGAATGACCTCGGATGTGATCCCAAAGTCCGCATCGATGTGATCCCAAAGTCGCCTCCGATGTTGGACCAGAGTGCCTCCGAAGTGGGCCCAAAAGCCGACCTTATGTGAGCCCAGAGTGACGAGCTATTAGCGCGGTTATGTCTGCGTGCATCCTTAATTGGTAAACGCACCTTTCTTCCGGGGCAAACGCACCAAACTTGCGCGAAGAATGCACCAGTTGTAAGTGAACTTTGCACCTTACTACCTGGGTAGATGGGTCAAGCTTCGGGGGTAAACGCGCGCGCGTAATTGGTAATTGCACCATTTGCTCGCGGCATTAACCCATTTTCCTTATCGGTAGCCTCTTGCCTGGCAGCACTATCAGCGAGATCGGTGCGACTCATAAGGCCGACTCGGAGTTTCTCAGCCGCGCTCGAGAACAACGGCAGACAACTGCAGACAACGGCAGACGACGGCCATTTGGCGGTCGGCTTCTGTCGGCTTCTTCTGTCGGCTTGGTCGCACCGCCTGTCCACCGCGCACACGTCTCATCGATCTCATCCCTCACACCCACTGCCCCGCCGATCCGCCAAGGCAACCAAGGTCGAGGAATGAGTTGGCTCAACCAGCCTTACGCAGGCGGGTACCCGGGCCAGCAACCGCAGCCTGGGTACCTGCAGTCGCAACCGACCGGATACATGGGCCAGCCGATGCAGCAGCAGCCCTTGCAGGTGAGGGAGGGCTCGTTTGCTATCTCGTGGCCGCGGTGGGGGCGGCGCTTGGGGTCTTGGGGGGGTTGACGTCGTCACTGCGCACAACGTCACGTCACGTCAGCCGACAACTCGGCCTCGCCGACGTCGCCCCCGCACCTCGTCCATGGACGGCTGTGCAGACCGGGCTGACACAGATTGATATATTCCATGCTCATTAGGGCCAACGTACTGGGTATGCGCCACAAGGCGGATTCCAGGTCAGTCGTGTGTGACCGCGTGTGCGCGCGGGCGTACGGCAAGTGCACGACCGACCCCCGTGTGCTCATCATACTCGACTCGACCATCAACTATCACTTCACAGCAACCCCAGCCGACTGGATTCATAGGCCAACGTCTACCGATGCAGCAGATGCAGTCGCAGCCGACAGGGTATGCGCCGTCGATGCTGCAACCCCAGCCGACGGGCTACCCCGCGCCGATGCAGCAACGGCCCATGGCGACCGGCTACCCTTTCCAGCAGCAGCAGCCACCGCCACCGCAGCAGCAGCAGCCCCTCATGAGTCAACCGACGGGGATGCCCGGCATGGGCGGAGGCATGCAGTCGCAGTTCCTGTCGACCTTCATGCCGGCCCCGAGCCTCCAACCGACGTCCTTCATCGACCCCTCCCAGATGCAATTCGCTCATTCGGGCCACAATGGCGCGTCCCTCGCTCAGACGTTTCAACAGCGAAACCAGGCCCAGACAGGTCATGCCGACGTCCCTATCCCGTGGGCGCTGACCAAGGACGAGAAGAAGCGCTACGATCAAATCTTCCGCGCTTGGGACCAGCAGGGCACCGGCTTCATCGAAGGCCGAGTCTCCAAGGAGGTGTTTGGGCAGGCCGGGCTCGATCAAAACGACCTCATGTCCATCTGGTGAGTCTCTGATGGAAGTCAGTACGACACTCCCAATTACCCTCCGGTCGCTGACCCTCAGCGCGGTTCTCTAGGAACTTGGCCGATGTTCAAGACCGAGGCAAGCTCAACATCGACGAATTCCACGTCGCCATGGGTCTCATCTACAGGCGTTAGTTTTCATTCGCGAGGACTCCAGCGCCAATCATCCTGACCTGAGCTAACGCTATGCTTGCATATCCCCCCTACCCCTTCTAAAAGGTCTCAATGGCAACCCCATCCCCCAGACGCTTCCCCCAGAGATGGCACCTCCCTCCGCTCGTGATCTGGACGACTCGGTGGGCTTCCTCACCAACCTACTTAAAAACGACAACAATCAGCGCTCGACGAATCAGGATTTTGACGGCGGTCGTGGATCGATGGCCAAAGCCCGCTCGCTGCACGACACCGCCCCTCGGCGCGACCGTAAGGATGCGACCGTCTTCCGCAACGACGACGACGAAGCGCGCACGGTGTACAAGTCGAGTGCTCGCCATCTCAACCGAGACCAGATCAGGAGTCGCAGTGAGACGGATTCGCCATCATCGGATCTCGATGACATCAAGGATCGCTTGCGAACGACTAGAAGTACCCTCGACCGATCTCGGGACCAAGACGACGAGGATGAGGATCTCAAGGACGAGCTGCGCAACATGAACCGTCGCATCCAGCGTGTCCAAGACGATATCGATTACAACCTGCGCAGCGGTCGACGCACCCCCGCCAAAGATGACGAGCGACGCAAGCTCGAACGCGAGCTGTTGCGACTCGAGCACGAAGAACTGCCCGAGCTCGAACGACGCATCAAAGAAAAGGTACGTGATAAGAAGCGTGATCAGCGCAAGTACGCACTCGAGCGCGACTCCCGCAACAACGACTTGGATCGCTACGGGGATCGTGACCGATACTCGACGCGGGAAGATCCCTACGAGTCGAGGTCGTCATCCCGTCGCGAGTCCCCCGAGCGCGGCTACAACCGTGGCACCTACGACAATGGGGATGGACGCGAGAAGCGTTCGCGCGACCGCGACGATGATTATTACACGTCTTCATCACGAGGAACCACATCACCTAGTCGCGCCCGCAAAGAGCCTCCTCCACCGCCTCCCGCTCCTGCTTCGGAACGAGCCACCCCTCCGCCTCCACCACCTGCGCCAGTCGCCGCTCTCAAATCGCCTGCGGTCGACACGCGCTCCATGACCCCGACGGAACGACAAGCCCATATCCGAGCTCAAGCGCAGGCTCGCATTCAGGAACGACTGAGGGCGTTGGGCGTCGCAGCTCCTGCAAGCGGTGAAACCGCTGTCGACACCAGCGTCGCTGATCGACTCGAGAAAGACAAGGCCGAAGCTGCTGCCAAAGCAGCCAAAGCCGATGAGGACCTCAAAGCGAAGGAGCTCGAGCGGCAAGCCAAGCTTGAACGCGAAAAGTTGAGAGGTATTGTGATCGAGCAATCGATCAATAGCCAGAATGAGGCAGCGGTTGAGCAGGTCAGGGAAGAGGTCAATGCCGCCGCTCCCGAGCCTATGATCGCCAAAGCTGCGAACGAGCAACTGGACGTCGAGGAGGACGCGCTGGCCCGCAGGGAGGCGCAGCTTAAGCGAGAAAAGGAGGAACGAATGGCCCGGATCAAGCAACTGGAGCAGGAAGCGCAAGAAGCCGAGGAGAACTATGCTCGGAGCAAAGCCATGTTCGCCCCAAAGATCGCTAAAGTCGCCCCTCCGCCTCCAGCGCCTCGAGCTCGACCCGCTGCCCCACCTTCTCGAACTGCACCAGCCTCTGCGTCGGCAACCAAACCTGCAGTCGACGATGACGACGAATTCGCCCCCCCAGCACCCCGAGCTGCGGATCCTGCCCCCGCGGTCATTCCATCGTTCCTCTCTCCGCCCGTGGCGCGGTCAGATGTCGGTGCGTCGCCCAGCAGCGAAAGCAAGAACCCTTTCCATCGATTGCAGCAAGGTGGTGCTTCGCCAGCCGCAGCGAGCGCGGCCCCGGCGGCATCGCCATCAGGCAAGCCCAACCCCTTCTTTGCATCGTCGTCACCACCGGCGGGACCTCCCGCACCTTCCACTCCTCTCCTTGCGCCCGTGCCTCCCGCTCAAACTGCCCTTCGCCAGGCCGGCCCGGTCGCAAAACCAGAGTATCGCCCGCCACCGGTGGACGACGACGACTGGGATGCGAAGGAGAAGGACGTGGATGAGAGCGACAGCGACGACGAGATCGGCGGACTGCGCGCTGCACAAGCCAACCTCGCGGCCAAGCTCTTCCAAGGCTTGGGCTTGGGTCCGGCTCGTCCGGCTTCGGCACAGGGTAGCACTCCGACGCGTAGCACGGCTGCGTCCCCTGCTCTGGGTGCTCCTGCAGCCCCACCTGCTCCTCCCGCCCCGTCTGCGCCCGCTGCGCCCCCCACACCCAAAGCAGCCCCTGCCTTCGTGGTGCCAACGGAGGCGCCTCCTCGCTCGGCGCTCCTCGGGGCCATTCAAGGCGGCTTGACATTGCGCAAGACCGAGACCAAGGATAAGAGTGGGCCTGCAGTTACGGGCAGCGTCATCGGTGATCCTTCTCCACCTGTTCAGACTTATCGAGCACCGTCACCCCCGCCCGCACTCGCGGGCCCAGCTGCCCAGGTCGCGCCTGCCGCCAATGGCGGCGGCAGCTTTGGTGAGTCGCACTACAACGCGAACAGGCAATCCATTGCCTGGCTGGGTAGCATGGCTGCTGTTGAAGGGTCCTCGCAAAATGCTCAGACGTTTTCGAATATCGCGACAGTCGCGGAGGACGAAGAGCCTGCCGAGGAAGCCAAATCATCGACCCTTCCCGCAATCGTTGCCGCAAGTAATGAGGATGATCCTCTGGCACCGTTCGATATGACTACGAGTGAGTCGTCGTTTCGTTCACCGAGTATTGATGTCCAACTTTAATTGAGTAATGGTCTTCCACTCTTGCGCAGCCCACCGCATGAAGTCTTTGTTCGCTTTCCATGGCGAAGGGCCCAACGACCTCAGCTTCAAGGAGAACTTGGTGTTGAACGTTCACCCTTCAAAGGATCCGGCCGGTGACTGGTTGTACGGAACTGTCGAGTCGTCGGGTGAGCAAGGATGGGTGCCCAAGTCCTACGTCGAGGCCTTCACTCGTGAGTACCGTGGTGATTGATCGAGACCAGGCTCGCCACTGCATTCCGACGCTAACGCCATGGGCACGATTCATAGCTCAATCCGCCAAGGCTCTCTACGCGTACGACGCGGCTTCGGAGGAGGAGATGTCATTTCTTGAGAAGGACATTATCTCGATCGTCGATTCCGCAGACGCGAGTTGGTGGCAAGCAGAGAAGGACGGCTTGATCAAGCTTGTGCCGGCCTCCTACATCGAGCTTGGTCAGTAGCACCTCCCAGCCCAATTCATGTTGTCGCCGGCGCTCCTCTCTTCTCGCTCTGCCTTCCCGAAGGGTCACCGATCTCCTTCTCGCCTCGCTTGTACACTCCCTATCGGATCCGGCTCCCGTCTTGTGCGTTTCGAAGATGAAAATGAATCTCATTGAATCTCCTACCCTTGTTGCCCTCGCTTGCAGGTACAAGCGAGGCGCACCTGGCCCCCGCCCCCGCGCCGCCGAGGCTCGAGATTGCGATGACTCGTCCCCATGATAAAGATCAGCGCCTGTCCATGCCTTCCGAAAGTTCCGGTATTTCCGAGGAGTCAGGACCGCGCGTCGCCGATGACAGTGACAGCGAAATTGAGACCCCTGGCGGTGGCGATCCGAAAGAACGCGAGGCGGAGAGGCTGCGCGTTTTGGAGGCGGCTGGATTGCTGGTGAGAGGAGGGCCATCGGCTGATCGTCGAAAGCGACGTCAAGCACCTGCACGACCTCCTACCAAACCTACGACCGGGTCTGTCTCCGGAGGCGATGAGGGCCATGAGACTTTGGCGGAAGAAAGCGTCAATCCCGACCCGGCGCCCGAGAAGGACGTGGATCAGGAAGGAAGGGTCGAAGATGCGTATGATGTAAGGTCATCCAAGTTGTTCTCACGAGTACCTGAAACTTTCCATTCCTAAAGTATGCTACCGTGCACAGATTTATCAACGTGTCATGCGCGAACTCCCGCCCGTGCCGACAACCACGAGTAATCGACTCTCGATGGTCTCGGATTCGACAACGCCCTCGACCACCGCAGGATCGATCCTGTACCCAACTTCGCCACCCGCGTCTCCGGCCCCATCGAGCTCGACAGTAGCTTCGTCGTTGGCTACAGGTGCCTCGATCAAGGAACAATGGCAAGCTACTACAAGTGGTTTGCGCGCCAAACTAGGCAGACCGAGGGAAAGCTCAAGCGCGGGACTCGATCACGCGAGACTGAGCATCAGCGGGCCCATCATGGGCGAAGCCACGGGCTCGGCTCAGTCAAAATCACAAGAGAGTGCTACTCCATCCAATTTTGTTGCTGTAAGTGTATTCCCCGCTCAGCCCATGGCCATTCTGCTCAACTGACAACTCGCGTCGTTCCCCGACACTTGCAGTCTTGGGCGAGTATGATTGATTCTGGAGCACTTGAGATAATGCCCGACCGGTCAGTCAACCCCCCATCCGAGGTGGTTCGGGACACTCTGCTTAGACCATCGAATAATCCGGTGCTACAGGGAACGCAAGCGCCAAGAAAGCATGTTCGAGCTCATCACCACCGAACAAGCCTACGTCCAGTCCTTGCAACTCACGATTGAAGTCTTCTTCAACCGACTCCAACCCGTCATTCCGGCCAAAGCGCTTCAAGTCATCTTCGCCAACATCGAGGACATACTTCTGTTTGACACCGTACGTACTCTTCTTGCGGCCCACATGTGCGTGCTCGGCGCTGAATGCACTGAGCTGCTTCCCAAAGATCTTCCTAAGCGAGCTGGAGGACCGCCAACGGACGGCAAGATTGTACATCGACACGATCGGAGACATCGTCAAGAAACACGTACGAGGTTACGAATGCTATCGCGGCTACTGTGTCAACCAGGCCAATGCGGCACGTACGCTCGCCGATCTCAAGCGTTCCGATCCGCAGCTTCGCTCGTTCCTCGAGGTGAGCCATCGTGACTCCATGAACCTGTGAGGAACTGTGACTGACCGGACATCATATAATCTAGGGGTCGCGTATCAAAGGGCTGGAGCTCGAGCACTTTTTGTTGGAGCCGATGCAACGTGTCACACGTTTGCCCTTGCTGCTGCGTCAGGTGAGTCGGGCACCTCTGTGCGCTCGGCGCTTGTGTTTTGAGAGGTTTGACTGACGCACGCACGTGGGCATCTTAGATCTTACGATATACCGAGCAGGATCATTCGGACCGAGCTCTGCTTACCCGATCTCTCGAAATCGCGGAAGGAATTCTTGGCATGATCAACGAAGCTGTCCGCGCGCACGAGAACGAAGAGAGACTGGTGTACCTCTCCGACGTGATCGAGTTCTCTCATAGCATCGAGGCTCGACTTGACCTGACCGCCCCGACGAGATTGATGGGACCTCGACGCTTGCTCAAGGAGGGTCGCGTCTCCAAAGTCAGGTCGGGACGCAAGCTCAATGTGTACCTTTTCAACGATCTGCTCATCTTCACCGAGACGAAAGCCGGCGGAAACGAGGTCGTATATCGCTGGGTGAGTTGAGCGTATGCGTCGGTTCGTGCTACGAGCTGCGCTAATGACCTCGGCTCCTTCCGTAACCTCAGCCCATCGCACTCGAAGAGTGCATCATTCGAGATCAAAGTCGTGATGATCTCACGTTCGTGGTCGCACACCGCGGCGATACGATCAATGTGCGTACATCGAGCGCGAGGCAATGCTTGCTGTGGACCCAAGAGATCGAGCAGGCTCGCAAAGCGTGTCTTGCGGCGGTTCAAAAGAGACGAGGCATGTAACCAAGAAGTAACGAGGGCGTGATGAGGTCAGATAGAAGTACTGAGTGTGACGAAGACACAATGCGAATTTGCAGTTGGATAAAGATACCACCGCCCGTCGGGCTTGTACAGATTCCAGCCCACGATACTGCCTCGCCCAGTCTCATCTCATCGTCTATCTCCGGAGCCTTTGCCGCTTCCGCGGAAGAGGAATAAAATGTCCTTCATGCTCAGCTTGGCCGCTTTCGCGGGATTTCCTCCGTCCAGCGCGGCTGCAGCCAGTTCAGCCTTCTGCTTCTGCAAAGTGAGGATCCTGGGAAGAATCGATGACGGTCAGATCTGAAGCTCCTGAGCGTGAATTTGCGTCCGAAGGCGCTCACCGATCTTCTACTGTTTCGTTGATGGTGATCTTGAAGATGACGACCTCTTCGGTCTGTCCGATACGATGGGCACTAATTCAGACCACCCACGTGTCAGCAATGTGGTTCCTACCCTGAAGTATGTCATGACTCACCGATCAAAGGCCTGCTCTTCAACTGAGGAGGTTCAAGCCGAGAGCGACATATGTCAGTGACTGGGCGAGGAAGCGGGCTGAGCAGATACCCGGGGTCACGTACTCGCAGGGTTCCACCAAAGATCGAGTAGTACCACTCTCGAGCAGCACGTCAGGTTTAATCCGACCGAGCCACATTTGATGCTGTGAGCCAGAAAGCCGATTAAGGCCGTTGTTCCAAACTTCGAGGCGATTGCTGGACCTACGAAATCAGGATGATGGTCGTTGCGGGATCGGTACGGATGGTCTTCAACGCCTCGTTCTTTTGCACCGCGTTCATCCGTCCGTCGACTATTAAGAGTCAATAAAGGTCAGCATACATCAAGGCCTGGTGCGCAACCACAAAACCGTGGACTTACAGCGAACGTATTTCAATTTGGCCATCTTGAGAAACGGCTCGAGTATATCAAACATCGTGGTGAACTGACGGACGAGAGGGTCTGCGAGCATCAGCAGAGATCCAGGATTGTAGAGAAACATCGCTCGACCGACTTGAGAGAACACAATCGTTTTTCTCGACGGATTTTCCTTTCTTATCTCCTCGAGGATTCTCATTGTCTGTCGGACCTTGGTCGAAAATTTGAGGTTCTGGTAGTGCGCCAAGTCGTCGTGACATTTCCGACAAAAGCCATCATCTTTAGACCTGCTTGGGCGGGGGCACATGGCGCATGTCCTAGTCTCCACCGAGAGGCCTCCGAGCAAATTCACCAGGCCAGTCTCGTCGTCGGTGACGCCGATCGCGGTGGCTTTGTTGGGATCGACGTTGATATCGATGGCCTCGGCCTCATCGACTTTGTTTCCCGTCACGAGGGCGGGATGCGAGCACGCTTGGCGCATCCGGAGCAGGAGCGTCAGTACGCTCGTATAGTTGGACATGACGGTTCCGGCGTCGACGAAGGCGTTCATGCGCAGTTCCATTTTCTCCACCACGGCCTTGTAGAAGTCCGCCTCATCCCTAAGTGTGGAAGACGCGGAGGTCAGTTCGAACGGTCCTCAGCTAGTAAGGGTAACGCCAAACAAGATGAGCGAACCAACTTTTCGTGAAAGTTAATCTTGACCTCGCGGATCTCTCGCTTGGGCAATGTGACGATCAATTTCCCATTGATCCGTGAATCCTTTGTCCTCCTTAACATGATGGCCTTGCGTGTGACGGCGAGCCTGGTGAGAGCGACCTGGGATTGGTTGTTCTTGAAGGGATCGGCAATCTTGCTCTTGAACTCAGCGAAGTCGTGCAAGGGGTTGACGATCTTGCCCAAGAAAGCGAACAAGGCGTAAAGATCATACAAGTCGTTTTGAATCGGTGTCCCCGTCAGACACCACCGATAATGCCCTCTGAGCGCACAACAGCTTTTATGCGTGCCTGTGTTGCGGTTCTTGATAGTGTGAGCCTCGTCAAGAATGATGCGGTAAAATTCAACATCAAACAAGGCCCCACCGCCGACCGGCGCAGATTGGGTCGAGTCCGATTCATTGTCCGAAGCGGCTTCGGGTAAAAGACTGTTCTGCTTGCCCTTGCCTTTGGCCTTCCTCGATTGAAACTTCTTTGGATTTGGCCATTCGTTCTGTAGCGTGTTATAGGATGTGATGACGACGTCGTAATGTGATAGTTGACGGGCTGATCAGAGTGAACCGTACTCTGACATGAGCTTCGGCACGACCAGAGGATGGACCAAGTTAACCGCAGACACTGACCATTCTTCTTGTCGGCACCGTGATGAATCAGAACGGTGAGACCGACGCTAGATTTGGTCTTGATCTCGTCCTTCCACTGCTGCATGAGAGCGAGCGGGCATACGATCAAGGTCGTCTTGCACTTTTTGCCCTCAGCGTTCTTGACCTTGCCCGCCGGCGGGTTGCTCAGCATCAACGCAATCATCTGCACGGTCTTGCCCAAGCCCATGCCATCACACAACATTCCGCCTCGCTTCTTCCCCGCTTCACGGGAGGCCAACCAGTGGCAGCCTTGAAGTTGATAAGGATGCAAGCTGATCGTTAGTCCCGGAGGGGCGACGAGGTTGGGATCGAGGTTTTCAAAGTCGTTGTCGGGAGTGCCGGCGAAGAGTTCCTTCAAGGCCGTTTCTGGATCTTGACCATTGAGGCCATTTTCGAAACCCATATTCGGCAGCGGTCCCGATAAGATGCCGTAGTCGTAGTCATCCCGATCAATACCACGGGCCGGATCCGATAGCGAGGGGTGTTGCACTGGACGTTGGTAGGGTGGGTTTTGCGGCACCGATAGGGGTATACCCATCTTTTGGCGATCGGCGACGATGGAGCCCATGATGCGTGCCTTGACACTGCTTCCATTTTGGTTGGTTGTGCTCGTTGAAGCCACTGGGTTCCTGGCTCCCACCGCTGGCCGTGCGATTCGGAAGTCGCTGGCGCTGGTCGCGAACTTGGATGAACCAGCGAAGACGTTGTGAGGTGGGGGCCGCTGCTGATGCTGGTGGTTATAGGCCGGAGTTCGCTGATGATTATCTTGTTTCTGATACCGAGGAGCTGGAGCTGGAGGAGGAGGAGGAGGAAGGGGTCGACCGACGGTTGGACGAACGAAAGACGAAGGAGTCGGTCGTGCGAGGTCACGTGGAGGGGCGGTGGACGCCGGCAACAACGTTCGCTGGTGCTGGGACGTGGGAGGTCGAGGGGCATGTACAATCGGTATCCGGTCTGTTACGACGATGGTCGATCCATTTGAGGAGGTCCCCTCGTTGCTGCCTTGCTCCGACGCTGACGACGACGACGACGAAGACAACGTGAGGTCAATTGCGGCGGACTGAACGGGTCTCGGCGCACGGAAAGGGTGATTTCTACGTGACGCGGCTGCTAGAGACGCAGATGTGGACGTTATTGCAACTGCAGACGATATTGAGCTTGCTGGGAGTGGAGTGTGTTGGGTGTGAGCTTTCACCTTGTCCGTGCTTTGTCGTACGACGGGAGCAGCAGTGACTCACCCGAGTTGGACGACCCTGATGAATCAGTTCGAGCAACATCCTCGATGGTGGTCTGCCAGTCTCGTACTCGGTCCATGCCGGTGTACCGATATATCCTCTACTGTGCAGGACTCGAAGGTCCCAAGTTGACCCACCTTCTGTAGGTGCGATAGGAGCAGGTTGCACAAAGAAAAGGAGAGCCGAGCGGCGTCTGACGCGCCCTACCCGATCCGTCACCGCGGGAGTGCACTGGGTGCACTGGGAGTGCACTGGGAGGGAGTGCGAGGCGGTGGACGTCGTCCCTTATGCAATAATGGGATATCATGTTTGATCTTTGGGATACGCTTTGGTGTTTCAGCGGACATAGACTTTGTGAGATCTTGTCTTTGCGCAAGACTAGCTGGTCTTTATGGCTTACAACTTCAAAATCCGGGCCAGCCGAAAGTTCAAAGGACGCGTTCACCAACGCGACAGAGTGCACGAGGAGAGGTCTCGAGACAGGTCCAAGCTTTTTCCCCAGCTCGTGAGAGCTCGAGCGCGCGCCTGCGTCATCGCGTCATCCCTCACTCAGGAGATGGGGTCTCCTCTCTCCTCAACTGCCCGATATTCAGTCGGTACATATGGATCAACGAGCCATGTCCGACTCCTCCGTCGCACCCCCTGCAACACCACCGCAGAACGAGGACGAGTCGACCATGCCTCGTCGCGCGCTCACCGCGAAGGATGCGCTGCTCGAACTTGATAGGTCAGTGGCTCCACTTCGCACCGCACCTCCACCACAAGACGAGGTTCCTCCTCCGCACGTCGGCGAGTGACACAGCGGTCCAAGCGGCCCAGGCCCACGGCCGAACACGCTGCCCAGTTCCCACGACCAAGCAACTAACTCCTCGTTAAATTGCCCTACTTTTGATCCCACCACGTGCAGCGACTGGCTCTCGACGCTCAGACCCGGATTCTGGGATCTGGTGACGTACGCTGGACAAGAGCACTTTGTGATTGAGGGTGAGTCCATTCCTGTGCTACGCCCACGTGGAGTAGAACTGGCCTGAATCCGTTTGACGATTTTCTGTCGTCTATAGGAGACGCACTGCTGCAGTACATCTTTGACCAACCCTTGCTCAAACTGGGACGAGCTTCCGATCCGTCGCATCAACTGCTCCACGCGACCTGGCTGCTCGAGCAGACCCTTCAGGAGCTCCACCAGCGCGACTGCGCCTTCGACATCGTCTTCTTCGAGTCGCAAGCTCATGCTTCGCTCTACACGGGACATCCCGACCAAGGCTTGGTCGAGGCGAGAAGGTTCGCTCGCCAGGTGCTCAAGCGGCGAGCCAGAGTACCCGAGGTCGAGGTCTTTGAGTTTGCTAGTCTGCTCGGGGACGACTGGCTGCAGTGGTATCACCACAAGAGGGTTCGTTCCTGTCCCTTCACAGTCCCCATTATGCCTTTAAATTCCATGTTGATGCCATCTTTGTTTGCAGCCCATGTTCATGCTTTCGTATGACGGAGGGCTCGTTCGACAACCCCTCGCCCCTCTCGAATACGAGCGCATCTTGATCCAGCGCTCCTTCATCTACACCGTCATCCAGCAGCAGATCCCTGTCTTTCAGCTGCAAACCGCCCTCTTCCAAGACTCTAAAATCATGTCCTTCCTCTACCGTTCCGGCGCCGGCGAGCACCTCAGCATCTCCCTCCTGCGAGCCGCTGAGGACTCGTACTCGAGGCTCATCGAGGCTACCCCTGCGCCGGCCCAAGTCGAGCCGCCTTCTTCCTCGACGACGGCAGACATTCTTGCTTCGGCCGCAAAAGCCCTGCTCGTCCATGACGATCCAATCACCAAGGCGTTGCTCTATGTCTTTGTTGCACATTGCTACGTGATTCAGACAATTCCACTCGAAGCTCGGGCTCAGCGCATTCCGACGCCTTCCACCGACTTGGCGAGCACGATCTCGTCCTTCTATGGTAACCTCTTTGCCGCTCTGGCAGGCGCAGTGCAGCGCATCCCGCTCGACGATTCTCTGAGCTCGTTTGACGTTGATGGTCGCTTGTTTCTCTCTCTATTGGTCGAGGTCCTGACTTCGACCAGCGAGGTCTCGGATCTCCTCGGTCCCAAGGTCGCTGCCGACACGGAGACGTTATGGTCCCGCCTCGGGCAATCCGAAGTTGACCTCGCACGACTTCGCTCCAAGTTCTCGAACGAGTCGACGGAGCTTCCTCCTCTCAAAGAGGCCAAGACGACAAAATTGCTACCTTACTCGAACCCTTCGTTCGACAAGCACTTCACCTCAGTCCACGTCTCGGAATCCGATGCCAAGTCACCCGCCTCGATCGCACACAAGCTCGACCCCGACTCGGCATTTGACGACACGGCCTTCTGGGAAAACCCAAAGCCGGTGCTTCCGACCCATCTCGGCGGCGCTGCACCCCCCGTCCTGGACGCCCGACAAAAGAAAAAGCGCGATCGAAAGAACCAAAATTTCATGGCGGCGATGCAAAAGTCTGCGGCGTCGCTGACTGGAGCTTTGGGTGCCCAACTCAAGCGGGAAGCGATTCCTGCGGTCGGCAAGAGGGCCAAGGACCGATCTCTCGCAAAGCCATCCGCGAATCAGGCCTCGAGAAACCCCTCGGCGTCGAAGGAAGCGCCTGCTGCCAAACCCCTGACGTCGAAGGAGAAGCTGCTAGCCGAGAACGCGGCAAAGAAGCAACTCGAGGAAGGTGTGCAGAATGCGCTGTGGTGGAACGAGCGTCTGGAGCAGTTGAAGCCCCTCAATACGACAGCCCAAATTGCCCTGCTTGCGGGGTATCTCAAAAATCGACGTGCTTCGGACCGGTGGTTGGGGACTGAGATGGTGCTCAAGCGAGTCGATCTCGAACTACGCAAGTGGATCGCCGACGAGAGGCGCAGCGAACCCAAGATTGCCGATGAATACCGTGTATTCATCGCCAAGACAGTCACACCCTTGCTCGAACGAGCGGTCGAAGGCTCTGCTACGATCAACGAGCGACAGGGTAAAGCCCTCACGACCACGTTGCAGGTCATGGGACTTGGTTGCATGGTGCCTGAAGGGATCCAGTTCGGCGCTGCTGTCGAGAAGGCACTCGAAGCGGCCGCTCCAGCTGCCAAAGGTGGCAAGAAGGGTGCCGCAGCAGGCGCCAAGGACAAGAAGGAAGATGCGAAGAAGAAGTCAGGCAGTAGCGGCAAGGCTGGGAAGGAGGACAAGGGTGCCAAGCTATCGTTCTCGTTCTGCATCAAGAAGAGTAGCGACTTTGACTTTATGAAGATCGAGGAGGATCCTCTCGAGTGGCAGCTGAGGTGCATGGGCGAGTTCATGAGGAGGGAGCTCGATAGCCGACCTGATCCACGGTAAGTGCCTAAAGAGAGCCCTTTGGTCTCATATTCTGGCTTACCGGCGCCTTCATCCCACGACAGTGTCAACTTCAACCCCGACGCATGGCAACGAGATGTGCTCGACAAGATTGATGCTGACGAATCGATCTTGATCATCGCACCGACGTCGAGTGGGAAGACGTTCATCTCGTTCGCAGCAATGGAGCGCGTCTTGCGCGAATCAGATGACGGAGTGTGCGTTTACGTCGCGCCTTCGAAAGCTTTGGTCAACCAAGTCGCCGCCGAGACCTTTGCCCGTTTCTCCAAGGAAGTCGCGGGATCGTCCATGTGGGCCATCCACACGGGTGATTACCGAATCAACAACCCACAAAACTGTCAGATCCTAGTCACTGTCCCCCACGTCTTCTCTGAGATGCTGCTCAACCCGGCTCTGGCCCGAGTGTGGACACCTCGCATCCGACGTGTCATCGTCGATGAGATCCACGCCATCGCTGGCGAGGAAGGTGGAATGTGGGAGCAAGTGCTTCTGATGAACCCGGCGCCGATCATCGGTCTCTCCGCGACGGTCGGAGCTCCAGAACGTTTCTCGGCTTGGCTCGAATCGGTCGAGACGGCTTGCGGCAGGAGCTACTCGCTCGTGCAGCACCAGCATCGATTTAACGCGCTCCGTAAGTTCACGTTCGCGCCCAAGTTCCCGCTCAAGTCGATCAGCCCTCTCAACGACCACAAAGTCAAGGCCGACACCTTCGTCCCGATCCACCCGATCGCCGCTCTCGCGCTGGGAAATCCCAACTTGCCCGAAGACCTCGCTCTCGAGCCTCGCGACACCTTGTCCCTGTGGCAAGCGATGACCAACGTCGCGCAACTCGATCCGGGACTCGAGCCCAACAAGTTCTTCGCCAAGACGCCCTCGATAGCCATTCGTGATGTCATCTCTTACGAAAAGGAGCTCAAAAAAGTCCTCGTCTCGTGGCGCGAAGCCCCCGACTCAAACGACCCTGACTCGCCGTTCCAGAAGCTCATCATCGCGATCGAATCACCTTTACGAGCCGCTACCGAGGAGGCCGAGCAAGAGATTGCTGAGCACGAAGAAGACGAGGACTTCCTTCCTAGCTTGTTCTTGCCGATGCTGGCGGACTTGAACGCCCAAGGCTCGTTACCAGCAATCATCTTCTCCTTCAGTCGTGACACGGTCGAGAGGATTGGACGCAAGATTCTGGAAGACCTCGAGGCGGCCGAGACGAAATGGCGTCAGAGCTCGCCGACGTACAGGTTGCGCGTCGCCAAAGCTAAGGAAGATGAGAAGATGGCGGCGAAGAAGGCCAAGGCTGTCGAAGCGGCGTCGAGGAACAAGAAGGACGAAGACAACGAGCGTGAGGCTGCCGACACGGAGTCGCAGAACCAGTTCGACCCCGACGCACCGAGCGAGGAGTTCTCGTTCGTCGGCAAAGGAATCTCTCAGGTCGAGGTGAGTTGGTAATTGCCAGATGAGCCAACATTCGACTTGCTTGTGCTCATGAGACGTGCGCATGGTGGTGTTTAACAGTTCAAACGCGAGATCGACAGTCTTGCATGGCTAGATCTACCCTCGTGGATGATGAATGCTCTCCGTCGCGGTGTCGGCATCCATCACACGGGTCTGACGCGTCGCTACCGGGTCTTGGTCGAAAACTTGTATCGCCGCGGTGTTTTGCGCGTAGTCATTTCGACAGAGTCACTTGCGCTCGGTATCAATGCTCCGGCGCGCACCGCAATCTTTGGTGGCGACTCGGTCTTCCTCAACGCGCTCACGTTCCGACAGTGCTCCGGACGAGCTGGACGTCGTGGTTTCGACACGCTCGGAGAAGTACTCTTCGTTGGCATCACTTTGGATCGCATCGAGCGCTTGTTACTATCCAAGTTGCCCAAGCTCGCTGGCACGTTCCCGCTGACGACGACCTTGGTCCTGCGCCTCCACAACCTCCTATGGGGCTCGGATTACGCCCCGCTGCCGACTCAGAGCCTCGACACGCTCTTAACCATCCCGCGCCTTTCGGTCAGCGACAAGACCGACGGCAGGTCCCACGTCCGGCACTTTACTCGCTTCGCCGACGAGTATCTTCGACGCGCGGGCCTCATCGACGAGACGGGCCGTCCTTTGCTCATGTACGGCATCGCTTCGGGTTTGTACGCGGATGAACCGTCGAACTTTGCATTCGTGGCCCTGCTGCGCTCGGGCGAGCTCCACCGCATTACGGACACGTTCGAAACCGACCCCGACAACACCGCTCGTGAGCTCCTACTCGTTTTAGCCCACATCTTTGCACCCATCTACCGCCGTCGCATCGATTCCCGGGCGATGCGCTCGGGGGCCCGCAACTCGCCATCGCTCATGGCTTTGCCGCCCTTACCCAAGCGCATCGCCGCGGTGCTGCAGAACCACCACGACGCAATCGTTACCATCTTCTCAACCTACGCCAAGGAGTACTCGGAGCAGCACTCGAACGAGCTGGGTGCGGATGACAAGTTGCCCGTTTCGGGTCGACAAATCGTGCCGACGGATCCGAGCGCCGATGGCCTGTTCGCGTCCAAACTGCGACAGAGCAAGATCCCCTTCGAGAGTCGCTCGGCCTTTACGGCTCTTTCGGGACACGGGGATGTTTATGACTCGATCGAGGAGCTGACTGGCACCGTCCGAGCTGGCGTCAGTCTGCAAAGGAACGCGGTCCCGGCTCTGGCTTCGGCGATGCTCGATAGTACCGAGCACCAACTCGATGCTTACGCGGTCGATTTCTTCCGCCACGGATCGCTCAACGTGCTCGTGCGCGACAATGGTATTTCGAGGTCGTTCGTGTGGTATGCTTTGAAGGACTTTGATACCGCTTTGACGACTGTCAAGACGACGATCGAGACGCTGTTGCAGCGACCGTCGGTCGAGACCGATGACGATGGGGCCGACTCGGACGACGGCAACGTAGGCTTCGAATGGAAGGGCCGCTCGAACGCAACGACCACGGCCGCTGCCGGTGAAGAAGAGGGTCAATCTTCCGAGGCTGAGATTACCAGACCGGCTGGCGTCAGTGATGGTGAGTTCCTATCCCTCTGTGCTCGGTTGGTTGAAGCCAGGTGCTCATCTCGTCGTTTCTTTGACCCATTTTTGCAGCTGATTGGCGCCTGTACCGCGCTGTGACGCATCTGCACGTCGCGTTCAACGAGAAGTTCCACTCTGTGTTTGCCTGATCGTGCCAGTTTCTTTCTGTTCGTTTTGGCTTCTTCTACCCAAATAATAGGATGGCCGCCCCTTTCGGTCCGTTCCTTCTCAAACGCTTGATGTTTCGACATCCAAGTCATGCACTGCAATTCGTATCGCAATTTTCTGATCGGAGAAAGGGTGTTGTTTAATTGAGTGGGATGTGCACAGCCTACATCTCTAGGTGCCTTTGGCTGAGCCTGCATTTGCCTCTGAATCGGGCGACTAGTACTCGGCGGTCGGCCTGCGCGCTGCCGTGGGCAAGTGGGTAGAAGAGGGTCGAGGCTGAGGCTGGCGAGCTTCGCAACGAAGGTTTTGGGCCATTCTTCCTCTGTCCCCACTCGACTCACGCCCACGATCTGTCTCGGCCGATCACCGACCACGGACGACTGAGCACAGCCATGAACGGCGACCGAATGGAAGTCGACGATGTTGCGCTTCCCCACGACGAGGACCCCATGCTGGCTAACAGGATGTCCGCGCCAGCTTCGCAATCCGGGGCGTCATCGACTCGTCCGCGAGCCAAGGCGCGTCGAGTGCTGACCCATCGCTGTCGATTCCCCGACTGGGCACCGGGAGCGATCCATGCGTTGGCCATCACCCCTTCTTCGTTCGACACGTCGCTGTTGGGCTATGGCGGCGTCAGTGGCGAGAGGGGGATGATCGCCGTCGGGCGCAGCAATGGCGATGTCGAGTTGATGCTCTGGGGCGGTCATCAGGGATGGGTGACCTACAGGGTAGGTTCATGATACGTGACTGTGTTTGTGAACGATTCTCGTAGCTGACGCTCTTATCTTTCCCGTCGCTCCCTGTTGCCGTTGCTCCTGCTGGGCCACTCCGTCCCCTCCGTCCCACTTCGCAGACGTTGCCTTGCTCGTTCCCGATGCCTCAGACGCGCAACTCGAAAAAGCCAAGCACGCTTCTCTCACATCTCGTCTTCACTCACCAAACGACGCTGTCGTCCTCCGATATCGAGCTCTACGACGGCGATCTCGAAGGCGCGCAGAGCGAACTTCGCAGGTTGCAGCGCGAAGGGCTCAGGCTCTTTGGCGTCGGCGGAGTAGGCAGCGAGCTTGTGGAGTGGGAGTGGGGAGGACCAGCCGCTCCCAAAGAGGTCGGGAGGATAAAGGTTGGTCGTGATGCTATTCCTTCCTTGATTGGGCCGAGCTGATCCGGTCTCTCACCACCCCTCGCAGTCGACTCTCCCGACTCTGCCACCCATCCTTGCCCTGGCTGCATCTCGATCTTCGGCCAATCTCGCCATCGGATGCGAAGATTCGACGATCCGGATCCTCAACATTCTCGACAATGAGCTCGAACTGGTCGCCAAGATCGAGATCGGAGGACCGGGCAAGGTTCGACCCCTGTCCCTCGCATGGGGTCCTCTCAAGCCGGCGGCCGACGCGACTTCGAACTCCTCGGACAAGGGAAAGGAACGAGGTGCGTTATCGGAGTCTACGGTGAAATTCCTCTCATTTCGGCCTGCGCGCTCACAAAAACTCTTGCTGCCAAGATGAATCACCTTCGATAGCCTCAGCCCTTCCTCAGCACTTCGCAACCCCTAGAGAAAGCTATGTCGTCGCCGGTTGCTCCAACTCGTCGATCCGTCGCTTCGATGCGCCCGCGTCTGGAGCCGTCGCGGGACTCTGGCGCAGCGTGCATCGCATGACCCTCGACCAGCTGCGCGGCGAGCACACCGTCGTATGGGCCATCTCGGCTTTGCAGGACGGCACGATCGTTTCCGGTGACTCGATGGGGAACGTCAAATTTTGGGATGCCGAGATGGGCACGCAGACCCAGAGCTTTAAGACCCACAAGGCTGACGTGCTCGCCCTGGCAATCGGAGCGGACGGAACTTCAGTCTTTACATCGGGCGTCGATCAAAAGACGGTCGAGTTCCGCCTCGTGACGATCTCGTCCAGTCGATCAAACAGCACCGCATCTCGACGATGGATCCAAGCTTCCGGTCGACGGTTGCATTCCCACGACGTGCGAGCCATGGTCATTTCGCCGCCGTACACCCTTGCTCTTCCCTCCCCTCCTCCGACCTCGCCGCGATTTGCCCAAGTCCCCATCCTGACCTCGGGTGGCCTCGATCTCTCCCTGATTACTGTCTGTGTCTCCCCCGTGCCCGCACGAGCAATCAAATCGGCTCGTTCCCTCACCAACCCCATCTCGGACCACCGCTCGATCGAATACGAGACGACTGTGCATCGTCGCGCCGCTTACGTGCCCCAACGTTCCAAGCCTTTCGCCGTTGCCGGTCAAGGCGAGGCCCGATGGCTCATCTGTCAGCGCGACCGAGGTGTGGCGATCTGGAAGCTCGACGATCCAAAGTTGCAGCGTGGTAGCACACAAGGAAGGAGCGGGTGGAAGGCCCGGCAGGATCACCTCGATGGAGTGCAAGAAGAGCTGGACGATGACGAGGAGGGTACGACCGGCTGGGCCAAAGCGGCCGAACTTGAACTCAAGTTGCACACTAACTTGATCGCGAGCACCATCTCACCCGACGGTCGATGGCTCGCCGTCTCGGACCTATACGAGACCAAATTGTTCCGCTTGGAGCTGCGTAACGGTGACCTTTCGCCGCGTCGACAAAAAATGTTCTCGACCGCTCTTTCGGACGCTTTGCCGACTTCACTCGGGACGGGATCGGCGCAGCTAGCGTTCACCGCCGACTCGGGCCGACTCGTTTTGGCATCTTCATTTGGGTCTTCAATCGCCGTTGTCGAGTTGCCGATGGACCGGGAGAAGAGTTTCTACGTTAGCAAAGTCTTTGGGCAACACAACGAGCACCGAGGTGGTCGAGAGATCCGAGCGATGCCGAATGGCGTCAACGGCATTCATGGGGCCTCCCACTCTGACTCTGGCTCGGATTCGGATTCGGATTCGGATTCGGACGATGATGCCGAGAGGAGCAGTCGTGCCAACAGCAGCAATCGACCTGCCATGGTCGTGTGCCTATCTATTTCACAGGATGGCAAATGGCTCGCGAGTGCCGACCTCGAACGCAAGGTCTGCGTCTTTGATCTCGAGAACCTAAAGCACCATACGACCTTACCGACGCCGACTCACGTGCCGAGCGCATTGGCCTTCATCCCTTCGTCGGCGTCGCTCGTCATCGCTTTGCCGACCAACTCAATGTCGGTCTTTGACCTTATATCACTCAAGTTCCATCGTTGGGCTTTGCCCTTGTCCCAGCTCTCTGCCAACACATTGACGGATCTCCGCGAACCGATCCTAGGCTTGACCTTCGAGCCTCGTTCAGAAGCGACGGACCTCTCATCCTCCATGGCCAACAAGGTGCACCCTTCTCGACGCGTGACGACGCACCAGAACGAACAACTCGGTCTGGCATGGGGTGCGAATTGGGTCGGCACGATCGATTTCGACGCTCTGAGCAAAGGCACCCACGCACCAGGGAAGAAGACTACCCAACGTCGCGAAGTCGACAAGAAACGGGCGAGGGAGGAAGATGTCGCTTCCGGTGCCATGGGCGGTGGCGACACTGACGATGCACCCAAGCTGGATATTCGAACGACGCGGAAGTATCAGCCTTTGGTTCTGTTCGATTTCGTGACGAGTGGGGAGTTGATCGCGGTCGAGAGGACGTGGCAGGATCTTTCGCAAGGGTTGGTGCAGGCCTGGGCCAAGAGTGGCGAGTTTGGTACTTAGCCTCTGGTCTGCTGTGCAAGGAACGTTTTGGGATATATTGTGTTGCAATATGGAGACAGTCCTTGCATGAACGGATTGAAGGGCCGGGTTTCGATAAGATGCCAAAACTAAATCGACGCTTGGACAAGAGCGGACTGGAGCGGACGGGTTTCCGAAGGTTTCCGAGTCACGACGGGACCGCGACGGAGCTTGGTTCCATTTCACCCGCGTTTCGCACACGATTCGATCGCGTAACATCAAGAGTGAGCCCCACCTCGGCCTCCGGGCTCATGCCGACTCCGCCGTGGTGTTTCCTGATAACCAGTCTGGCCCCTCTCACAGTGACTAATCTGGCTCTGTTGAAGACGGAATGTCCTTCGCTCGAGTTGATCGCTCGGGGCAAAGTGCGCGACATCTACCGCGTGCCCGGCCATGACGAGGCATTGCTCTTTGTCGCCACCGATCGAGTGTCTGCTTTTGACGTTATTATGAAGAACGTGAGTCTGACTTTAGACGCTATGCCCCTCTGAGGACGTACGCACACTATGAAAAGGACCCCAGTCTTCTCCGCGTAGATCGAGCTGAACCTGTGCTTGCTATGTACGACCACAGGGTATTCCCAACAAGGGCAAGTTACTCACCGCCCTTTCCCTTTTCTTCTTCAACCTCTTGGCCACCTCACCCGAGACAAAACACATCCCGAACCACGTCATCACCTCGAAGTTGAGCGAGATGCCCAAAGAGGTGCAGGAATACGCCGATCAGCTCGAGGGGCGATCGATTTGGGTTCGCAAGGCCGAGATCCTGCCTGTGGAAGCTATCGTTCGTGGGTATATTACAGGTGGGTTCCTGCTTCCCTTCTTGGCAGCGGCGAAGGCGGGAAGATTCTCTGCTGCTTCGTCAGCGCGAGCCTTCTTGAACGACAAACTAGCTCCTGATCATGTGTGTCTTTCAAGGAACAGGTTCCGCATGGGCCGAGTACCAGAGATCGGGGACGATGCACGGCATGGAATTGCCCAGAGACCTCAAAGAGTCGACGCGTTTGGATCCGCCCTTGTTCACGCCGAGCACCAAAGCTGAGGTCGGCGACAAGGACGAGAATATTCACCCTGATCAATGTGAGCCGACTTGATCTGCGCGGTGCCTACAGCAGGTTGGGTATTTAAGTGTCTCTCGAACTTCAGTGAAAACCCACATCGACCCTTCATACGCGGAACCGTTGGCAGAGTACGCGCTGTCGCTCTACCAGACCGCGGCCAAACACTCGGCGTCCAAGGGCCTGATTCTCGCCGACACCAAGTTCGAATTCGGTCTTTTCCCCGCCTCGCCCGATGATCCAACAAAACGACGCACGTTGATGCTTGTCGATGAATGCCTCACACCGGATTCGTCTCGCTTTTGGCCCGCATCAACTTGGGCGGAGGGGAACAAGATGGTCGGCTTTGACAAGCAGTTCTTGAGAGAATGGCTTAAGAGTGGTGGAGGCGGTTTTGGTGCCAAGGGAGGAGGCATCGAGAAGGATGGGGTCGAGATACCCGAGGATATCGTGCAGGCAACATGGCAAAAGTACGAAGAGGCGTTCGAGCTGTTGACGGGCAACAAATTCAAGTGCTAAGTGGAAGAGCCGGTTTAGGATTTGTCTTGTTCTGTAGTTTGGAATGAATCAGTCCCAAACCGTTCTAGTGCTGCTCTCTCTTTCAGAGCTGACGAGTTGCGGAGTATGAAGAATGGAGCGGCTCCGCGAAATGCCGAGAAGCTTGCACCTCCGTCGCTCGCTTCTCGCAGGTGGGCTAGGGAGGGCTAGGGTGGGCTGTGCTGCTGACGCCCAGTCCGACGCTCGTCGTCCGTGTCGCGCTCCTTCTCGTCAGCTCTTACGGCCGTTCTCGAGCTCTCATCTGCCACCCTGCCGACGTCGAAAAAGCGTTTGCAGTCAGCTTTACTGCTATGCCACTGGATGCCAGCTGTGAGTTGAGCTTGCTACAGGTGCTGCGCGCGTTCGGCGTCCGTCGAGGAGCTACCTGTCTGTTTGCTGACTGACATCTGGCGGCGCTCCACACTCGCTTGAGCAGTGTTTGTCCTCTCGCTCGTACCGCGCCTCGACAAGGTCGGATGCGTTGACATCAAGGAGGATGGATCGACGGATACTCACTATGTTGCTCAGAAGGTATCGTTGCATCTTCCTTTCCTTTCCGTTTTGTGCAGGTTCCTCCGCTGACTCTGGCTCACTCCGGCACTTCCGCGCATTGCCTCATTTCAACCTCGTCGGCCTGTCCTTTTCTGCTTGGCGTTTTCACCATTTTGCTCAACGCACCGCTCCGAAAACGTTGTGCAATCCCCAGGATGTCGAAACAGGAACGATCTCCCTCATTGACCCCTGGACCGACACCAAATGGGCATCCTTAACAACGACCGTTCCGAACAAGCTCAAACTTGTCGAGTTCTTCAATCCCGAGCATTCCGAAGAGTTTAAGAACACGGGCAAGCTGGGGTGGCAATGGAGTTGGGAATGGGAACAAGTCAGATATGCTTGGGATCGATCTGGTTCGTTTTCGGGGGACAAGAGTTATACGTTGGAAGTGGTGGGTCGTGGCTCTGCTGTCTGCGCTCGACAAAGAGATTTCAGCTGCCCGTCGGAGGCTGATGACGATGGTTTTGACGTCTTCTTTGCACAGCTAAGGAAACCGGACCCAAATTTTCCTATTTGCCTGTATACTCCGGCAAGCAAGAAGAAAGCGGCGCAATGTCAGATCTTGGATTACAACTTGGCCGTGAGTAGTGCCCGCCAACGGTGGTCTGAATGATGCCGGAATGTACTGCGCCTGAAAGAGCTTCACGAAGTGTTTGGTCTCACTCGAGTCTACTATCTCTTCTCTCAGCGCATTGAACCGCCGATTGAAGACAGGAAAGGTGGGTCCTGGCCAGCGATGTCGGAAGAAATCGGCTCCCTCACGGAAGATGCCGATCAATGCCGATCTGACTCAAAGATAATCTTTGATCACTCCTGCACAACATGGTGCCCCAGGCCTTGAAGTGATGACGCTCCTCAGCTTGCTTTCGTTGCTTTCAACACCGCAATTCGACATGTTCGGAATACCGCCCACACCAACAGAAGACGCATCCTCAACTTCCGATCATCCGGCCAAGGCCTCAATTTTCGCCGCGGTCGCACAGGCCTCATCCTCCGCACCAGGCCCGAAAGCTCCAGCGAATGCAAAGTCTTCAACTCCTACAAACCCTTCTATTCCCCCGCCTGTTCCGCCGATGCCTCCGCGAAGCTCGTCGGTTCAAACACTGAGTACGAACGAGATCGAGGTGCGGGATATCGGCAAGGCGGACAAGTACTCTATTCGGGCGCTCGATCTGCTCAAGGTCGGTCTACTTTCCATCATTCGCCCTTGTGCTGAAAACGATCACTCATTCACCTTTGCTCTCTCGCGTAGGATGATGGCCTCCTATTCCTCGTCTTGCTAGGATCTGGTCCGGTCGTTCCTCATGTCGTTGCACTCGCGGAGAAGGTCAAGCGACAGCGGTACAAGACGAGTGGGGAGGAGTTGATGCAGTATATCGATGACGGAGGCGCTGAATTATCGTCTTTGGACAAATGTGAGAGGAAGAAGAGCGATTCACATCTCTTCCCCTCCGATGCTGACTTGATCTTTGGAGGAAATCTTGGATTCGACTAGATGCCACGCCGAGCTCTATCAAAGTCTATCTCTCGCGCATCGAGATGCGTGACATCTTACCCAACTACAAACCCAGACACGCGAAGAAACCCGATCTTCGACCCCCAATCGTATTCGGCTCCTCTTCGGCCAAGTCGTCGGGGCCAGCTGCAGCATCCGCAGAGTCGTCAGCCGCATCGAAGAAGACGCCGGTTGAAAGTGAGAATGGAGGTGGCGGAGGTTTGTTTGCGAGGTTCGGGTTTTGATAGATGGTCAGATTGGGTAACGAGCACACAATTGCATTGTAATAAGTACTTGCGGATGTTGTACATTTGATTGAACAGGTCGATAGCCTTAGTAGCGTGTCGGGTAGTGAACGTCGTGCCCGGTGGAGATTCGATAGAGAGTCACGGGTATTGCGTCGGTACAGTTGCATTGTAGGAGAGTGTTCGTATATGTTCCTCGAGAATGCTGTCTGTTTGGGCCTACGTCTTGCCGACGATTACTCGTGGGCCCTCGTTGGGGGTGATTACCGCTCGACCAGGATGTGCGCGCCATCCCTGGCGGACGCGTCGGCAGTCGAACTCGATGCATGGGTATCATCGCATCATCATCACTTTCGTTTGACCTGTTCCGGCAACGAATATTATTCCGAGATCAGCCGATGCTCAAGGATCAGATGGGACAGCAATATCCGGGCGGGAGACAGACATGTTGTGCGACGCAAGCCTTGAACGCTTGGAACTCCTTCTCACACATGCCACGTTCGACCTCGGTGTACTTTGCGCCAATGCATTTGCCATAGGCCATGGCCTGTGTGGAAGGGAGGGACGTGTAGGTGTGTTGCCTGCGGTCAGCGAGCTGCGTGGTACGAGAGACGCGAGGAGGGCGAGTTGAAGAGGAGCTACTGACCTGCGTTGCACAAGCTGCGAAAGCAGTCGGGTACCGCTGCAAGGGTCTCGAGATCGTCTTGGACATGGTGAGTCGTCGCCTTGGTTTGAAGGGGGTGTGACGTCGCCGACAGAGATCCGAATACGATCTCCGAAGGTGTCGAACGCTGCGGAGGCCCGCGAGACAAGACGTGATTTCGACTGGAGGAGCCGCCACGCAGCGCCACGCCCAGTCCAAGCCTGTCCAAGCCCGTTCAAGCTGTGAACTTCGCGACTCACAGTACTCACACGCGCCGCAACCCGCGGCAGGAGCGCCCGAGCCTGCAGCTGAGCCGCGGTCGAGTCGACAGACGGCGCTAGTTTCAGGTCGGAGGGGATTGCGCTCACCCAGCGCCGAGATTCCCCACAGTATTTGAATTGGGTTCACCGGCTAAAGTATATGCTGACAGCTCACCATTCGTACCAAAGTCTCTTTTTCTGAGTACATAGGCATCTGTAAGGTGGTGACGGATTGATCACTTGAAGGCCCACTGCAAGAGAGAGAATATAAACGGGTGGGCGCGTTCCCACCTGGCACCCACGCAGCTTTAAGAAACAGGACTGTAAGCAATGAATGGTCAATGCAAGACCTGTGAGTAGTGTGGCCCATGGCCCAAACAGGATCGCAGCCGATGCGCTTCCGTGGGCCAAGAGATTCGCATCCGATCGGAGAGATCGGGGCGGGGGCCGGGGTGCCCTATCGCGGCCGCGGACGTTTATTCTTTGACGGTATTCCGTCGGCGGTTTCGAGCCAAGTGTTTCGCAACCAGAGCCCTTGCGTGTTTGTGCTCTACATCCTTCCCTTACTTCTATCTCTCTGTTTTTCTCACCTTGTCCTTTACTTCCCCTTTGCTCCAGCAAGCGGCAGAGCAAGCGGCTCCGTCACCAAGCTCGCATCTTACGCCCGACGGACGTTCGGCGATAATGATGCAGCTCCACCCACCACCGGTGTCCGAAGCCGATGCGAAACCGTTCGCAACCCGATTCCGACCGTCCGATCCAGTCGAGTACAATTGCCTTGCGACCGTTCCATTACAGTCATTCGATCCCACAAACCGATACATTGAATCCTCTGCATTGTTCCCATCCCCACCTGCCTCTCCTCGTCGTGCCAAGGTGTTCCCACCTAGCCCAACATCCCCTCACCAACCGAAAACGATATCTTTTGGTGACTTTTCGGGACTCCATCACCAACCGACAACAACATCTTTTGGTGACTCCTCAGGACTCCATACCACTAATTATAAAGAGTGATCCTGCTTTGACGAGGACAAAACGATCGATGTATCCGCGGGGCGCGGGAGCCTCGGCCGACTCCTTCTCCTGGAATCCCCGGACTCCCCAAAGTGACGAGACCGAATCGATGATAGCTTCTTATCGTGAGTCGGGCTTGGCAACTTGTGACCGAACGGCTCAAACCCGAGTGGCAACCCCACATTGATAATCTGTGTTCCCTGTCTTCCGCTGTCCCCTCATTTCATCGCGGCATCGTTATGCCGTCCAGAACCCTCAGACACCCCTGTCGACCCGGCGCGACAGCGTATCCCGCCGAATTCGTTAGGTTTGTTCGATTTACCCGCTGCACCGGCCGGCGACTTTGGGTCATTCTACCCTCAATCTTCGCGCAACCCCATTCTACATCGTCACCGCCAGTCCTTCCTCTTGACATGCGCACCTCGTCAGTTCTTCTTCGGCCGGCCGCAACCGGATCACCCGTAGCCGACGGATTAGTCCTTGAAGGGTCTCAGATCGAATTTGCGCCGCTAACCCCAACCAACTTTCCCATTCCTTCCCCAAGATCCATCGAAATCTACCTCTTCTTCCGTGAACGTCGTAGCAAGTGGACCAAGGCTACCCTCACCACGAGCCGAGGCCTCGAGTACGGACTCGGCAGTCCTGTTCAGCTCGTTTACAGTCAACCTGCCGGCTCGCGTGAGCGTCGTCCGGAGTGCATCAAGTCGGAAAGGGCGGTTCACCTCCTTGTGCACAGCAAACTCACTAGGGTTGATCATGTGAAGGGTACCAAGGATATGTATAGAGAAGGGCGGCGTCCTAAGCTTCGAGGGGGCAGATGCCGAGCATTCGGATGATTTCCTAGCAACACCCCCTGAGCTTCGCTGCGCTGCTGCGCATCGGACCCGCGTCGCAGTCAGCGCCAGTCGGATTGTTGCAGTTTGCAGTACACTCGTTTTCTCATTAGTTTTCGTATAGAAGGGACCAGTCTTATAGATTCCTGGTTGATAGACGTACGCTGTAGTGCATTTTTAGACTTTCGCAGAAACGCGACGGTGGTTTCCTTTTGCATCTCCGGGTCCAACTCATCTCGGCGGGCTGAATCGACCCCGTAGTCCGTTCCGAACGCTCTTCCCCCACGCGTGCTGCGATCGCCCACGCCTACGCCCACGCCGCCTCTGCCCACCGAGCCTACTGCCCACGCTCAACCGGAGTCCGATCCGGACGCCGACGACGATCCTCGGCATCGGGATCGCGTGCATGATGCAGGTCACACAAACACCCTCTGAACACGCTTTTTCAGTAGTCTTGTGCAGTCATGAGAAAGGCAGGTGCCCTGTGGAGCAATGGGGATGTGCCAGCGGCAGCACACCACGAAGCTGTGAAGTCGATTTTTTTCTTTTTTTTCTTTTTCTCTTTTCTTGTTTCCGCTACCCTTTTTATCCTTCTAGCATCGGCCCACTTGCTTGGATCGAGAACATTTCGACCCATCACGTATCGATGGAAATGCCGTCGCTCCCTGTGTATGTAAGTCTCAAAGTGGACGGGCCGACAAGGCCAAGGCGGCGTTGGGGGGGGGTTTCGCGATTGGCGCGCCGACTTCCTCCTTTCAACTAATGCCCAACTGCGCGCGCGATGCCCCATGAAGAACACGGACATGCCGATGTCATCACACGATGTTGAATATAAGTAGATCCAGGAGTGCTTTTGATTTTTTGGGTTCGTTCGTCTATGGTGCGGGTTGGAATTGCATACAAAATGGGCCAAAGCGAACAAACAATGAATTTTCCTCCTACCCCGTGGCCGGCGAATTCAGGGTGTGAAGGGGAAGGGATTCCTCCCGAGTTTACCCCTTTTTCTCGTCCAGTTCAGAACGGATACCCCGCCGCGGGTTCGACCTGAATGACGAGATTCGCATCCGAGAGACCCGCGATCGAGCTCCTCAGCGACTTGCGTACCCGCTTGGTCACTTTATCAATATCCGCGTAATGGGACATCGACTGAGCTTGGGCCAATTGGACCGAGATGGACCCGACCATGGTCGCCGAGTCCTTGCACCAGAAGCGTGCGGCCGTGAAGGAGGAAATGCCTTCAATCTGGTTGATCTGTGAGAATTCAAAGAAGTCGTCAGCCGCTTGAAACAGCGGTAGAGGATCCTCGACTTGCCACTCACTTTGGACAATGCTTTCCGTACTTCTGTCTCCCTCTCTTCCCCGAGGTCGAGGATCAAGAGTCGACCTGCATCCTCGACGAGGGGTACGACACTGGCGAAAATGAGCACGGCGATGAAGATGGACGCTAATGGATCGAAGCCGGTCCATCCGTATCGGTTGATCAGCAGTGTCGAGATGATGACGCCAACGGATCCCAATGTATCAGCCAAAACGTGCTGTAATGATACCAGCAACCTTCAGCAGCTGCGGTGCATCTCGCTTCAGTAAGGCCAGACTTTAAAGAGAAAGCACTCACGAGGAACACGCCCTTCATGTTGTGACTTCCTGCGCCATGCCCACCCTCCTCCTCGTCGCAATCGTCATCATCATCATCCTCACATGTATCACCGTGTCCCCCATGGCCATGCGCATGATTCGAATGCGCCGAATGCCCTGATGCGGGTTTGTCGTGCTGTTTAAGGCAGAGGAAGCACTGCGTCAGTCTCGAACTCCGAGCCTGGGCGTAACCGGAAAGCGGCCTACGACTGACCGCATGCCCGTTATGCGCCGACCCATTCCCCACCTTCTCCGCCGCCTCAGGCTTACTATGCCCCGCATGCCCTCCGTGCCCTCCGTGCCCACCATGCCCACCATGCGAATGCCCATGGTGCCCATGGCCCGTCGCGACCATCCCCACGAGGTTGACCGCCAACCCTAACGAGCTGACGATCAACAATTGACCCGTGTTCATCTCCGGAGGGTCGAGTAGTCGTTGGATCGCTTCGAATACGATGAATATGGATATGAGGCAGAGGAAGAGGCCGTTTGCAAAGCCCGAGAGCGTTTCGACTCGCGAGTAGCTGTGGTTGAGAAAGGTCAAGTTCAATGGTTCATGCACCGAACACCCTCTTGGCCGCCCTACTCACCCGTATGTGAACTTGTCATTTGATGACCATGTCGCCATCACACTAGCGAACAATCCCATTCCGAGGGCAAGGCAATCAAAGAACATGTGGATGGCTGTAATAAAATCGTGTCAACCTGCATAGCTCGGCTTTCGTCGCAACACGACTTCAGTCGACTCACAATCCGAGATCAATCCCAACGAATTGGTCCATATCCCGTACGCCATTTGCACGAACATGAACGCGAGGTTGAGGCAAAGGAAAAAGTAGATGCGCTTTGACTCGTCCGACGCAAGGATCGTCTTGATCGTCGCGCGGAAATGGCGGTAGAAGTTGGATACGCGCCCGAGGAAGGGCTCGTTGCGGGAGGGGGTTGCAAACGAGCTTCCGTTGGAGGGAATGAGCGAGGATCGAGGATCCGACGATACGAGGTTGGCGATGGCTGTGCAAGTGGGCTTCCAGTCAGCACACTTTGAACTGAGATAACCCGGCGTACACGCCAAGACTCACCGGTCCATGCCAGAGCAGCCACAACATAGTCCGCCAAGCCCAGCCCTTGACCAAAGCCGACGTAGCCCACGAATGCTGTACTGAGCTGTGCCAATGGCCACCCTGAGGAGACTAGCCGAGCTGGTGGGAAGTGGGCGAGCAGCGCACGAGAGAGGAGGGGGTCCGCGACGTGCGAGGTGATGGCGAGCAACGCAGCGGCGCAGACGAGAAGACCGATGGTGGGGTCCGGGGCACTGAATGCATCAAATACGGGCGTACCCTTTTGTGGAAGGTGGGCGGCGAGGTGGGTGGTAATGAGAGGGACGCCGAACTGGAAATGGTCAGAGGAAGTTGGGCGTCAGCTTTCTCGGGCGAAAGACTGGTGTGGATCTCTTTCATCCAGATCGGAGAACGCACAAAGGTGAATCGCGCCAAGGCAAGAACGAGAGCGAAGAAAGCGCCGCCTATTGTCCCCAGCATATGAGCTCGTCCTTGCAGGTCGATCTGGTAAGCGCTGAGGAGATCGGCACGTTGGCCCGACAAGAGCAAGTGGATGAGGAGGACGCCGTACGCCGACTTGCGCGCCATCCCTACGACAAAATGCGAGTTCAAGTAGTCAGGAAGGGAGATCGACCCTGTCGAAGTTTCGCTGTTCTCGAGTGGGTGGTGACTGACCTGTGAGGATCTTGTCGAGGACGTAGCTCGCGCCGATCATGGCGGTGGTGATGAAGATGGCATCCGCCTTGCCCTGAGCTCGTTTGGCGCCAGCGCCGGAGATATTGATGGGCACCCCTCGAGCCCACAAAGACGCGAAGGACGAAAGCATGACGAATCTGGGGTGGAGATGAAGGCCCGACCGTTGAGCTAGATGCGGCCGGTAGAGGGAATAGGAGACGGCGTCGGGCTCGCTCACCTAGCGACAGTCATTCGCGACAGGACCATTAGTGCTGTTAGGGATTCTGCAGCGATCAAAACGGCGTATATCCACGTTGAAGGCTCCTGCAGAGATTCCGATAGCGCATTGCCCAGGTCAGAGATCCGTAGGCGGAAGGAACGTGGACCGCCGAGACATCCTCGTCCCCCCCACAGTTGCTCGACCGCCGAGTCCGAGACCGGAGAAGGCGTGCGAGCCCACAGAGAGCGAAGAGCGAGGATCGATTCCGGGATGACAAACCTCTCTCCGCTTGGCTATTCCGCGTGGTGTGGTCCATACTTGCTCCCACAGAGAGAGTACGACGGCGGCGATGGCGAGCGCGACGGCGTTGAGCGCGGAGATGCTGAAGCCCTGCGCGAGCAACCAGTCGCGCGAGATGTAGAGCGCTACGGCGAGCAACGACTTGGACAGCAGCATCGACAGCAGCAGGTCGGCCGGAATCGAGGACGTCGATACACTGCGAGTGGTGGCGCCGTCGGCCGGAGAGAGAGGCAGGGTCAGTACTGCAGACGGGGAGCTCGGACGCGTCGAGCCACGACGACGAGCAGCAGGACGGCCGGCGGAGATGCACGGCGATGGCGGATGAACAGGCAGAGTATGGATGCACTGACGACGGCAATGCAAACGACTGCACGCTCACGCGACCACTCCGTCGAGGATCAAACGCCTCGACGTATCCGCGTGAGCTCATGCTGCTACGACTCCACACACAGTTCAGATCGAGGTCGAGGTCGAGGTCGAGGTCGAGTGACGAAGGTGAGCCTGCCTGGTCAAGCGGGCGCGAGGACCGGTGTGGTTACTACTCAATTCGTCCCAAACAGTAGTAGTGATCCTGGCGACCGCGGCAGTTTCTAATGCGTAATTCTTGGCCGGCCACCCCGCCAGACCCCGCCTCGCAGCCGCCTCGCCGCGCGCGTACCTGTTGAGCATTATGCAGGCTTTCGCTGCTGCTCATCCATCGATCATCGATCATCGATCATCGATCATCCCCGGCCAAAGTGCGCGGCGTCCTCACGAGGCCAGTGATGCGCCTGCTCGCATGGAGGGGACGGCCACCCCTCAAACCACCACCACCGTTACGGACGCCAGCCGGGTCCTGTCGCCCCTCGTCAACGTGGGCATCCCTGCGTGCCTCTTCTGCCACCACCCGTGCCGCCGGGGTGGTCGGCGCCGAGGATACCGTTGCGGATGAGCTCGACACGAACCACGGCGCAAACGGCGCAACACGACCGCGACCCCGATCAGTCCCAACCACCTCCTTCTTTACGCGCATCTACCATCGATTCGGCTCCACCCCAGCACAAGCAAGCGCGGCTCCGTCGCCTCCTCCCGCGCGACCGGAGCAGCTGCTCGAGCGGTTGCTGTCGTCGCTCCCTCGCATGGCCAATTCGGCCTCGGCGGTACGACTGCAGCACCGATCCCGCGACGACGTACGGCAAGAGCTCTATGCCTGGAAGAGGGCCTGTGCAGCCGCCTACGTCGCTCTCGATGGCCCCTTGCGCGATACGCAGTCGCTGCAGCTGCACGAACGCATCATCAAGGTCGTCGCCCATACCCTAAGATTGCTCATTCGCACAGATCAGGTCCACGCCGCGGCCGAACTCGACAAGGCCTTCTTCACCTCGTCTCCGAACGTCGTCGTTCCTTTCCCACTCTTGCTCAATACCCAAGCCGCGCGCGCGATTGTGCAGCAGCACCAGCAAGCTCGCCATACCCACGCCCAAGCTCGCCATCACCGAAGCAGCTCCGCGGATGCCGATCTCAACACCGGCGCAGACTGGCTCTCGACGAGTGGGCTAGGATTGGGATTGTACAGAGGCAACATCAGCATGGCGTGGATGCAAGCTTTGGCGCTACGACTCGACTCGCGCGCCTTCGAGACCCTCGACAGCTTTGGCCAGTTGCTCGCGCTGCTACACGACGAGCAGGGGCATACCCCGCAAGGGATCGACCCGCACATCGTCGCCTTTCTCGTTCGGAAAGCACCCCAACTCGAGAAGCGGCTGTGTGAGCTCGGGGCAAGCGAGGAGGTCGCCCGCGCCGAGATGAGTCGCCTCATCCTTGCCATTCGCAATCGCACCGAGTTTGAGAACGATCTTGTCGTGCGCCTCTCGGTCGTCGAATCGGCGCTACAACGGCTAGAGCAAGGTCTATGGGACCAGGATTTGTTCAATCAGGTGGAACGGGACGTGCGTACGCTCATCGACGAGACCGAGGACACGGGTAGCGCCGAGCTGGGAGCTGCCGAGGACTTTGACGATCTTCAACAAGAGCCCCTGAAGACGCACGCCAAATCTGTGGCAGCAACCCCGATCGAATTGGTGCATCAACGCGCACAGATCCTCTCTGCTTCGATCCGATTCGTCCTCTACCGAGGGCAAGCCGCCCTCGCTTCCGATCATGCGATGGATGATGCTCGAGCGCTGCACCGCACTCGGATGCAGTTTCGTCAATCGATCTCGACGGCGACGCAACTGTACGAGAAGCTGTTGCAGCTCACTCCTCTCGTATCACATTCACCCCGAGAACTCGGGACGATGCGCGAACGTCAATCCGGGGCATTGTACCGGATCTTGTGGGCCAGCATTGGATCGAGCGATCACGGCCATCCTATGCCGACCCCGGACCACGACAAGCACGCGACGATGACGTGGGATCCGCATACGCTGCAACAAGCTCTTCATGCGGTATCTCATACCTGTCTAGCTGTCGTCGACATCCCCCTCGATCCATGCCGTCTAGCTCGGCGTACACACTCGCACTCCGTTCGCTCAGGTCGAGATCATCTCCGGACACCCGTTTCCGATCCACGCATCATCGGGATCTCGACCGAGTATTGGCGTCAATTGTTGACGATTCTAAGCCTCCCCGCCGCTCCTTCACGTCGATCACCCCCTCGAGCACCGGCGACTCGACCACCTTGGATCGTACTCAAGCGAACCTTGGAGACGATGCTCTTGACCCGACAGTACGACGCATCGAGGCGCCACGTCGAGCCGAGTTCGTCCTCAGCTCGAACGGACCTCGGTCGTTCGATCCGCCTATTTGAGAGACCGCTCTTCGTCAGACGCGCGTTTGTACACCACCTCGTCCGTGCGGTTTTACTAGGCGGGTCCGACCCTACTCGAGCCGACGAAAGTACAATCTCCCATCGTGTCGAGTGGTTCTTATCCTGGATCGATGCATGGTGCGAGACGATCGGGAATGAGGGGAGGAAGGCTTTGGTGAGGGAGGCGTTTGGGGAGGTGCTGAGGAAAGAGGAAAGGAGTGTGGTCGGGTTTCCGAAGAAGGGGGAGGTGGAGGAGGTGGTGAGAAAGTGGGCGAGGGGGAAGGTCAGTATTTGGTGGTAGGGTTCTGATTAACGGGGGGATGGTCGAGCTGACGATGGCTTTGACGAGCAGATCATCTCGAGTCGTGCTCACAACTCGGAGGGGGTATGATGGGTTGCATCGCAAAAGTTCTTTTTCCTTCTAGTTTCTTGTTGTCACGTTAACTTTCCGTTCATACGGTTTGCCTGTTTTTGTTGTACGGATCATGCATCACACGTTGTAAGAATGCAGATCTCGCATCGATGCGTCATGATTTGCTTCGCTGGGGTTCCCCTCTCGCAGTGTTCTCTCCGGTAAGCATGAGACCCGCTCGATGCATGTATATGTTTCACATTGCATCATCCCACGGCTCTCACTCAAGCCCCCTGTGTTGGTAAGGGTTCGTCGACGAGGTTGTGTTCGGCCAAAAGTTTCTCCAATTCGCCCGATTGGTGCATGCCGAGCACGATGTCGCAGCCTCCGACGAATTCGCCCTTGACGTACAGCTGAGGGATCGTGGGCCACTCGCTATGGAACGACCGAAGGTGCACGGGAAAGATCAGCTCGGAGGGAATGGCTGCTGTTCGCGCGCGTTTCCCTCGGCGATGGAACGTACGAATAGACCTTGATCCCTTCCCTCAACTCCTGGTCCTCGAGGCAATTGAACGCCTTGATCTTGCTCAAGTCGACGCCTTGCACTTGGAGGATTTGTACGACCGCGCGGGAGAAGCCGCATTGGGGCATGTCGGGGGTACCTTTCATGAAGAGCACGAGCGGGTTGGATTGCACGACCTGTGGCGTAGGGGTGGTGCAAGAGGGGGGGGGGTGAGTGCGAGTGCGAGTGCGATCGAACAGAGTCAAGCCTTGTCAACTCTGGGGCGTACATTGTCAATCTTCTGCCTGGCCTCTGTGGTAAGCGAGCGATGGAGAAGACCGAGCCGAGCGATCGATGACGGACTTGCGAGAACGCGAGTCGACGCGAGCGAGGTGGAGGACGAGAGAAGGGATGCACGGGGTGATCGCAGCGCTTGGCCGAGTCGGAGCAGGGACATGGTCGTGGGAGGGTGGGGAGGTGCGGCGAGAGTGGGTGCGAGGTGGGGTGAGAAGTGGTCAGGAGTCAAAAGGGCGGAGCCGAATCGAGCCGATCGCAAGCGGTGAAGCTGAAATAAGCTGAACCAAAACCAAAAGCTGAAGCGATGATGTCAAACATCAAATCGACTCTATCGCGCTGGTCCGACCAGGTCCGACCTCGGCGCTCCTTCTTGGACGCCCCGCCTCGTCCACCCCAGCATGCTTCGAGCCGTAGCAACTCGAAACATTACATCCCTGGCGCGTTCCTCGACCACCGTAGCCCGACTGAGGACGAGTGTACCCGTCACAAACCCCTGGCCCGCTCGTCTGTCCCCCTCTTGCGCTTGCACCATCACACGTGAGGAAAAGGCTTCTGAAACCAGCAGGGCGCATTCATCGTGCTAAGAAACATCTTCCTCTCGCACCCAGGCCACGCCTCATCCTCGACCGATGCCTCGTCGTTGCAAGATCCTCAGGAAATCCAAGCCCAGGCGGCACTCGATCAGGGCACACTCGCCTTGCAGCACGGTCACCTCGACGAGGCGGCCAAGCACTACCAGCACAGTTTGAGCATAAAGGAGAGCTCGATCGCGCACTACAATCTCGGCGTCGTCCAGTTCGTTCTCCTCTTGCGGTGTTCAAGGCTGTCTACGCACTGATCCCCCCCAACACCCCACCTCAGATACCAACTCTCCTCCTTGCCCGACGCCATCAAATCCTTTGAACGATCGCTCTCGCTCTCCCCCTCCGTCCCCAACCCAGCCCAAGACGTATCCCCCTCGGACCCCTTACAGCAGCCCTTGACCCCGGCCCAACTGATCGCCGCCGATACGCACACCAACCTCGGCGCGGCCTACATCCTGTCCAAACCCCCGCAACCGCAACTCGCGCTTCAACACCTGCAACACGCCCTGGCGTATAACCCGGAGGATGGTGAGGTGTGTTATAATCTGGCGGCGGTGTTGGAAGCCACGGGCCATTTCGATGAGGCACTGGTCGCGTTTCAGAGGAGTGAAAAATTGGGCATCGACAGGGCCAAGATCAATATCAGGAATGTGAGTAGGGGCGCGGGGAAAAGAGTCTGTTTTGGAAGGTGAAATAAAAGTGGCTGACGAGGACTGCGTGCAGTTGGGCGCCAAGATCCTCGGCAAGATGAGGGAAGAGGAGGAGAAAAAGAGTCAGGGTGGTGGTGGTGGAGAAAAGGGGGAAGGGTCGTTGGAGACGATGTAGAGAAAGAGTGGAGCGAAAATCATAGAATCGGTAGAATACCGAGTGAAGCATCTCTTTGGCAACGCACTCCGATCGAGTCATGTGAGGCAGACGACCTCGGCCGTTCTCGCAGACCGAGCTCGCCTCGACACGCAAGTGGTGACTGGCTAGAATACAACAGAGCTTCAAACGACTACTTCTCCGACACCCCGTCTACCCTCCGCTCATCCTTCAACAGTCCACGTATCCCCCTGCGACCCTCCCTTGAGCCACTTGACCTCCTCCCCCTTTTCCCTCATCAAATCCTCGATCGTTCGTGATCGCTTGGTCGTCGAATCAGAATTGAAGCCCAGTCCGTCTGGGTGCGCGGCGGAAGGTGTTGTGGCGAACCATTCGAGGTGGTCGGCTGGATGCGATGGGAGACGAAAGATCAGCTTTTTGAGGATCAGCTTTTTGAGTTTGGCGAGGCGCGTTCCCGAGGGGGGGGTGAGGTGCTCACCGATCAAATGGCGATTCTTGCACGCCGGACACTCGATCAACACCAACCCCTTCTCGTAAGCCTGTTTACTGAACTCATGACTACTTCGATGCGAGCACACGCCCAACTTGGGTTCCGTCCCCTCCGTCGTGAGCGTTGCGGATTCAGCTCCGGTTCGAGCGGGGACGGCTTCGGGTACGGTGATGGGTACGGGTGCGGTACAGGTGAAGGTGATTTGGAGTCGGCGTTGGATTTGGCCGATCGGTGTCTTGACTGGAGGATCTTGCGAGGAACGGAGGGAGGAGTGGAAGAAGGAGCGGGGCGGATCGAAGGAGCTCCTACGACAGGACGAGGACGAGGACGAGGACGAGGACGAGGACGATGACGACAGCGGCAACGGCAACGGCAGCGGCAGCGACAGCGGCAGCAGGACGGCGGGGAGACGCGATCGAGAGACGCTCGAGCTCGATGCCCAGGAAGAGGGTGCGATGCGTCTTATGAGAGCAGTCTGGAGGGGTGACATCGTAGCGAGCGAGGTTTAGCGATGAGGACGACAGGAAGAGTCGAGAGGGAGGAAGCCGCCGGAACTCGGGTCGAGAAAGCGGTCCGTGCGCGGGCGGTCGCGCTTGCGAAGTTCGAGCTGGGGCGCGAGCTCCGCTTCTCGAGCTCGACCGCACCCGTACTGGATTCAGTCATCTCGCCATGTCGAGTGAGTGCACCTGATAAATCAAGTTTCGCTCACCGTTCCGCGACTGATCTCGAGATGTTGCTCCTGGACCCCTCTTTCCAGAACGACTGACCTTGGCCGAACAGCTCGCTCAGATCGCGGAGCCAGCACCCCGAGGTCAGCAGCATCCACAGCTCTCGATCCGGGCATCAGCATCCAGTCCGAGGAGCTGATCCTTCCGTTCAACGTTCAACAGATTTCGACCCCGAGGACTCGTATGCGACCTACGCGAACGAGCGAAACAAAGGCGAGCAAGCCGATTTGGAAGCCGGTCGAGCCGAGTATTTACCAGTTGGGTACGTGACCCGGACAGATTCGGCCCTATGGGGAATCATCCCTGGCTGAAAACCCGATTCGATTGGTCGCAGGCCCGGGGGGTTGAGAAAGAAGGGCGAGGCGCTGGTCGATTCGAAATATGACGGCAAGAAGGGGAGTAGGCGGACCATGTTTGGTGGCGAGGAGGACGAGGACGAGGAGCATAATGAGGATGGCGAAGACCTCGACGAAGACGAAGACAGCGAGCAAGACGACGACGGAGGCGACGACTTTGACGATCTCGTCGGATCCGAGGACTCGCAGGAATTCGCCTCGGCTGATCAGGACGACAACGACGACGACGATGAAGGGGAGGACCTCGCCCCCATTGCATCGACAAGCAACAAACAAGCCCCACCATCAGCCCTCAAGACCTCAACCAAGTCCTCCATAACCAAAGGCAAATCCGCCGATGAACGAGCCATGATTTCGCAACTCCGGACTGCGGCCCACGCCGACATCGAAAAAGGTATCGACGTCAAGAAGCAGCTTTCGTTCTGCGATAGCGTGCTCGAGTCGAGGATCAAGTTGCAGAAGGCCGTCACTGCCATCAACGTGCTTCCAAGACCGGGGAATGCCGAGATGTACTATGAGCAGGTGGAGGAGGAGAGGGAACGGGCTAGGCTTGAGGTTGAGGCGCTGAATGAGGAATTGTTCAAGCTCCGGAGTGTGAGTCGCCATGGCGTGCTCGAGTGGCGCGAAATTCTCTTTGCTCATTGATTTCTCCTTGACCATACCTACTTGCTTGCAGACTATGTTACAGGGAAAAGAACAGATCCAACTCCCGGCAAACCTCGGGCAATCGAGGAAACGTCACCGCAACCCCGACTCGGCGCAGGAGTACCTTGCTGCGACGGTCAAGGACCTGGCCGCGATCGAGACCGCGTGAGCACAGTATTCGTCTTGCAACTGCTCAAGTAAAACCTCATGACTGACTCTTGATCGTCTACCGCCCACCAGCCTCGAGCCCTTCCTCCGCACGACCATCACCAAATGGTCCGACAAAGTCCTCGCCGCTTCCGGTCTCGCCCTCGGCAAAGACAAGAAATTCAAAGCCGTGAACCAAAACGCTATGGCGCAAATAGACCATGCGCTCGGACATCTGGAACGTGAACGGCTCGTCAAGAGGACTCGGTTGAGGAGGGCGACTGATCGAGCTGTTGTGGGACAAGCTGATTTGGGGACGTTGGAGGGGGAGAAGACGCCCGCGGACGAAGAGGTATTTGATGATGGTGATTTCTATCAACAATTGTTAAGGGATGTGATTGAGAGTAAGATGCTCGATCTCGGTGCGTTATTCCCCTCGGGTCTCGTCCGGACTTGCTTCGATCGGAGTGTTCTGACCGGTTTTGGACCGATGCACAGACGACCCTACTTTGGAGAGTTTGCGCCAGGCAACGGCGAGGAGCAAGAAGCAGAAGAAGGTCGTCGATACCCGTGCGAGTAAAGGTCGTAAGATTCGGTACCATGTTCATGAAAAGATGCAGAATTTCATGGTCCCGATAGAAGCTGGTAAGCTAAGACCTACATACGTTCGTGTCTCTCGCACCTGGAGCTAATTCGGCCTTTCTCATTACGCTAGGTGGGTGGCACGAGGAAAAAGTCGACGAACTATTCGCCAGTCTGCTGGGTCGTTCGTTCCCTCAAGTCAACTCGAACGAAGAGGAAGTGAGCAAGGTCTCGACAGGGAGGAGTGGTGCGACCGCTTCGGAGAATGTCGACGTTGGGTCGCTCAGAATTTTCGGGTAGAAGGTGAAGTTCGGGGTATGATGTGTTTGTAATTGCATGTTTGCATTGCAGTGAAGGGACGTTTCTGCCTGTTTCGGCGTCTTTTACCTCCAACTTTTTGGACCATCTTCTGCGAATTCTAGATGAGCGCTCATGGGCTCGCATGGGAACCGGCCGCGGTAGGACCCCCGAAAGCCCAGCCATAGGCGGCCGTCTAAAAACGGCCTTTTTCGAGGCAAAATGTCCAAATTTTTTCCAGATTCTGACTGAAAATGTCCAAATATGAGGGCCGCCTAGTGTTGCATAATTTCTCAAAACTACTCTACAAGCTGTACAATGCTCAGAAATTTTTCTGCGCTGCGCGCAGACTGCGTTCCCGCCGCGCGCGGGCCGGAAACGTCGCGCGCTCGCACCAAGAGCGCCGCCCGCGCGACCGCCAACGAGCCTTTTCAAAGTGAAATGGACTTCAATAGGATCTCATTGTATTCATGTGATGGTCTTTGGAAAAGTCGGAGGAAATGCAATTAAGCACACTGGCTAGGCCAGTAGTGTAGGACTCATTGACCCTGAATCAGAATCATACCCACTAAAACCCCCTTGGGTGATTTACAGAGACGCAAGGCGACCTTGGACTCCTAAATTGACGCCCGGAGCTCCTCGAGTGCCGTTTCGGTGATCGCTTCCAAAGCATCCGACGACAATCGGCGGCGGCGAGAGAGCTTCCAGATCGAAAGGAAGGAGAGGAGACGTAGCTCGACAAGTCGGCGTTCCGAGCGAGGGACGACCAAAAAATGATAAATGATCGCATATGCAGACACTTAGTACTAATATAACGCGTTCCAAACGAAAACAGCGCGACTGTTACCCGCGCCGCGAAGCTGGGCCGGCTATATATGCCCTGCGCCTCCAGCCTCCCGCTAGCCTGGTCTGCGCTTCAGAGTTCGACCGAAGGGAGGAAAATGTCCAAAAATGAGGTGAGCCTCGACCCATTTTGAGCCAAAAATGTCCAAATTTGCGGGCCGCCTCTGGCTGGGCTTTCGGGGGTCCTGCCGCGGTGCTACGAATTGATGAGCGTCGCGACGACCCGCGTCTACCCGCGTCCCACTCCTACCCCTCGCCCACTGCGGCACTCGATTACGACACAGCTCTGCGACGGGCCACAACAGCGGACATCGAGGAAAGAACACATCTCTGGACGTGTATACCTCTCTCTAGATCGCGTCCGACAGCTTCCACTCCCGTGCTACGTACACGTCACCTTGGCGAGAACGTACCCGAAACTGCGCATCCAGAACGAAACGTTGAGAATGCACGTCGACGACGCCCCCACACCCACGCCCGAAGAAGCCGAGATGAAGATTGACTATGGAGAAGACGACGACGGCGCCGTGGAGGGGGACGACGATGCTCTGATGCAGGACGAGGCTCAGGCGGTGGGGACGGCTGCTGGCGGCGACGGGATGCTGCTCGACGACTCGCTCGCACCGACACCCACCCCGGCCATGGATGCAGATGCAGATGATGAGCCAGAGGCAGCCAACGATACTGGCTTGGAACGAGCAGCACGCTCCCTCTCACTGCCCCCCATCACGCTCTTCCACTCACCACCGCCGTCGTCCTCGGCTGCCTCGACCTCGACCTCGACCTCATCCGGCCCATCGTACACCTCGATCGCACCCCGCACGCTCCCACTCCACCCGGGCTTCTCTTCGCCTCCCCTGATCAACGTCAGCGCCGACGAACTGCAACTATCGGCCCTCGGACACTCGGCCGCGGCCGTCGCCCCTTCGCGGCTGTCCTGCGCTCCCTTCTCGCTCGGGATGGACCCACCAGCTCCGATTGTCTCTCCGACGCCCATGTTTGACCCCGCCCAGGTCACCGCGAATGACCAGGAACCGAGCGACGCGCGTCGGTCACAGGTGACACCCTCGACGGACGAAACGCAGCAGTCGCTCTTGGACCCTCGAAGGGCTCTAGCCTCGCAGCACCAGCACTCGTCCGACGACGTGCAGACGCAGGACCAAGCGATCGAAGCCCTCGGGCCCGGCACGACCCGCATCGTGCAGGAACAACAACTACGACAACAAAGCGAGGACGATCCCGATGTCGATGGTGTGGCCAAGCAAGAGAACGAGGTCATCATTCGCCAGGGTCTGGACGGGCACATCATCGTCGAGACCGAGCAACGCAATTCGGTTCCACCACCCTCGGCGTCGGCCTCGAACGCGAGTGGGAGTGCGAGTGGGGGCGATGATGGGCAACAGCAACAGAATAACCGAGCACAGGTGCGACAGATCAACTCGGTCAAGGTCGTCGAGGCCGTTGGGGCGTCGAGTGGGCTGCTCAAGCGACCACTGATCGACAAGGCCGTGCTCGAATTTTTCGGACTCGGCGACGAGGCGGCACTGCAGATCAGTGAAGACGACGACGCCGAGGAGGGTGACGAGACGGCACAGGCGGAGCCAGTCGCAGAGGGGGAGACGGCAGATGCACCACCTCGCCCAGCACCACCTCCGCTCGCACCGACGGTCCTGCTGCAGTTCGGCGAAGACCGGTACACAATGTTTCGAGCCGCACCCGTCGTCGAAGATGGGCAAGACGCCGAAGACCTACCGATTCTGTTCGGCGAACGCAAAGACCATCACCTGTACTATGAGCAGATCGAGGCGCTGTTCGAGGCGTTGCACGCCTCGCTGCCGGGCTTGGAATCAACGCAAGCTGAATACTCTCTCGAGATAGACGGTCTGGGCATCGTCCTCCAAGAGGTAAGTTCCGGGGCAGGGGCTCTCATGTCGCGCATTTCGATTCTGACATGTGCTCTTCATCGTTCGATAGGACAACGTCTATACTCGAGAAGTAAGCCTGCACGACTTCCACCGTCTCCACAGCGGCTGTGGCCTGCCGGGGCGGATGCTGGTCAAGCTTGCCGAGCGCGAGGGACCGCGCTTTCCGACGGGCTTCAATGCGTTGATGCAGCATATCATGCGCGTGGCCGATGGGAGGGAAGAGTCTCTTGCTGTGGGTGGAGAAGAAGAAGAGAAGGAGGAAGCGTACGAAGAAGCGTACGAGGAGGCGGAGGAGGAGGCGGTCGAAGAGGTTGAGGCTCGTGAGACAGAGGCAGAGGCAGTGGCAGAGGCAGAGGCAGAGGCAGAGGCAGAGGCAGAGGCAGAGGCAGAGGCAGAGGCAGAGGCAGAGGGAGCTGAGGCCGCGGCCGAGGGCTCTCCCTACGATGAGAGAGAGTGGCACGAGACGACAGAGGGGGGCGAGGAGTGGGGCGAGGCCGAGGAAGGATCTGAGGTGTACGAGGCAGCAGAGGACGAAGAGGCGGAGGAGACCTACGAGGAGTTAAACGACGAAGACCTGGCTGCCGTCGTCGAGGGAGCGCAAGAAGACTACGTGCTTACCCAGGATCAGGTGGAAGAAGCGAATGGCGAAGTAATGACGGCGACTAGTGAGGAAATCAATGGTCGTTCGGTCAACGGTCATGAACCTGTCGCAGCGGAAGAACGGATATTCAAGTCGATTAAGGCGGTGCGATCGGAGCCGCTCGAGTTGTCGTACGATACTCCCGAGGGTACCGGCTTCGAGCCACCCGCGATTCCGCTGGACAAGCGAGAGGCTGTTGTCGAGGCTGCTGCGGCTACAGTCGAACAGAATGAGAACGGGACGACAGAAGCTCAGTTCGTGGAGGAATTCCCTCAGGACAAGACTGGTCAGTCTGTGTTCGGTCCGAACCTGAGGTACCCAATTGCTGACTTTAAAACTTGTGTCTCACTGCAGACATACCCAAGAATGGCAGTGTCGTCATCGACTATGATGAAGTCGCCGTCAAACCCAGCATCGGCGAAGGTGGGAAGCGAGCTCACGCCTCTGTTACGGACGAGGACGATGCTCCTAGGGACGATGATGACGCGACGGGTAAGTCGTCGCTAGCAGATCGGGTTCACGGGTTCATCGAAGAAGAAGACTGACTTAAAACGATTCTCGTTCAGGTGAGAGTAAAAGACCGCGCCTTTCTGATCCCGAGATAGATGGACACAGCGGCCCCGAAGACGCCGCTTGATCAAGATCAGTTTGGTCGCTCGGCTCGGCTACCGCTTCGGCATTCGCGATGCGCTCTTTCGCCATTCTTCTCTTTTCTATTTGTGTCCTCCGTACGCCTCTGTTGTCGCATCTTTCCACCGCGCCTCTTTGGACCGAACTGGCTTGGGGCGGCGATTCGTACGAGTCGCGTCTTTCTGTTGTGTCGGGAGCTTTTGATCGTTCGATATCGTCAAAGTGGACAAGGATGAGAACGCTACACTAAGGACTACTACAATGTGTTTGGTGCGTTGCCTGATCCGATCGCGTGGCAACTAATGCAATTCTTCCACAGCTGCGATGGTTCTGATCCGCTCTGTGGACTCATGCGATGGGGCTTAGATGAGGTTGCCGTGCTGTGTCTTGGTGGCATAGGGTTTTCCTTTTTTCACTTTTCCGGGGGTTGTACCAGAGGTTCCACGATGTTTGTGCTGCTGCGAATTGCTACACTTGTTCCAAGATCTCTTAGGATGCCTCTCGGAGATGTACAAAGTCGTCTGAAGTCTCCGAGATTTGAGCTGGGGCCCCGCCGGCCGGCAAGCAGCATTGTGCATGACGTGACCCGTCTCGCCTCCTCTCCGCGTAGTTAGTCGGAGGTTGTTACCGCCTTCTCGACTGTCTCTCTCTCCCTACGCGTCTCCTCGTCCCTTGTCGTCATCACCCCTCTATCTGTGGTAAAGAACATCGCCCCAAGATGTAAGTCACCACCGGTATCACTCCCAGTCGTCTCTCTCTCCCCAGTTCGTCCCCACACGTTCCCATGTTGCCGAGCCCCCGAACCTGCCGCGCCATTGTCCGTCACTGGCGTGCGTAACTGAAGCCCGCTTACTCTCCTCGCAAGCACTGACGACCCCCCCTCATCCTTCATCACCCCTTGAACAATGCCTTGGCATCGCCCAGGTTGTACACGCTCTCCGTCCTCGGCCTGATCATGGTGTGTCTGTTCCTGATCTGGCACTTCCGCGCCAAGTACATCGACCACCTCCCGCCCGCCTTGTCGTCACGATTACGGTACTATGCCCCCTTGTCGACCTTTGAGGATGCGGCTGAACAAGGTGCGCTTTCAAACTCGATCCTCTTCAAGTTGCCGAATACACACGACTGACCGCCTTCTCTCGGAAACTCCCTCACCGCTAGGGTTCTCCACCGCGGCCTTTGACCTCTCGGGCAACATGGCCGGTGACTCTCGTGCTGGATTGGACGATCGTACTCTAACCGAGGTGCGAAGGATCATGGAGGAGAAGAGGTGCAACTTCGACGAGGCGAGGGTCATCCACACCAATAGGATGTTTGCGAGGAATGGTACGTTCTTAAGGAGATCGGCAAGGGGTTGGGTTTGGGAGCTGTCGAAGATGACTCCGAATTCGTGCTTATTTACGTTTTTGGTTTTGTCCTTCTGGGACAGGTATTGATCCGAATGGATACCCGCTAGGTCAGCACTAGACCGGCGCCGTGTTGCATCGTCCTGGAGTCGACGCTGACTCGCGAACCTCTCTGAAAATCTTGACTCTCTATCCATCTTTTCCGATCACACAGACCCCAAGGCCATCACTCGACTCTCGTGATTTGGCACCTTATTCGCCCTCTATCGCCCACTGAACAATCAGCTCGCCTTCATTACTCACTCACTCGTTCCGCCTCTCACTTTGTCGCCCGTACCTGTATTCCACGGTTCAATTCACCCTTTCTTTTGCTCGTTTCTTCTTCTCTTCGGTCCTAATCTGCGCTTCTTCCGTTGGAGTCGTCGTCTCCCCCTATTGTTGTAATGCCACTATCGCTCAATCTTCATCCCTCAAGCCCCACGAAGCTTTCATCGGTGCGGGATCTGTTATCCTGACATCCTCACCGAAATACCAAGCAGTTCGTAACCAGAGCCTGGAAATATCTGAGACACCATCAAACTGGTTTCCCGTCTGTATGCACAATTGAAGAATATCTCATTCCGAACGAACGAAGAAACTTGAAAGCTAAAGCGAAAGATCACAGAGGGAAGAAGCGAATAAAGGGGGAAGGATATGAAAGTGACCCACGTTGCCGCGGACCTTGACCGAATAGGTGATGATGCTCAAACATGTAGGGACTCAAACGGACGGGAACGAATATAATGACCGAAAGGAAGGGGATGAATGCGGGGTGGAGCGAGCGAGAAGACAGGCGAGAGAAGGTATTTACTGCCGGCGAGAGAGGGTTAGGGGTCCAGCTATAAGTTTTTGTCGGCCCAAGGAGTTGGAGCTTCGAAGCTGGCGACATACCTGAGCCAAAATTTGTCGAACGAACTGGACATAGTTGATCGTTCCCTCGCTACGTGTGACATCGTACATGAGAAAAGAACTGAGCATTTACCCTATCTCACCCCACCTGCCGGATGCTCTCTTCTCTTCCGAGAGTACTGACCTCGTCACAGGCACCCCGCTCAACAGCTCGTCGACCTCGTCGTCGGACAACTTCTCCCCCAACGAGGTGAGCACGTATTTGAGTTCGCCTTGGCCGATGTACCCTGTGCCGTCCTTGTCGAAGACGGCGAAACCACGGATGAATTCGTCTGATTGAGCAGGGGAAGGGGGTGGGGGGGTGATGTTACGACGGATGGGTCAGTCTTCCGAGATACAGAGGTCCACCCAGAATGAACTCGGAGCTGTTCCGGATGCATGGGGGTACCTCGGGCCCGACTCGAGAGACGAGGAGGAGGAGGGGGAGAAACGTGCACGGGTCGTCGGGTTGTTTGCTCGGAGGTATCAATGCGGGTGTGGACCGACTATTCACCTTCTGTTCCGGCGGGATCGTATCCTCCCGGTCGGTCGAGGATGCTGACGAACGTTTGATAGTCGACTGAGGGATGTACACCGACGGAGCGTTCGGCGTAAGCGTAAGCGTAGGCGCGCGAGGGAGGTTGGTTGAGTCAGTCGCGGCCGGGCACGAGGACAAGGGCTGTCCAGTCGCGCCAAGGGGCTGGCTGCAACGCGCGCAGACTGACTATCTTTGTTCCCCGCCTGAGCAGCGAGTTCGGTCACATGCTTCTGGGTCGGGTTCTGCCCCAGGGCGCGGAGGACGTCGCCGAGGGAGGAGGCAGGGATCGAGCCCGCGCCTCGTTTGTCGAACAGGGCGAACGCTTCCTTGGCTTCGGCATCGTGCGACTGTGAGGGTGTGGACAGCGGGGGGGTCAGGTGTGCCGAAGAGGGGAAGCGTACTTTGAGGGTAGGCTGACCATGGCTTGTTGGTGAATGGGGTGTTGAGAGGTGGGGGGAGGCGGGGGGAAGCGGAAGCGGAGCGCGTAATAAGGGGGAGGGGGAGGGAGATGTTCAATTATTTCACTCGAGGCCGTCGACGCGCGTCGGCACTCGGCACTCGTCGGCGCAAGTCACAATTCCGATAAGCCGGTTTGTAACTGTTTGTAACGCTCATCTCGGACGTCGGTCTCGAGCCAGGCCGCCGTCGTCAATGTCATCGCAGCTGTCAACGTGTCAACTCCGAGTCTACGCTCACTCTGGCGCGCTCCACACCCGAACCGCACCTCGACTCTTTTCACCTTCAAGCTCCGCATCAACTCCATCCACCAGCTATCCAAATGGCATCCTCATCGTCCTCACCGCAAGCGATCATCTCGCCGAGCGTGTTGGCGTCCGACTTTGGCGATCTGTCGAACGAGATCAGGCGCATGATGAGCTGCGGCGCCGAATGGGTTCACATGGGTCAGTCGCCTCTCGAGTCTTCACCCCCTACTGGTCACAGCTCACATCACATTCTACTTTCCCCGGTCAGACGTCATGGACGGGCAAGTCCCACTACGCTCCCCCGAAAGAGGGGACGACCCCAACGTCATCGTCGCACCGAACTGAACCCCACCTCTCCACCCAGACACTTTGTGCCCAACATCACCATCGGCCCCCCCGTCTTCGCTTCGGTGCAAAAGACCGTCGAGAACGTCTTTATGGATTGCCACATGATGGTCGCCGATCCCGCCAGGGCAAGTCTCTGGTCCGCGCCGGCCCCCACCTCGCGACTTGGGTTCGCCGAAGGAGACCGAGGGCCGTCGTCGCAACAGGGCTTGGGCGCTCTACTCGTTGACGAGATCCTCATGCTGATCATGGAGTGAAATCATCGAATTTTATGCAGTGGGTCAAGGATGTCGCCGATGCGGGCGGCAAGAGTTATACGTTCCACTTGGAAGCCTTGTCTGAGCCAGGTCAGCGCGAAGAGTCAAATTCTTCTTCCTGTCGCCTCTTCTCGCGAATCCGCGCAACGTTAGCTGATCCGGCTTCCTCGTTTCTTCAAATCATTTCGTCCACGCTAGAGAAAGCACATGAACTGGTCCAGCTGATCCATTCGACGGGCATGCGAGCCGCGGTCGCCATCTCACCCGCGACGCCCTCATCGGCCATCTCGGACGCGCTGGGCAACTCGGTCGACATGTTGCTCGTCATGACCGTCGTTCCAGGTAGGTGGCTGTCGAGGCCCTGAAATGGCTGTCCTGCGCGAGCTGATTCTCCGACCTGGTGGATGTTGGCCATCTACAGGCAAAGGAGGACAAAAATTCATGCCCGAGTGCGTGCCCAAAGTCGCCGAATTGCGCACACGATTCCCCAACAAGGATATCCAGGTCGATGGTGGTGTTGGGCCGGGGACGATTGGATGCTGTGCACGAGCAGGTCGGTCTCCTCCTTTCAACTGCTCCGGGACGAGCGAGGAACGGCAGTTTGAGGGCAGACCATGCTCACCACTGCATGCATTCATTCCCACCAGGCTCCAACGTCATCGTTGCAGGTACGGCATTGTTCGGTGCCAAGGAACCCAAACAGGTTATTCAAGGGTTCAAGGAAGCGATCGAGTCGAGTCGCGAGGGGTGGGGGACCGACAAGGCGTTGGCCAAGGATGAGTAAGGGGGAGGCGGGCTTGCGTCCTGAGGAGGGCTTGGTAACGTGATCAGTCACGGAAATGAACCTACCGAAGAGAATGCCGGGGAGAGCAAGTTCTGCGTTCCGTCGGGTAAATTCCGGCGAGCGGAGCCCTGCTCATTTTGAATTACCGTGCACGGACCCATCGCAATCCGCGAGATCTGGCCTTGGCGCGCTCCGTCCGAGAAAGCATCCATGTCATGTCGCTCTTGCTCCTCACACCCTCTTGACCCCTCCTTCTCTTTTGGCATAAGAGCTACTCGACTTGCCACCGGCCATGTCCCACCATCCTTTACAAGCGACGGCGTTTCCTTCCGATGCGGAGGCGCACTTCTTTGTGCTCGCGAGTGGGAACCGCCTCTCCGTCGTCTCGACCGAGTCTGACGAGTTGAGTCCCGCGCGATACTGAGCTGGGCTCTTGCTTTCGGATTCCAAATGAGCTGATCGGGTTCATCGTCCGCATCTTACAGAGGGATGGCGATCACGGCGACTGCGCAAGACCACCAAGGCCTGATCCGTTTGGTCGCCTGCCACGGCACGCGCTACATCGTCTCAACGGGCGAGGACAAGATGCTGAACGTGTACGAATACCAAGCCAAGACCGCGCCCTCTGAGGAAGATCAGGACGAGGAAAAGGAGCAGCAAGTCACCGCCTCGACGATGGAGGAGGCTTCGGCTCCCAAGGGGAAGCTCGAGTTGCGAAGCTCGCGCGAGTTGGTCAAGAGGGCCAATGCGATGCAGGTCACCGAGAAGGCGGAGATCGTTGTGGGCGACAAGTTTGGGGATGTTTATGTGTAAGTTCATGCAGAGCTGTCGGTGGTGAACGGGGGATTAGAACGAAAAGCTGACCCCCGATATCTCGTTCAGCTACCCCCTCCTCGCACATCCCGTCGACCCCACCGCCACCACCACCACCACGACGGACAGGACCAACCCCAAAACTCCCAAAGCGCAACCCATCCTAGGCCACGTGTCGATGCTCAACGCGCTCGTCCACGTCCCCGCCGCACCCGAGTACGGCCTCCCTCACGACCTCATCGTCACCGGCGATCGGGACGAGCATGTCCGCGTCTCCCGTTACCCGCAGGGACACATCATTGACAAGTTCTTGTGGGGGAGTGAAAAGTCAGTCCGACGATGGGGCTTGAGCTTGGGATGCGGGCAAGTCCGTCCCGATGCTGATTCCATTCGTTCCGATTGGGATCTTTTGCCTGATGCAGATTCGTCACTGCGCTTCTGTACATCCCCGCGACTTTGGCGTTCCCTACACCGCTGATCATCTCTGGCGGAGGTGACTCGACCCTCCAAGTGTGGAATCTCGCTAGTGGAAAGCTTTTGAACAGATTCGGGATCCAGGATTCGTTGGAGAAGTACATCGTCGTCGGACCTGAATTGCCGACGCCTGTTCCGGCGGGGAGGAGGAAGGACAAAGCTCAGGGTGGGGGGAGGAAGAAGAAGGGGAAGCAGGTCGAACAGGACGAAGGACAAGTAGAGGCCGAGGAGGACGTCTTAGTTGTGAATGAGGACGAACAGATCGAGGTTGCCGAAGAGACGGAGCAGACTGAAGCGGCTCAGACGGGAGGAGTTCAGCTACCTACCGGATTAGGAGTGACCCACCTTGAATTCGTCGGTGGGCATTCGCATCGTGCTGGTCCGGGGGTCATTGTCGCTGCCGCTGGGTGAGTGTGACTTTCAAGGCTTGCGAGTGGAAGTGTCCTCTGTACTGATCGGTACCCTGCTCTGACTATCAGCTGCACGGCCCTTCTTTACATCCCTCTCGAACTTTTGCTCTGTCAACCGACGCAACGGACGACTCAAATTGTCGATTACTCTCATCCCGTTTTGGCCCTTTGCGGACGACCGAACGAAGATGAGCATGCTCTCTCTTCAGCCAAGACGGACTTCCACGTCACGATCGACCTTTCCCGACCGAAAAAGTCCGAGTCCTCGACTCTGGAGGGAGAAGACGCAGAAGAAGAAACCGAACGTTGTGCGCTCCAACAAGCCTCTTACGAACTCGTGCCCGACCAACCCGAAGGATCCTTCTCCGGCGAGATGGAGTTGATCTGGGACCAAGCGCTCGTCCGTATCGCCCGAGAAGCCGCTCTCCCAACGACGACGAAGGATCGTGCACCGGACGTGTCGAGTTTGTACCCCGTTTTGTCGTTGTTGCATCATCCGGATACCAACTTTGAGGTGCTGGCTGCCGCGGGGGGTAAGAACATGGAAGCGGAGGGGGAGACGAATGGGAAGAGTGTTTCGGTGTGGAAGTCGGTGGCAAGAGGATGGGGACAGAAGAGGGGGGCGGACGCGGAGGGGGATGCTGCGGAGAGGGATGCCGAGGAGGGGGATGCCTTTAGGAAGAGAAAGGGGAAGAGGGCAGCGGGGAGGGCCGAGATTCAGAGGAGGTTGGAGTTGGAGCAGGAGAGGTTGAAGAACTTGCAGACCGGTGCGGAAGGGGACAACAAGGCGATGGAGGAGTAGACTACAACAATGTTAATTCCATCTAATGCTACCAAGTGCTTGGTCTCTAATCACACCTCCCATCCGTCCACCCATCCCTCCACCTCTGGCCGACATTATCGCAATCGAAAGGTGTCTTCCCCAGTCGTTGATTGACCTCGTTGTGTACCTGACAAAGCCACAGTTCCAATGAAGTCCTCCCTCCGTTTACCGCTTGTTCAGGGGGGTGTTGTTGGATATATTTGCCCAGTTCGTCGGCGCACATCCCACAGGGGTACAAAGTCGGGAGGGCATTGAGGAGTGACAGCATCGAGGTACGTTGGTGCGCCGAGGGAGCTGGGGGAAAGTAAGAAGCCGTGGTGTGGAGGAAAGTCCAGGTGTGACGACCGAGTTGTTCGACGTCTGGGGGACAATCGGTCGGGGAGGCGGTCGACCCGGTCGTGTCTACGGAGGCCAAAGTGGTGGCAGCTGCGCCTGCTCCTGCTGCAGCTGCAGTTCCCGTCTTGGGTATCTTCTTCTTGGTCTTGCCCGCAAATGCGGACCATGCAGCCGATGAAGTACAAATCTGCGCCAGGTGGAAGTCGTTAGCTCTCGAAGCGCTACTGGTCGAGAGTGGTGTTGGCGGTCGATGACGAAGAAGCCCTGGCCGACGGTTGACGTTACCTTGCAGGGTGTTCCATCCGGGTTGAGGACCGTCCCCGGTGGGTACTTTGATCGAGCCGCGACCATTTCGGGCGTTTCTTTTCCCTCGCCTGCGACCATTTTTACGGTGCGGTGCGGTGCGGGCGTTCGGAAAAAGGCGAAGGGCAATCCTGGTAAGGACAACGACGACGGACTCGGCTGCGATCTCGGCCGGGCTCCACTCTGCTCCACTTTTCTCGGTCCGAAGCGCGCGCAGGCGACCGACCGGACTTGTAGCAGTTCGTGCCCGGCGTAATTGATGCTTCCCCTCCCCCACATCACTCCAGCCAGGATAGCGCACAGCACATTCGCCCCTCCGTGCCTTGGTTCACCACGTTCAACGATCTTCTCTCCACAGACGCAAAGCTGCGCCCCATCTGAACTCTTCAAAGCCCGTCCGAGCAGCCGAATCGCGCGAGTCAAAAGCCTATTCACCGACTTGGCATCACAAAACATACTTCGATCATCATGGCCGCCAACACCCAGCCCAGCCGACCGGTGATCGGACTGATCGGTATGGGAGAGATGGGCAAGATGTACGCTGAGGCATTGTCCAAAGCGGGCGGCAGCACGTAAGTCACCATTCCGTTCCCATTCCCCGCTCCTCCCGAGAGCTCGGAGCTGATACTCAGCGTGCTTGACGGACGCAGAATACACGTCTGTGACTTGCCTTCCAAGTATGATCAACTGGTCGAGTACTGCAAAGGTATCGAAATCCGCCCGCTTACGCGAACGCCGAGTCGGCCCAAGGTGCTCTTCGCCCCCACTCCACCCTAACCTGACTGACCCTTTCACACGACCCTCCCTCAGGCAAGCCAGGCTTGGTCCCCATGGTCGATGGTCATCACGTCTCTCGATCGAGTGATTTCATCGTCTACTCCGTCGAAGCCGAATACCTCGATGCCGTCGTCAAACAGTACGGTCCATGTTAGTCTTTTCTCAATCGACAGGACTGCATCTCTTGCTTCCTGAAAAGGAGCTCACCTTGGAACGTCCTCCCTCTAGCAACCAAGATGGGAGCCATCGTTGCAGGGCAGACCTCGGTCAAGGCGCCAGAACGAGCCGCGTTTGACAAGCATCTACCCAGCGACGTCAAGATTGTGTCGATCCATTCGCTGCATGGGCCGACTGTTTCCCCCGAGGGGCAGGCTTTAGTGAGTTATGAAAACCCTGACGATTCTGATCGCGCCGCCGTTGTGACATCTCATTTCATTTCACACAGATCATCATCCAACATCGGGCTTCGCAAGCAGAGGTGCGAATTGTCGAGCAAATCCTTGCGCCGCTCAAATCTCGCTACGTCCACCTCACCTATGACGAACACGACGAGGTGACGGCCAACACTCAAGCCGTCACCCATGCCGCCTTTTTGACGTGAGTGACTCGATCAACTCGGCACCTGACAGAGCAGCTGACTTGAGTCAGGTCGAGACAGCATGGGGACAGCTTGGAGGTGTATGCAGTCCTTCCCGTGGGAGACGGGCCGCTACATCGGTGGGATCGAGGTCGTCAAGATCAACATCGCGCTCCGGATCTACGCAGCCAAGTGGCACGTCTACGCCGGCCTCGCGATTCTGAACCCGACCGCCAAGAAGCAGATCAAGCAATATGCCCAAAGCGTCTCCGAGCTGTTCAAGCTCATGATCATCGGAAAGGAGGACGAGTTGAGGGAACGAGTGTTCGCGGGTCGCGATTACGTCTTTACGCGCGATGCCGACGGCAACTCACCCGCACCAATCCTCTTGTCCGACAAGGCCTTGGACAAGTTCGAGATTGGCGCACCGGAAGCAAGCCCTGCCCCAAGAGCGAACTCGCACTTGTCGTTGTTGGCCATGGTTGACTGCTGGCATGCGCTCAAGATCCGTCCCTTTGACCATTTGGCGATTGGCGCGACCCCCGTCTTCCGATTCTGGATCGGTGTCGCAGAATACCTCTTCCGTTCCGAAGATCGACTTGAGCATGCGATCCATTCGGCCGTCAATGACATCACCCATCGATCCGATGATGCCGAGTTCCTTGTCGCTGCGCGAGGTTGGAGTGAGTGCGTCGGCTATGGTAATTTCGAGGCGTACAGGCTGAGGTTCGAGGAGACGGCCAAGTTCTTCGAGCCGAGGTTCGAGTAAGTTGCGTATTTTTCGTTCCGTTTGGTTCCAGATTTTTCATCTGATGATTTGCTGACACCTGCCTGTGACGCATTCGCCTCTAGGGAGTCGAGGAAACAGAACGCGGCCATGTTCAAATTCCTGGCCGAGGAACCGGTGCGCGCGGCGCAGGGCAAAGTCGAGCCGTCGTCTTGAACGTAGTTTAACACCGTGTTTTGGAGTGCAGTACCAGTCTAGCAGTGCAAAAGTTTATCTCGATACATATCTTGATATTCGAAGAGAACGTCGGTGCCGTGTCAAAGAAGAGAAAGGGAAGAAAAATGAATTGCACCACAAGCGCGTCTCTGGACCTTCTCGCTCGTCCTGCTACTTCACGTGGCAGCCGCGGTAGCTTTTCGGCTGTAATGGTCATCCCCCAGGGAACGTCGCATTGATTTATTTGGGACTCACTATCCGCTGCTCGCCAATCCTAATCCTTGGATTGGGGATTAAAAGCCTTTAGCGATCTGGTCGTGAACTCGAGGTTCCTTGAAGCCCGTCTGCGCAAGCGGGCAAGGTGATTCAGGGTTGAATTTGACGCGTATCATTGGCCCTCCAATGAACTTTCATTAGTCCCGCCAGACCGGTTAACGGGGCAGGCGGTGCGCGCTCAGCATTGGGTTCTTCTATCGACCAGAGCATCGTTTGGCTGGTGGTCGCTTCCTTGACTTTGTCGAGGGCTGCCTTGAAGATGCGGCGTGATGGCCCCGATGCGATGAACCTTTTTTTTTTGGCGCTCGGCTAGTTACTTTATTTTTCGACTCAGTTCGGTGATTCTCACTTCGACTTACTTCCATCAAAAGACGAGGCGTCATGCAAGAAAGTGTTGCGGGAAGGAGTTGAAAGGCCGCTGCTGCGTGGATGATCACGATCCGGATCGATCGAGAAGGTCGCCTTTTCCAGGGCAAAAAGCTTGACCGATCAGCAAATTGCCTTGTGTGCTCACCACGCTACCCGATGGTGCGGCGATTAGGGAAGATGTGTCATAGCGAGAGGAGTCAGCTGTACACAGGAGCCAAGATCGTCCGTCGATCCGAAGCGAAACATCATCGTCGTCTACAGGAGCTACTTCTCGGGAGTCAGAGCGTCGGTCGACTCAAGGCCAGCGGCGCGGGAGATGGCAGCCGAGCTCGAATCGCCGATGCTTCCAAGATGGTCGCATAAACTACTGAACCCCGAGTTCCATGGATCACCGTCTCCGAAAGGGCAGCGAAAGGGCGGAAGGCCTTCTGATTGGTGCGCAATCGTCGATGGCAAGTAGTCACGGTCGGGGCGAGCTAGTCGATGGAGAGTGGGAATCCCGATTCCCGCTGCCGATCGCCCTTTTTGACTTTTCGCGCACCGCCGGGCGCGTGAATTCCGAGTCGCGACGCGACGCGATTCTCTTGAACTCGAGCGAGCGGCGTTTCGTCTTCGAGAAGTCGCAGCCGTGGTTCGCCTCCTACCTCGTACCGACTTGCGCTGTTCCCTCCTTCCCCCCCCCCACCCTCATCATACACACCACCTCAAACACGTGTGCATACATCGAGAGTCTACCACCCCCCTTTTTTGCTTCTCCACCCCACGACTCACGTTCCCAACTAGCCCCTCTCTCTCATCCAAGTCGTCGGATCGTCGATTTCCGCCGTCGGCGCCGCCAAGTCACGGCTCTCTTCTCGCCGCGTGCCCGCCCGCGCCGCCCACCGCCCAGCCGAGTGCCCGAACCTGCTGCCACTGCTCGCTACGATGCGACCGACCAACATGCATATTGAGATGCCTGCCCGACTCTCATTGGCCATGGCCATCGACCATACGACGCGAACCTCCTCGGCCTCGACGCCGTCGTCATCACACTCGTCGTCCGGGTCGTCGGGGTCGTCGTCGTCCTCGTTCGCCTCACGCGACGCGACGAGCCATCCGTCGCTCAACGATGACGACACTCTCCTCGCCTCGGCCGCCGCGCCCGCCGCTCCTTCATTAGCTTGGACTTGCTTGGCCCCTTCTCATGGCCTCAAAGCTTCCCCATCGACACCCATGCACGACGATACACCCCCGACCACACCCCTCATGACCCATCCACCCGGGACCAGCTTGGCCATGTTTGGCGCCGGCGCCGGGCGACGACCGTCTTTGCTGCGCCGAGACTCTTCTGTCTCGTCCGCGGCGAGCTCGGTCGGCGACGAGGACGACACGGTCGAGTGGACGAGCGAAGAGCAGAACAAGATCAAGAACGTGAGTTGTCTTGTCATGACAACTGGCTGTGCTCCCATCTCGGCTCCGGGCTCAATGACAAATCGTGCTGACCCTTTCCCTGCGCATAGGTCCTCGAGGAGTACATCGAGTCGGTCGAACACGCCCCCTTCTCGTCGACGGGTCCACCGCCTTCCAATCTGACTTCGCTCGTCGCGCGTGCCGTCATGCGAGCGAACAAGCACGAGCTCCAGGCGAGCACTCTATCGCAGGCCCTGGCCAACGGTCCAGTGGCGCCAAAGGACGAGTCGCGTCCTCAAAAGTGGCGACATGGAGTGCGGAGCACGCGAAGAAAGGTGTTGGCTATGGGTGAGACATAGTTACACTTCGTTCCCGCCTTCCACGTGACGTCCCATTCTGACCCTCTACGTATCCTCACCCTGCGCAGTCAAGGAGAAGCAACACGAGGCGATCGAGAGCACGCCGCGTCAAGACCTCGACGACACGCCGCGTCGCAAGCCCCTGGCCCGTCAAGGGTCAATGGACTTCTTGCCCGAGGCTCGAAATGTCGCCGCCGTCGCGAGGTAAGCTCCAGCGGGATTTCCTCGAACTTGGCGAGTTCTTCAAAGCTGACCTCTTCTTTTCCCCACCAGGCTCGGGTCCAAGCTGCGTCGTGCAGAACAAGCTGGCCCGCCACTTTCAGCTTCGGCCACCAACTCGTACACATCACGTCCGCGTGCGTTCCGTACCGCATCCCTCTCTTCGATTGCCGGCTCTCCTACCCAGCCGGCGAAAGCACCGATGCGTCCTGGGCCTCCTGGATCACCAATCAAGGCCCCTCGCATCCAACGCACCGGATCCGATTCGACGGGCCTGCACCACGCCGAATTCGCCCACTTGCCTTCACCAGGCGCTTCGACCACGGGGATGCTCTGGTCCGAACCTTCGACATCAACCTCGAACTCGATATTTGACCTCTCCTTTGGAGGCTACGCCAGCCCGGTCGTCACGCCCAAACGAGGATCGGAACTCGGCAGCGCATTTGTGAGCCTTGCAGCAGGGGCGGCGTACCCTTCGCCCGTTTCGCAAAAGCGAGCCAAGCACCATCATTTGGTTTTGCATGACGCGCCTTCCCTCAGCCTGGCTTCGCCTTTCGAGACACCGTTCCCTACCGGCGTACAGAACCTGGCGCCCGCGTTCGGTTGCGCCCCTCCCTCGGCACCGAGGATTGTTCGACCCGGCCCCTCGCCGATCAAGCGTCGCACCGGCGGTCGATTGGGCATGTCGCAGTCTTGGGCAGATCACCTCTCTGCGCCACCGACGTCGTCATCCTCACCGGATGTATCGACTACCACGTCCGCGTTCGGCTTCGGTGCCGCTCTCGACGCCCAACGCCTACACCCTAGCTCTTGCCTTAACTCACTCGACGCCCCCGCTCGTTCTCGCTCGCCTTCCCCCTTCGACATGAACGGAACCCCGAGCCCCCTCAGCTCGACCTTCGATCTCAACGACCTCAGTCTCGAGGCCCTGGACGAGTCCCAGCATGGCAAGACCAATAACTTCATCGCCTCGAGCCGAACGTCGTATTTTGAGCCGAGTAACTCTTCGCAATCGCTCAATGAGAAATTGAGGGACTGGGATGGAAGGACCAACCATGCGCTTCACGTGCACAAGTGATCAGCAGCAGCATCTCATCTATGACTTTTCCTCATCTTTTCCGATTCCCATGACTCGACATATATATATATGATGTCCTTATTTCGTCCTGCTTCAATCATCCTACACGCGCCTCCGCGCTCGCTTTTCCTGCGTCGACTTAGACGCCCACCTCCAACACATCCCGCGATCTTACCCCGACGTGCATCTATATCATCCTCCCTCTTCGTGTGTTGCCTCGATATTTTCGTGCTTTGTCTTTTACCTATTGGTTTCTTGTCGTATATACTATATGTCTCTCTGGCTTGTATTGTCCTGCAAGGCTTTTGCTTTCCCTTCCCACCATCAGTTATGCTCTTTCCGAATCACATGCAGAGTTCACCGAAGAGATAACTACTGGACGCTCCTGGAGATTACAAAGATCGGTCTCTACAAATCCTACGACAGATCCACTTCGTCCTCGTCAACGCGATACCCCTCGTTCACCACCTTGACCTCCGTCACGACCTTCTCCTCGTCCTTTCGTGGTCGACCTCCCATCTTCTCCTTCTCCCCGCCATCCCCTCCTCGATCCCAAGCCGTCGGTCCTTGAGTCTGAACCGTCGGTGGTAGGGAGAGGTACAAATTGCCTACGCGTTCGGTAACGTCGCTGTTCTCGTTCGCGGCGATCGCCTTGAGTAACATCGCTTCGTGTTGCGCGACCAAGGAGCGGCGGAACGAGCGTGCCCAGAACGTTGACGTCAGTGAGAGGGGCCAGTCGGAGGGAAGTCGCTCTAGGACCTGTTCAATGGGATGAGAGCGAGCGATGAGTAAGGTGAAAGCAGTGTGATTGAGGAGAAATGTGGTGAACGCACCGATAGAGGATCCAAATGCATGCCCTGAGCTTGCACCAACGCCGCTACCCGACTCGCCTCTATCGGTGTCGTCGAACCCTGCTCCGAGGAGGTCAAACACAAATCTACGACGAGGCGCATCAAATCGCGTTCCCTGCGCTTCACTTCCGCTTCTGTACCGCGTCGCTTGCTCGTTCCTGACGAAGAAGACGAGGGAGCCGTAGGCAAAGCCAAGATTTGGATCGTCTTCTTGACATCTTGTCCATCAAGCAGGTCCCCGTTTTGCCGCGCATACAGGTCAGCCGAGACGAGATCTCCCAGAGAGTGAATGAGCAAGGACAAGGCCTGTCGATGGAGTCCCAAGTGTCCATACACGATTGCTCGTTCAAAGACTAGACTCGCTCGCGGACCCGATTCGAGCTTGGTCTTGATCGCTGCGAGGTCGTAGTTCTTGGACGTCGAGAGGAAAAGGATCGCCTTGAGCCGCACCCGATCAAAGTCGGCGTGTGGAGCCTCGTGATCGACGCGCGAGCAGATGAAGGAGAGGAACGAGGCGCGGTCTTCGACAGAGGTATATGCCGTGGTCTGGTCGCGAGCACGCGCTAGGATCGACGAGTCGGACAGCAGGTCGCCAAGGCTGTCAATATACCGTGTTACCAGGTCAGATTGCAACCGGCCATCGGTATCCTTGCCCTGCAACACCGCGGCTTCGAGATAGACGTCTGCTGCCTCAGGATCGACCGCTTGTATCCGTTCGAGCAGTTGCCTCGTCTCGAACTGGATCGATTGCTTGGGGTCCAGGAACAGCCTCAGTCCAAGCTGGCGATCGTGCTTGATCAAAGGGATTCCGAAGCGGTCGAGAAGGTTCTTGTCCTGAGATTCCCACAAGAGGTCAAATATCCGCTCCGCCCCGCCAGTGTATTGTGCATCCTCGTATATGCCGTCGAGGATCTTGGTCCACACGTCCAATGCTCGACTCGTCTCGCCTCGTTGGAGCAAAATCGTCGCCCACGTATCGTACGACCCCTTGTCAAGCAACGTCTTTTCCAGTTCCTGGACGACGCAATCGTTCTTGCCCTCCAGTAAGGCCATCAAATCGTCTCTCCGGCCTTCTTCAGCGTACAACCGACCCAAAGTAGTATCGACGGTGATGTCGACTTTTCTTGAATCATCAACCCCCTCGCGGTGAGAGCGCTCCCTCCTTGTCGTGCGCCAGGTCTGGAGGTACGAAAGCAAGCAATCCCGGGCCGTCATGGTTAGCGTCGCTCGCAATTCCATTGTTGGTGGTGCCGTTTCGACATCGGGCTTGAGATGCGGCGCGTAATTCTTTTCGAGGTTGGCCATGACTGTCGGTCGGCAAACGATACGATCAGCGCTGGGTTGGCCCCAAGCTCCTGGTTCTTCAAACTCACTATACTCATCGACGCTCTTCCCCTCTTGCACCTCTTTCAACACGCCACGGCACACCAACAGATGATCACTTGGACCCATCAAAGGGCTACGTAAGTCGGGGAAGAGACGAATGACTAGCCGCGGGTCGCTACCGGCCCGGAGGAAGAGCTTGAACGCGTCCTGAAAGTGCGTGAGCGCGAGGGAGAGAAAAGCCGCCCGTAGGTAGACATAGGCTAGCTCGGGGTTCTGGGAGGGTGCAATTGGCGCCGGGTCAGCTTTCCAGGCGGTGGCTTAATTTGACAGCTTCTCCGTATCCGCGTACCTGTATCCGCCCGCCTTTGCTTCCCTTTTCCAATTGGTCGGCCAAAGCCAAGGCATCGTCCACTCTACCTCTGTCCATCAGTGCATCCGCTTGCACGGCGAGGGTCAGCGGCGTCAAAGCGTAGAGGCTGTTTTTGCCAACGATGAACGTCCGCGTCACCGAGCCTCGACCTCTGCTCTTGTCATTCGCGGCAGGCGAAGAGGGCATCGACGTTCGGCCACCCTTGGATCGTGTCGGCGTACTCGGCGGTCCAGACGAGGGGAGAGTAGTCAGTGGCAGGAGTGGTGTCGAGACGAGTGCGTATTTGTTCGCGCCCGACGCCGCTCCTAAATCGACACCCGACCAAGAGTAGGCCAACGACCGGGGTTGTAACCCGAGTGGTGAGGACGAGGTGGGTAAATGTACGACCTGTGCGATCTCCTGAGTTCGAAGAGAGTGGATCTCGACCGTGTTGTTGTGCAAGAGAGCGATGGCGTACGATGGGTCGACAACTGATGTGGCGGGCTCACCGACGTCAGGTCGAACTGCACCGAGTCAAATGGGATAGTCGACACGTACTCACCGAGACTGCGAACGTTGCTGGCCCATTCTAATGTACCCCGACACGGCTCTCCGCTCTCGTTAACGAACAGTCCGAGCGTCGTGTTGGCCGTGTGGCTCGCCACAAGAAACTCGTGGGTTCCGACGCAAGTAATCGCAGGCCGCTGTCGCGGATCGATGCCTCCTGGCGGGACGTCAGGCGGATCATCCAGATTCGGAGCCTAGGCATGATGCACGAGAGTGTCAGCGGCGCCCTGACGAAAGGGGACGTGCTTCGTCGGCTTACCTGGGATATCGGCAGGAGCGGCAAGGCGACCGCAGCATCGAGGTCGATGATGGAATAGTTTTCGGTGTCTGCGAGGCAAACGTGCCCTCTTCGGAGTACACACAGCACAGCACCACCCCGCAACGGCAGATCCTAGATGTTTCGTAGCACACGTAGGATCACATCAGCAACTTGAGCAATTTCTTCCCAATCTCCAGAGCCCGACATCTGCGACAACTCACCCGAACCTGAGACAGCCCGTCGCGCATGACTCTGAGTACGTTCACGCTCCTCCTTTTGATCGCACACAGTCGCATCGAGTCGGGTTCTCCTCCGCCAGAGAGCTCATCCTCGTCGAGGGCGAAGGTGGTCACACCACGCAGGGCAGGAAACGAATGAACGGAAAGGGGCGCGAGCGAGGGCAGAGCATGGAACGTCAGAATCCCCTCTGTTGAAGGGGCAGAGCTAGGTCGTCAGCAGGCTAAGGATCGCTACGTTATCGTCCGAGGAGTACGCACCTGATAGTATGACGGCCATGTTGAGCCTGGCGAGTATGGCGACTCGATCTGCCGCTTTCCGTGTCGCTGTCACCGAGATCTCGTCGACGAGATCCAAAGCGATGATCTGGGGACCCGTGCGGAATCAAAACGAGACTTGGACTATGATTAGCTTTTCTATCATTCGACACCGAACGATGTACATCTTACTGACCTCGCGGAAGGAAGGACTGGCCGGATTGGATCGTCCCCCACTCGAGCCAGAGGCCGAAGCCGAAGCCGTGAGCGCAGGTGAAGCCGGTCTTGGCGTCCACATACCCCCACTGGGCTTGATCAGGCTCAGAATGTCCGTATCGGAGCTGTTGGGTTCGTAAGTCCTGACTCTGCCATCGCTCGCTCCGACATAAATGCGGTCGTGCGACGCGTCGACGCTGCGAACGTTGGCGACGTTCGTGCCCGGCGCTGAGGCTGTCGAGCTCGAGGCGGTGGTTGCACCTCCTACGACGCTGGCGGGCGATGCTTCCCCTGATGCGACGAGCGCGACATTGGAAACAAGCTGGCTCAACCTGGATGGGGTCGACGGAGGCGAGGACGGTCGAGCGGGACCGGCTCCCCGTTGCTGGGCAGGGGTGCCGAGTGGTGAGCCAACGGCCACTGCGCCCGAGGCACCGAGCGCAGTGTTCGCGCTCCCGGTCGCACCGGCACCGAAGACGGGCGACAGTAGCGGGTGGAGTGTGAACGGAGGAAGCTCGAGTGGGAGAAGGGGAGTCGACGACGCCAGCTTGACGGTTGAGGATCACCCGACAGGTGAGGGAGCTCCGATCGTGCGCGGTCGTCGTCTTGGTCGTCGGCAAGTGGGGTGGGTGTGGGTGGTGGGTGGTGGGAGGGTAGAGGCGCTGGGCGCTGGCGGCGCTGGGAGGACAGCGGAGGACTGCCAGACAAGCCACAAGTGAACACGAAGGGCGTTGTCTGACACTCGACCCGAAATTGCAATGCATTCGTCACCCCTATCAGAGTCGGCCCTGTCGAGCATACCTTTGTCATAGGTGGGACAGCGTCGACAATCCGCAAGTGCGGCCAGCCCGCCCAGAAGGCACGCAGCCCAGCACAATAGTCTTGTTCTGACCCCGGTCGGCTATCAGACTCTCCGGCACGTGCGGACAAGAAGTGTGTATGATGTAGAAGTTCAATCAGACTCGTATTTCAAAGGCTTGAGAATACGAGATCATATCGAGCTCCTCCGCGAGCCACCCATCGTGCCGTACGAAATCCCTCTCCCTCCCTATGCGATCCTGACGCAGAGGCGCACCAAGTCGGAAGTCCGAGAGACCCATCATCGGATGGAATGGCCTTTTGAGAAAACCCCAATTCTGCTCTCGTTCTCTCTCCAACCCTTCTCGCCTGCCCGCTTACTTGGACGCGACCCTGCGCTTCTGATCACGCTCCTCCGCGATCGAGAGCTTGACACCCTTGCCCTTGGGCAACGACACCCACGGCTTGTTGCCCTGGCCAAGAACAAAGACGTTTCCAACACGCGTAGCGAACTCTCGGTCGAGCACGTCTCGGACGTGGACGATGTCGAAGCCGCCGAGGTGTCGCTCCCTATGGACAATCACACCGCATCGACCCATGTTCCTGTACGACGAGAGAAGACGCGGTCAAAGATCCGTTCGTACCAGATGGAATACCACAGCGCAATACTCCCTCCGCCCTCTTGAAAAAAACTCACCTGCCACCAGTAGCCATGACCAAGTTGCCGGTCTCGAACTTGACAAAGTCAACAATCTTGTTCTCGGTCAGGTCAATCTTAACCGAGTCGTTGACCTTGATAAGCGGATCGGGGTAACGGATCGTGCGGCCGTCGTGGGTGACGAGGAAGGGGACGCCTTTGGCGCCGAGCTGGATCTTCTTGACCTTGCACAGCTTGTAGTTGGCCTCCTCGGCGGTGATGGCGTGGCACAAAAATCGGCCCTTGACGTCGTACATGAGGCGGAAGTGCTCGCCCGACTTTTCGATCGTGATGACGTCCTGGAAACCGGTGGGGAAGGTCTCGTCGGTGCGGACCTTGTTGTCGATCTTGATAAGGCGCTGCTTGACGATAAGAGTGACCTCGCGACCGGTAAGGGCGTACTTCATACGGTTACGGAGGAAGATCTACGTTGTTGAGAGAATACACGAGGGTCAGTCGCAGGCTTGATAGGGTAGGCGGATGAGCGTGGGGAAGGAAGGCCCTGCTGGGCGCTGTCGATGCCATGCCGCTCCTGACCGCCGTCGACCGGCTCCGTCACACCACCCTCCTGCAACGTCTCCTATTCCATGCCTGCCTTCGACGCCAGTAAAACGGTGATGAGCCCATGGAGCAGGTGCAATAGCTTACGGAAAGGGGCAGGCATTCACGGAGCTTGTGAGGACCGGGTCTGCAGGACGCGGAGGGATGGTCAGCGTCTCGTCCGCGATACTGCCAATCAGCGTGTCCGAATTGTGTGCCGACTCACGAAGGTCGGGGCGCTGAATAGAATGAAGCACGGGTGTTCAAAAGGCACGGAGATGTGGTGAATTGAGCAACAAGGTCAGCTCTTGTAGATTAGGCAGAGTACGCCCGCCCGCCTGGTTCGAGGCTGCCCCCGCCCAGCGCCCGCTCTGGCTGCGAGCACTCGACGAGGCGCGGGAACGGCCTGAGCCAAAATACGCCCGCCAGCCAACGAGCGCGGCACGCAAGCGGAGGAGGGTAAAACTGACCGTGAGTACCGCCCATCTTGTCCAACATCCATGATGAAGGAGCTGCCAATCGCTTCAAGTGCTTCTTGGGTCCACGTGCCCTGTACGAGTCACAAAGTCATAGCACGCGGAGAGTCGCGGCGCATAGTGGACGGTCAGCAGTTGCGTTTTGCGCCCGCCTCGACGCAGGCCATCGTCTCCCCTCCCATGCCCGGTCTCGCAGAACGGCCAACGACGACCCATCCCAGCCGCCGCACGCCTACACTGCGCTCGCTCCTGACCACACCAACGACCGACGGCAAGCTTCGTCTCATCATGGTCGTCAGGATCGTCCAAGCGGAGTGTAGGTCGGGGTCGGTGATGGTCGTCATCGTTGTAGGCGGCGCATCACTCACATGATTGTCGTACGCAGCGTAAGGAAGAGAAATTGGGCCCACGCCCGCGCGTCGACTTCCGCGCGCGCTGGGCTCGACGGCGAGACGGCGAAATCCCCAAGCCATCGCGCCGTCGCTGCGCGGAGAGATCTTTCCCGCCCAAGGCTCGCCTGCCGTGCAGCAATTTGGGCATTTTGGCCCGCGAGAAGGGCAGGGTCCGAGCTCAAAGTGCAAGCGATGATTCCATCTGATTACCTGCGTTCTAGCTTCCACCTGAGTGCTTTGAGAAAGCTTTTCGAAAACTTGGTGAGATCTTCCCGCCTGGACATACCAGATTCAGCCGTGCATCACGCGCCTACTAGGAGACGGTACAACCTTGCCAGCCCCTATTTGAGCTTTCAAGGGAGGGAAAATATAAGTGACCCTGAAGAACAGATTCCAGCCGGAGGCCATGCACCAATTATACGCCCATTTGATAATCTTCTCTCCCTATTGTCCTCGGCATCAGTCGAGACTGCTCCATCGCCGTTCCATTATTGCACAGCGGAACAGCGAAAGTCGCTTGTCGGCTTCGCCTGCGTCGAGGCGATCGCGATGGAGAATGCTCAGCAGGGATCCTCATTAGATGGAAAGATACTATCAACATCCCCCTTGGATAAAGATGTCATCTTATATAATGGCCAGATATCTTAGATATATGAGCCCCCTGGAGTTTCCTTAGATGGATATCTTAAGAGTTTTTTGGTGTCTGGTACAGACTCGTGCTGCGCTGGAATTCGTAGTTTCCGCTAAAGAGTTTCGTGCTCTTTAGCGAAGAGATCGAATTTCACATTGTATCAGTCCCACTCCCCATGTTTCTGCCGCATGGCTCGGCCCAAGCGCTGACCGCGGGTGAGGCGGCACGGTTTGCCGACGGGCCAGTTTGGGAGCCCTGCAGACATTTTGGCTACCAGAGCCTGGTGCCTCATAGCTTCATCCACTAATCACACAAAGAGAGGAGGTGCGATTGCGACATTTTGGGAACTTCGCAATCTTTCCCCGCCGTCCTTTCTTATTGTGTCACACACTCGCTCTCTCACACCTTGCCAAACGACTATAATCGATAGTCTTAGCTGATGCAGTGTGATGCGGTATGATGCTGTCGGACCTGCCCACTGTTGAGGAGTAATTCGCCACCGACAAAGACGCGCAGATTTCCCACTTCCGACTGAGAGGAGGCTCCGTAGACGATCGCTGGCAAGCTCGCTGCGCCAACGATTTGAAGTCTTATCACTTTCAAAGAGCCTGGGGGCGACAACTGGAGCCGTTTCGATCTGTCTGTTGACTGCCACTTCTCCAACGGCCAGGAACGTGCCGTCGTACGTGGCAGCCTTGCACGGACCGCACGGGGCGCTTCGTCATCGTTGTCGACCGACCCGGAGCAGAAACCTATGAAGACGAGGACGAGTTGCCTGGCAGTTAAGGCGCTGGGTTACAATGAAGTTTGACTCCTTCCTCGGGTACTCATCTTCCTCTCCCCCGTTCTTGCGGCCAAGCGATGCGTATGGCGGGGCGGATGTCTCCTTAAGTACTGGACTGCCGACGGCAAGATCCCCAGCTAGAAGCCTCAGCTTGTCGAGATGGCGATCGATTTTCTCACTGTTCCACCCGCCGCGTGCGACGACGAGCATGCTCTCTCGGCGGCCGGTCGGAGGACAACAAGCTACACGCAGCATCGAACCCGTCGGCTGAGCTGCTTAAGGCCAAGATGTGTTTGGGCAGGCTAATCCGAACGCCACTGCAAACTGGTGAGCATTTCCTGCGGCTCGGGTCCAAAAAGGAGACCGTTCGGATTGGCCCACTGCAGCTGCTCAAGCACATCTTGGCCTTGAGCAGCTCAGCCGACGGGTTCGATGCTGCGTTTAGCTTATTGTCCTCCGACCGGCCGCCGAGAGAGCACGCTCGGCGTCGCACGCGGTCAGTGGCCATTCCACAAAAGTCATATGTAGCAACACCACCCTCATTCACGATCGATCATGTCAGGAAAATGCGGTACGCCGCACGCAGTGTTCGAACCCAGAGTTTTGGTTGAGTGTTTGAGTGTCAGGCCGGTGGCTCTACAGAAGGATCGTGAGTACTGGGCCGATCCTCTCAATCGGATTGTTCATTTAAAAATGTACCGCAGACTGTGTTTCCTCGTTTCAGGACCGATTTGGATGAATGTGATAACTAGGAGAGGAGAGAGAGAGAGAAACTAGAGATCGATACTGAACAATACAGCAAGGCGGAACGGCGTCCAATATGGTCGTCCACCACTTTTCGGTCGTAACGGTTCCAGCCTACTTCAGCCGATGGGTTCATGCGTGCGAAGCCACTCGGGCCTCACATCCTCCTTCCCAAATCCAAGCCGGTTGGATTTTGGTCTAGTGGTAGGATCAAATCCTGTCTCTTGACTTGATAACTCGTGTCATTCGAGGTCGAGCTTCGTGGTGGCGAGTTTCGCTGCCTTCGATCGAAATTCTTCGAGGAGAACGACGGACTCGGAGTCGACTTCTTTGACTCCCTGCGATAAGTCGAGCACGTTGCGGTCGTGTGTGTGTCGTAGCTGTCAGGGGAAACCGTCCTGATCGCGAATCTGCCTTCGGTTGGGAAGGCCTGCATTGATGTCGTCGTTCTTGCTGTTCAGTGAGGAACTGACCCAGCAGGAGGGAACGTTCGGTGACCAAGGTCGACCTGAAAATAAAGCGGCGAGTGCAGCGGCTTGAATCGGTCCAAGGTTCAGTCCAAACTCTCTTCCACGCATTTACAACGACGATCTTGTCGCATTTCAGAACCTCAAAAAGCCAGACCGAACTCAACGTCTTACTCCTCCATCTCATTCTCGGCATCCAAGATCTCCTTGGCCTTCTTCTCCGCCGCTTCGGCCAGGTCCCGGGGCACGGCTTGATGCCTCCACCCACTAGCCGGGGAGATCCACGACAACTCGAGCTCGAAATCCTTGTCCTTGGCTTCGTCGTGGACTTGGTGTATACTGTTGACGGTGGGTGAGAAAGCCGCGTATCATCCACCACAGTCAGCAATCGGCTTGCGCGTGGCTCCTGGTCGAAGTGTACACGCCTGGACTCACATTCGGGCGGCATCGATCAAAGCTTCTTCGACGGTCAACTCCTCCAGCTTGAGCTTCTCGATTTCGGTCCGTGCCAATTGTCGTCCTTTCCCAATCGCGCACCCTCGGTAGCCCTAGGATTTTGGAACAACGGTTGGTCAGTCATCACCGATGCCAAAGGTGAAACGGCGGTTCCCCGCCGCGACTGACCCAGTACACTCCACTCGGCTCTATGCAAAACAGCTTGGGCAACCCTTCGGCTTTCTTTTCGGCGATACCATCCGGTGCATCCCATCCGGCCACGATCGCAGAGAGGGCGAATGGTCGTACGGACGAGTAGAGCGTGTAGGCTTGGAAGTAGAGGGATAGTCGTTCGGAGAGCATCTGTGCGGCGGGGAGCAGAGAAGGGATTCATAGGATCAGTGTGGGAAACAACAGATTGATCGCTGCATTGGCTCTTGTTTACCTTTGTCGAGATGGGTGTGTTGTAGTTGTTGCGGTAGTCCTCGCATTCGTCACGGGCGCGGTTCGCGATGTGTCGACCGTCGGCGAGCAAGCCAGCTGTTGCCTGCGGTGGTGGGCAGGGAATGTGGAAGAAAGAGTCGGTACGAATCATGACAGCATTAAAGATTGTGAAGGAGTCGTCGCAGCAAGCCAGCCCAGACGAGCGAGAGCGTCGTCATCCCTCTGCCGCCTTCACGTGGGAGGACCGAGTGAACGGCCACTCCCAGCCAAGCGTCTCCGCAGCGAGAATCCAGTTCAACTTACAACACCAGCATGCGAATCAACTGTTGCGATCCTCTTGTTGGCGCCCGGAACGAGCAGCCTGGAGGTGACGAGCTTCTCGACGGCGAGCACTACGCCGTCCTTGCACCTCAATCCGATCGCCGTGCCCGAGTTCTCGACGGCCTTGTTGGCGTATTCGACCTGTTGGGGAAGTAGGACAGGAGGAATATCTCAGTCCTGTTGAACAGGGTCGCCGGGGGCCGTTCACGGTGCGACGTAAGGGACGGAGCCGCGAGCCGTGTGGGGGGGCATGCGCGTACCTGGAAGATGCGACCATCGGGGGAGTAGGTCGACGACGAGAGATCGTATCCTGTTCCGATCGACGACTGTTCGAGGTGTCACGAGTGCAAGATGAGATGGCGGGTGGGGGGGGGGGGGGGGGGGGGCGAGGAGGAGGGTCAGGTGCAGCAGCGTGGTGACGCGTCAGCTCGACGGCTCGACGACTCGCAGCCTTCGTCATGCAAGTCGGGGCGACGTACCATTTTCTGAGTGCGTGGATGAGCAGAGTCTCGCTAGGCAGTCCACGAGAAGCGACACAAGGCGAAAGGGGTAGGTGCGTGCAACAGCTCGAACGGCGGGCAGGCGGGCAGGCAGGCAGCAGATGGGATGAAGAGCACAAGCCAAAGCCAGCAGCGGTTCGCTCAATTTATTCGAAATCGACGACTCGGGGCGAGACCGCTACTTGGTCATGCTGTCCACCCAATCACAGTAGCATTCTATTTCTTGAGGCTGCATCCGCTGTGTTGCAAATTTGCCCGGCGTCACCCCGCCTGCAGTGCTCTCGATCGGAAAAGACTGCCTTATTCACAGCCAAGTTCTCCCGTCTTGAAGGAGCATTCCTCGCGCCGCACAAGGAATGTGTGAAGTTGTGATTGTTGATTGCGGTTGCTCAGTGCATGGTATCTCTCGTCTCTTCCCAGTCCAGGACGTGTCCTCTCTCCTGCTTCCACCGACCTCCGACCTCCAAATCCGAGCTTCTCAGAAGTCTCGTACTGCCTTGCGTTGCATTTACATCCCAGCGAGTCCTCCACCGGCCTTTTGTGCACTGTAGACAAGTCGAACGAGCACTACCTGATCAGTAATCCCCCTCCCCTGCCACGCCTCGTCAGCCCTTTTCTAAACCCGGCCTCACTTTTGTAATCGTTCTTGGACCTTTTCGTTGGCGGCAAAGTACTTGGACACACATCTGTATCAACGCAACAATGTGTCAGCTCATACTATCCTACACCCCACTGGGGTACACTACCGGCTGAACCACCACCACCTCCTCCCTGCATCCCAGCTCAACCCAACTCTTCTCCCTCCCTCATCCCCGCCAATTCCAGATTATCCAACTCACCGGTCCACACAGACCCCTTCCCCCTTGTTCAACTCGGCTTCCGTGTACCTCGTCGAGATGCACTTGGCATGGCACGACGACACGATCCGGTTGAACAGGTCCGACACGGCCTCGAGCTCCATCGCCGCTTCGCCGAGCCGTTGTTGGTCCAATTGACCGGCCGCGGGCGCCGAACGTGCACCGGTGCCGAAGAAAGACATAGTTGAGAGGTCAAAAGGAGATGCGATTGAAGTGGGGTAAGGTGTAGCGAAGACGAGCCGAGACGAGAAGGGCGCAAGTGAAGCTTGGGCGCAGTCGCGGGGTTTGCGAAGTCCGGACACGGTTTCAAAAGCTCCGCCGTCGATTGCTAGTGGTGATTCACCGAGCAAAGGCCCAATCAGCCCGTCGGTCATGCCGTCATGCCGCTTACGTGTACTGAACGTCTTAAAGTTACTGAAGAAACGTGACCCAAAAGACTACCCAAGAAAGAAACAAGAAACACCATCCGAGACCCCCCGCCTCGGGTGGGCCAGCCAGGGCACCCCCAGCCCCTAAGCTCACCACATACCGCCCCTTTAGGTCCTCACTGCGTATCCAGATCATGCAACGCATCCTCAACCTCCTTGAGCGCCCTCATATCCTCCTTCGACACCTTCACCTTGACCTCCCTCTGCGTCAATTGCAGTCCCAAAGCCCGTTCGACACGACCTCGTCCGATTGCTGATACCTCGGGTCGGAGACAGAAGGTCAAGCGGAAGTAGCCGGCGACGGAGTGGCCGTAGCCTGCACCTCGAGCCTGGCAAGAGAGAAAGGGAACGATCAGCTGGGCTTCCCAACCAGCAATAAGCATTCCAGCGACGACTGACCAACACGACACCTTGCTCGGCGAAGCGAGCAGCAAGCTCTGCTTCCTGTGCCATGCCCGGTTCGATCGCTTGACCATCACTATCGGAACGGTCGAACCATTACAACCATGTCAGCATTTATTCCTGCACCAAGGTTGAACATTTGCCATCCCTTACCTCGTTTGCGTCGGTAACCACTTCCTCAGATCGATCCAAATGAAGTGCGCCGCATTGCTCGGTCGAAACGGGATCTCATGCCTCTTCAACCAATCCACGGCCACCTGGTAGTGTTCCGCCAACTTGGACTGGTTCATCTCGATGTACTTGGGCAGCGCCACGGGGTCGAGCAATAGACTGGACCATAAAGCATCGGCGGGGGACGAGATCTTCATCAACAGACAACTCGATTCCATCGCGACGTGCAATTCCGGGTTCGCCTGCGAGATCAACGCTCCGATACGAAGGCCGTTCGCTCCCCAATCTTTCGAAGCACCGTAGACGGCATGCACGCGAGCAGGGGAGCAACCGGCCTCGCCGAGGGTGTCGATCGCGAGAATCGAGGTGAAGAGTACGGCGTCGGGGTATTCGGGTGTGCTGAAGGTGGATAGGGCGTAGATTTCGTCGACGATGAGATGGATGTTATGCTTTTCGGCGAAGCGGCAATAAGCCAGTATTGTCTCTCTTGAGTAGCAGAAGCCTTGTGGCGGTCACAAATCTTGATCAGCTCCGATGCTACCAGACTGCCGTTGCGCACTAATACTGACCTAGAGGGTTTTGAGGGTTGCAAAGCATGACGGCTTTGATTGGGACACCATTCTTCTCGCTCTCGACGAGTTTGGCTTCGAAGCGCTCGAGCGATGATGCATCGGCCTCGTGGCCCTGCTCGAGCTCGACTCCAACAGCGACGACCTGATTACGGCATCCGAAGCTCGACACGAAGCCGCTGTAGTGGGGCAAAGCACTGCCATCGGAACCGGTTGTTTCAGTGATGAGCATCAAAGTAAGACTTCTTGAAGACTCACACCAGAATTGCATCCCCGTCATCGGCGAGGCAGGATACGAGCAAATCAATTACAGTTCCACCTGTACGCATGACCACGTGTGAGAACGGTGTAAAGAACTTGTCACGCTTCACGAGGCAATCGAGATAATGTTGTTCGTCATGACGCACAACCTGTTCCCGCGACGATGTGTTCTCGTAAAACGGGCACTCGGGCATGGAAGTATTTGTCGAACAGGTGGTTCAACGCCTTGAAGAGTCGGATGGAGCCTGGAAGATGAGAGGGTAGATGAGCTGTTTGTACGAGGTGTTCCTGTTGTTGTCGAGTCTCCTAATCACCTCCGAGGGCGGTACCGTACTGTTTCAGAGTTGGAGCACGCGGTCGACAACGGTCAGCGCGCGGTTCTGCTCGGGTTTCCCGAACGAGACAATGGTCTCGCCGACTTCGGAGACGAGCACGGCAATAACCACAAGTTGGCGTGCGTGCAGGGGACGCTCGGGCGCATCAAAACAGGTAGAATGAATACCACTCCGACTCACGGTGAAATCACTGTACTCGAGCTTGAAGTTGGAGTGGAAGTACTCGAGCAGCCAGTCGGTGAGCAGCGAGTTTTCGGCAACGCCCATGTTGATCAGCCCCGACGTGTCGCTGCTCGTGTACTGGCAGTCGAACAGCGCACATCGCAGCAAAGGGGGTCGGTGCAGCGCGTTCACGCCGCGTTTGCTCAGTTGAGGGACGACAGTGGAAGGCATCGTGGCGTGATTTGAGTTGTTGCAGTATGGGGCACAGTAGAGAAAGGGGCGAAACCGCGTGCGGCAACGACAAGGACCCGCCCGGTCACTGCAGGTCACTGCCCCCACACCGCTTCGTTGGATCCCAAAACGGATCGATGCGACGGCACGCCGATAGCGCCTGCCATCCTGAGACCTACGGCTCGGTTCTCGGTAGAATGGGGCGAGCGCCGAGCGTTCAGCACTGCACGAAGCTTCTTCAACATGGCCTTTAAGGCCTCTTGTTCACTTATCTGACACTTTGATGGCATATACTCGTGTCCTGTGCTCGGCATCGCTAGGCATTGGCGGGCATTCATCGTTGCATTCATTTGCCAATCTGAACTTGCTCCCGCCGTCACGTGACCAGTGCGGCATCCGCCCCGCTTTCAAGGTCGTCTAACATAGAGTTTGTCCGGCTGGTAAAACACTTTTACGGACATCTCACATATTGGCATAGGTGGGTCATACCAAATATCACGTGTTATCTACCGTAGTCGAACAGTGCGGACCACCATCTCTTAAAGCTGAACATGGCGCTTCGATCGCCGACAAAGATCTCGGCGCCCGAAGCCGCTCGAAGGACGGTAAGACTTCACACATCGAAAATATGTAGCTCTACTATACTTTGGAGAGCCCAATTACTGAAAATTTCTGAGTCCATGCTTTCGCAAAAATGAGTGAGATGAAATTTGAAGGAGGACACGACGCGCCGCACCGGGAAAACTTGGTAAGGCTGCCCAACTCGCACCGAAAAGTAGCCGAACAGTCCGCCCTATATCTCTTGTCGGTTCTTCTTCTCATGATATTTTGAATCTGGTAAAGTGCCTCATTCTCCAATTTGGCTGAGGGAATCCCGTATGGGTCGTCGTAGGATTCCCGGCCGGACACGCTCTAAATCTTGGCACCCGCACAAAGACTGGGGACAGGCGCTCCCCACTGAGTGTACTACAACCTGGGCATAACGAAGTGAGCTGGGTGCTAGGACTCGTGGGAGGGCTTACATGAGGAGAACGGGCGTCGTATTTCTCGAGTCTGTGCTCCGATTAATCCTTCGCGACGCCCGGCTTTGGAGCTGTGGGCGGAGGAGTGTTTCCAAGAACCCCCGAACCGAAAATCGCGATGCTGCAGACCGAAGAAACAGTGCACCGGCGTTTTCAGTGCGCGCTTGAGCTACTTTATTAAAGATTTCGAGGTAAGCCACCTGCTTCCACGCCAGCTCACGGAGAGCCGGATACTGAAGCTTAGGAAGAGGCGAGTCCGGAGCAGTGGTAGCCTCCGCCGGGCCCAGGGGCTCTCTTTGCATGGCCCCTGCGCTCAAGACGAAGCGTGAGCAGAACATCTGTCCCGCCGCCCGGCAAGTTCTAGCTATAGCTTGTCTAGTCTTTGTGCTGTTATTGTGACCGACTTGGTCACTTGCACGCATACTATGGCGCCAGCACCCGATCTGTTTGGGACGTCTCCGAGAAACTAAATGTTGAAAAATCACCTCACGTCTCCCATCGACGACCTCCGAAACTTCAAGACCGAGGAAAGGCGAGACAACTTCGTTCTTACGACCGACGGTTTAAAGATTCGGAGTGCAAGAACGGCCGTCCGTGCACGTCGGCGCGAGCAGCCGTCAGCAAGTTGAAGAAAACGTCTTTTCACAGACACGAGGAAAAATGGAAGTGTACCCTATGACACTGATCTTCTAGGAACGCAAATGCGAGCTTTGTCTGCCAGCAGAAACGCATTGTGTGGGACCCCTTTCCGAGATCGACACCGCAAGCCTATAGCGGAGCGCAACCCCTTTTTGATGGCACGTTCGAGTAGTGCCGCACGCGCTGCTCGGAGGGCAATGACACGATTCTCGCTGAGATACTAGCAGATCCGAACTTCCCCTTGCGCACGTATCGGATTCACCTCAATTCGAGCACTTCTCACGACTGGTCTTGTAGTACCAAGGCCCTGCGTCTCATCAGTACAGTAGGAAGGCGTCTTCGCGCTCGGGCCGAGAAGAAAATTGCTCCCCGTAGCGATTTCTCTATTCCCTCGAAAGTCTGTTTGTGTTTGCCCAATGCCCCACCTGCCTACCGTTCGGCCTACGTACCTAACGTTCGAAGATCATACGCTCTCCGCCCGCATTTTCATATCACACGCACAGCTAGACAGAGTGCTGACTCCTGAGACCCCACGCCGGCACGTGACGACATCGAAACCGAAGGCTCCCCCGCGACCTGCGTCATGGCCCGTGGTGAAAGCCGTGCGGCGACCGATCCTGCGCACAGTGCGAACACTGCGGCCGAACAGGGTTCTTCGCGGCGCGGCCAGCTGCCGTTGCCGACCTTTTTGGGGGACCGTTCGCCAACGTTCCCCGCTCGGGGTTGTTCTTCCGATTCAATTGAAAGCTGTGCTGATCAACAACCTACCCCACCTCCCGAGGAAGACGAAATAATTTGCATTGGAGTGAGCTGTACAGGAGATATGTACGGCATTTTTTGACATTTGATGTCACGTCCGTGATTGTCGCTGATCTCGCTTCAGGTATCCCGATGACGTCGATGACGTGGGCACTTTGAAACCCAGCCCGTACCTACGTCGGCCTGCGCTGTGTGCGCGAAAAAGACGGGTCGTCGAATTTTGTCCCGGACGCGCTCGAGGACGAGGAGGTTAGAGCAAGACAAAACTCGAAAACGGGGGTGGTTCACCGCCTGATCTCGCACTAAAACCTTTTTCGCACCGCGGCCAACGCCTGCGACTGCCGCCTCGGGCTTTGAGACCGTCCTTACTCGCCCGCTCACTGGCGTCGATTCCGCCCCTCGATCAATGTGCTCGTCGCCGGTCGTCGTTGACGTTCTTTGAACGGGTACCATCTCTTGCATCTCTTGCACCTGTCCCACCGTCCGCTCAATCACCAGAAGATACATCGATCCGTGCCTGTGGCAATCGAATACCTGGTAAGCCTTCGTTCATGCTCTACATCACCGTATCAACTTGGTGACTTTCTTCGGGCGAGATCCGGAGAATCCCGTGATAATGTGCCGTGGAGGGCTCGCGCTGATTCTCCTTCGGCGATCTCAATCTTTGGCCCCTGCTTACTCCACAGACGTCGGCGTCGCAGAAGCCACCGCCGGTAACCCAGCTCGACCTTGACCCGTTCACCGCGCGTTCTATTGCTCGTTCAGCACAGCCAAATTATTTGGACCTGAAATGGCTAGCGTCTTGCACCTCCCTCCCAGCCCTTCTGCCACGAGCTGCAACAACAAATGGACGGGTAGCCCCCGTCATCGGTCAGGCACGACCTCGACGCTCCCGCGGCCGGGCTTGCGACGCAACACCTCGACCTCGAGCATCATCCTCAGCCCTGTCCTTCGCTTCAGTCCGAATTCGATTTTCATCCCCTCGCCTTCCGAGTCGATCTTTAACTTGGGGGAAGCGTCATATGTCGACCATTCGAACGTTTCACCTACCGCCCCTGTCGCTTCGAGTGCCGGCAGCGGGAGCTGGGAGTCGCGATGCTCCTTTGCGCCCGACACGAAACCGCAGAGGCCGACGATCATCACCAAATCGGCCAAGTCAACCGAATTCGTCCCTCTCAACGAAAGCCCTGCACAAAGTGAGCGGTCTCAGAGGATCCCGACAATCGCATCACCGACGTCAGCCACGACCCCGACCGCAGGTGGCTCCTTGCTCGCCCGACGACGATCGTCCGTCGCGAGCGGGAAGCGCCCCGACATCTTTGCGCTGTCGGATCTGAAGATCTCTCCACCTCTCGAACAAGTTCTTGATGACACCGTCCCCTTCAAAGTCATCGGCATGGCTTCCGCAGCGGTCACGCCGAGTAAAGAAGATCTCGGTTTGGCCAAAACGCCGACACTCGTCGTCAAGAGTTTCCGCCCTACGAAATCGTTCGTCCCGACGCCTTTCCCGGAGAAGAGGCAGTTCATCAGCGATGACGAAGGTGATTCGGATCGCGAGGGTGAAGAGCTAGAAGAACGAGAAGACGGCAAGGTGGGCGATGATGCTGAGCCCTAGGCATCTAGTGCACCATCGTCATCGGCGCTGTGCGCCTTGAACACCTTCCCTCTTGCATCATCTGCTCCACTCGATTCCCCATGCGCGCTTCTTTCTTGTTTCTGCTTCCGAGTCCATCTTGTTCACGTTCTCTCGCACCACTTCTTTCGTCGTACCCCCTAGTCTCGCACTGCATTATCCCTCGCCTTTTTTTTGAACCACTGATGTAATCAATTTTGCAAAAAACTAAGGGCACACGACAAGACGAGGGAAGATGATAAGGAATAAGATGAGAAAGAAGACTTGGTATAGATGCACGCGGATGTTACGTGATTAATGATAAAAATACGACCAATGTGCGCGGATCTAACATCACTTCGCCGGTGCTTCCCTGCCACACTCGCCGCAGTTGCGTAGTGAGGGAGTCGTCATCCATTCCTACACAGATCAAGTAGATCTGTCAGTGTGCTTACAGCTTCAATCTCTCTCTTCTCTGCGCGAGACTGACCTCGATAATGGGCTTGAGCTGTTTGCCGAGATCGGTGCAGTGGAACGTGACTTCTCGAATCTGGGTCAAGGTTTCGTGGGCAGGATTGTCGCAGTACCATCGCAGGCGGTCTGAAGGTGCGATAGAGGGTCAGCTTGGGGCTGATATGGTGTGATCATCCGGCCGTAGACTCGCCTACTGTGACCTCGGGCCGAACCTGCTCGAGCACGATCCCGACCGTGTCGGCATATCGACACGGGTTGTGCGGTGTGTTGGCTGTCAAGTTGGAGGCGATGTCAGCAACCACATCACGACGAACCTGACACCCACCTCGCCTGAACCTGAACCTACCTGGTAACAAGAACATCTCCCCCTCCCCAATCTCGATATCACGCATCGTCCCCCCCTGGACCTGATACGCCTGTAGTCCCTCCGGGGTGGGGTGTCGGTCGGTCGATCGTGTGGTGCCCTCGACGATCTTGAGCGTCATCGGACCCTTGACTTGGTAGAACCATTCCTCTGTCTCGTTGATGTGGTAGTCTGTGGAGTCGTGCCAATAAGATGGGTCAGCCGGAATGTCTCGGTAACCTCCGCGGCTGCGACTGCTGTTGGAAGAGTCGATCGATTCGGCTGCGGCTGCGATTCCCGCTCAGGATGGTGGCGGGACGCGCCGGTGGCAATCGGGTGGTGTACGGCGACATGGACCTCCAGAAAAAGTAGATGGACGGCTCACCGTTTCGTTCATTCGGTCCTCCCACGACCATAACGGTCACATCGCCCCCATCGTACCTGTATCGAGCGAGAGCGCGCCACGGAGTCAGTCAGCTTCGTCGCGCTTCGCGCTATGCCCCGGCCAAGCGCCGACCCGAGCTTAGAGGCGGGCAGTACTGACAAGCAATAGTTGTTGACCGGTGGCTTGAGTCGATCCCCGTTCTCCTCAACCCATTTGGTAAAGTTGATCGGCTTCAACGAGGGCATCGATCGGTGCGCGACTGAGCTTGGTGGAGCTGGGAGGAGTCGATCGGTCCGGTCCTCGGTTGAGGCAAACCGTCAAAAAAAAAGCGGATCGGGCACTGGCGCGGAGAATGGTCCGAACTGGTCCGAGCGGCGCAGTAGCGGCGCGGCGCGTGAATTTGTCATTTGTCATGCATGTCATGCACCCTCAACCTCAACGCTGTCTCCTGAGCGCCTCGGGCTCGGACAAGGTGGAACCCGGCCGAGCGACTGGCTCGGGTCTCCCAAGCAGCGAGCTCGTGCGACGGGGCGCTCTGTCACGCAGCCTCGCTAATCACCTCCCTAATCAAGCTCTGGTGTATCCCTCACCAGCCAATGTCGTTCACAAGCACCTTGCACTCGCTATCACAGCCGCCGTCGCAGTGCTGGCAGTCGGGCCCGTCCCAGTCCCAGCCACAACCCTCAGCCCCGACCGCCGCTCGGTCAAATCTCCGACGAGCATCTCGAATCGGCCAGGGCAGACCCCTTAGCACCGGTTCCAACAGCTTTGGTTCTGTTGCAGGCGGCACCACTTCGACACCTCTCGATCGAGCTCGGTTACTGGTACAAGTCGAAAAGCTCGGCATCGAACTGGAGGCGATCAAGGACCTGCTCGCGCCGGACTCCCCCTTATCTCAAGTACCCCAACAGCTTCAGGCATTGCAAGAGCAGGTCGCGCAGTTCTTCGGGCCTCAATCGCTTCAGGCTACTCAAGGTCGGTTCGGTGACATCTTAACGGGAAAGGAGGAATTAACTGTGCGAATATTACGAAGGTCAACAGATGTCCTTTCGGACCGAGTCAACGCTTCGGTCCAAGCTTCGATCAACTCGGTCGGTCAAGATATCTTGCGCTCTCTCCATGAGCTGGGCCAAACCCAACGGCAGTACATCGACACAAAGTTTGACGAGCTTGCGAAGCGTGGGACTGCTCGGACGGAGGTACTTCTTCAACGAGTGTCGGAGCTGAGTCACAAGCTGAATCGGATGGCCGCTGTCGAGAGTGAGACGTCCCACAAGGTGCAACAAGGAGTCGATCAGCTCCGGGAGGGGAGGGATGGGTGGTTCGAAAGGCGCTCAGAACATGGATGTGGTCACGAGGTGGAGCTGGCGGAGCAGGCGGGTCCATCGTACCAAGCTTCCAGTGTCGCGCAGGTGGACAATTCATCGTCTTCAATAATAGCCCAAGCTGCTTCGAAGGAACCTCCGGCGGCCGAGCGGAGACAAAACGCTTACTCTCGCAGGAATGACTGTACAGAAATCGCATCCGAGCATGAAGCCAGCGAGAATCACCGTTCCACTCCCCACAAGAAATGCCAAGCGAACAAGCGGAGCATCAACCAGGATGAGGAGGGCAACGTTTTACTACTGTTTGAGAGAGCATGAAGGAATTATCGGTAAACCCGATCCTCTCGACGATCCATCAATTCTAGAGCCCGGTACAGATCTGGGGCAGGTCCGGGAGTATTGCACAAGTAGTAACGTCAGTTTCACAAGTAGAGTCAGAATCACGAAGCAAGAAGAATATGTCGGAAAAATTCTGCCTCCGAAATTCGAAAACTCTGAACGCTGTCGATGACGAACTGCTAGCGTTTAAGTGATCGAATGCTAGCCGCAATCGAGGTCTTCGCCACAGGGGTCTTGGGCGCCAGAGAGTCGGCGATCGCATCGAGGTCGTCGACGTCCTTAAACCGAGACGAGCTACTCCCACCGAGATTGCGCTTCTTCTTGACGGACTTCATCGGCGAGCCGAGAACAACATCGTCATTCTCGTCCTGTTCTGTGTAGTTGATTGAAGCGATGCTGCTTACGCGCTCCTTTGCTGGTGTCTTGAGCACGGACTTGGTCGCCACGTCGATGACGATCTCTTCTTCGAAATCAGGCAAGACAGGCTGCGAGCGTTCGACCATCGGAGCTCGCATTTTCGCGGGTGTACTGGCGTTGAGTGAAGCGCGTGCCATGGAAGTGCGTCCCGTGGATGCGGGCCCGGTGGATCTGCGCGGTACGGGAATAATCTCGTCTTCGTCCTCCGACTCTGACGAAGCTTCCTCATATTCATCTGAGGCGTCGTCTTCTTCGACATCCCCATCGTCCTCATCGTCTTCATCTTCATCGTCCTCTTCATCCTCATCCTCTTCCTCTTCCTCCTCGCGTCCCTCCTCATCGCTTTCGGCGTCCAAGGTAGCAGTCACGACCGAGTGACCTAGAGGCGACGGAATGTCAACCGTCGTCGATCGAGCAGCAAGCGGAGAAGGCGAAGGCGACGGTGAGGGCGACGCAGGTGTTCGACGCCCTGACCCCGGACCACTCAACAGCATTTTTTCGACCGTATTCGCCGCACTCCGACTATCCTCCGAGACCATGCTCTCATCCTCATCCGAGTCATCGTACGTCGTCGAAGGCGTGCCGACTTCATTCTGCCGCTGTTCGACTGGTGTAGGCACTCGAGCACTAGCGGCGTTGAGTCGGGTCAGGATGTCGAGCTTGGCATTGAGCATCGTCTCGGCCTCTTCTGCCTCCTCGCGCAAGCGTTCCTCGTAGGTTCTTTCCATCTCGATCATCTTGGCTTCGTACTCTTGAACGACGCGGGCACGAACTTGGGATTCGACCATCATCGAGTTCATTTGCGATTCGAAGAGCTACAAAGTGGCAAAGTAGGGTCAGACATTTGCTCCTGCAGTGTCCCGCACAATTGTAAGCGCGGACTCACCGCTTTCCTCAATGTGCTCAGCTCATCTAACAGCGCATTGACAAACTCGTCCTCTTCCTCATCTTCCGCTTCCTCTTCCTCTTCCTCGTAGATCACATCCTCCTCCTCCGCACCTTCGTACATCGAAACGCGCACAATACGGGGCTCTTTCTGCTGTGGAGTCGATGCCACCGTTGTTGAAGGTACGGCTACGGGCTTGTCGTTCTTGATCGTCATCACGCCCTTGGCTACGGCGGAGAACTTCATCACATGCGAGTTTTCGTCAAAGCTCGTCTCATAGGGGTTGACGTTGACAATCATCACCTGCAGCAAAAGGCCTGTAGGGTCAGTCGAAGTATGACAGGGATATGTGGGGCTGCTTCACTCACAGCTTTGCCATCGCCAATGAAGAAGCTTTGGAACAGCTCGGTCAGCTTGCTGTGGCGGAAAGGAACCAGTGCGGGCTATGAAAATAACTCGTCGAGGTGGTGAGTGGACGTCGAGCGCGGTGGTCGTCGATCAAGAGAAGAGAACGTACCTTTCGACCCTCGCCTCGTTCTTGATTCTTTCGCAACACCTCCATACATTGTCCCAGCACCATCAACGACTTGTTGATCTGCCCTGCCTCCTTGAGTCGTTCTCCAAACGCTTGCGTGTTGTTGACGCGCTCACTCCCCGCCAAGTCAACGATGCTGAATCGACTCGTCGTCGCGGCACCAGGGTCATCTACATTCGCGCCTTTTCGGATCTTAATAATCTTGATCGTAAAGACCGAGTGGGATCTCGACGAAGCTCGATTGGCGAGGGTACTAAAGACGCGTCGATTGACTTGACCGCGTTCGAGAAGGGCGCGAGCCTCTTCGGCACTGTGAACTCGTACCTCGCGCATGCCGTGCACGTACTTGTTGCCACCGGACTTGTCGTGTTTGAGGCTGAGCGCGTTGCGTTTCACCGTCTGGAACCCTTTCACCATCGCTTTGGCCTTGGCACCACCGGCACTGAACAGACCCAGACCGGCTTGGAACATGTTCGACGTCACGGAGGCGGTCGAAGACGTCGATACCGATTGCGACGCAACGGGCGATTCGAGCAGGTCGTAGATCTTCTCGAGGTAGACCTCGGCGTACGAGACCCAGATCGAGTACTCAAAGTTGTCGTCGACGTTGACGATCTCGGGCCAAGCAGTCGAAGAACCAAGACAACTTGGTACGGGTTTGACACCTAGCCCGGTCGGACCTTTGCTAGGGGTCCAGGTCATGGGGTGCTTTCGATCTGCCTCCAGTGACATCTCGACACCCGCGAGGCGAGAAGGTCGCAGCTGCTCGGGCATGAGAAGATGAGCTCGTGCACCTTAATAAGTTCACCATTTGTAAGACACGACTCACATTGCTGGTACTCGACTTGCCCTCCAGGCTCCTCCAGACGACGTCAATAACGCGAGGGAGGATACCGGCCTTGTCTCCTTCTTCTCCCTGCACCGTCCACGTTTTGCCACTGCCCGTCGTTCCATACGCGAAGAGCAGACAGTTCTCGCCGTGTAAAAAGTCATGAACGAGCGGCAGGGTCGTGGCCTTGAAGAAGTCGGCCTGAGACGTCTCTAAGACCGTGTCGGAAGGTGCAAACACTTTGGTGAACTTGTAGATGGACCCGAGGGGCGCGGAAGCATGCTGAGGGGCGAGGCCAGGAGTGGTGGCCTCTTCCGAGGTGCGCAAAAGGGGACCCGAGAAGAGACTTGACGTCGAAGGGTTGAGGCGATGGTCAGCAGGGGGCGTCATGAGCACTTCGCTGTCGCTGACGACTTGGACGTAATTGGCCGACTGTGAGACTCCGGTCGGAGCGGGGCGCACTCGAAGGTAGGCCTATCGACGCACCAGGAGGAGAATTAGGGAGCATGTAAGGCCTAAAGTATTTTGCTACACTGACCTTGATGGGTTCTCGTTTCGGGTCGTAGCCCTCCAATCCTCGCTTCTCGCAATCGGTGACGGCCAAAGGCGCGTGTGGGGGTTGCGCCGCAGCCTCGACGGCCTGCTCTTCGACGACGCTGGGTCGGCCCGTGGGGGCGCTGGAAGGGCGGCAGGTAGTAGGGGGTGCCATACTACTACGATGAACGGGAACATGCGAAATGGTCGACTGAGCCGTACTCGACTTGGCCGGAGGGGGCTTGGAATGCGCGCCGAGACTGAAGGCCGATCGTTTCGGTTTCAACGACGGCGTCGCATTCGGTGCCGAACCAGTATCCACGACGTTGGCACGGCTGGTGCTCCACAAGGGTCGAGGAGTTGAGTTGACACCGGGTGCGGGACTTGCCCTCGCTTGAGCGGTGGTCGACGAGCCCCAGAGGCTGCCGAGCTTGCGCGGGGCGGTCGTCGACGCGCCGGTTGATGCACCGTCTACGGCCAATGTTCCGCGCTTTGACGACGAAGGGATCGCTGAGGAGGTGGCAGAGGTTCCATCGTGGGTTGATGTACGCACTGTACGCGTTTGACGTGTGCTCATTGTGGGAGCGATATAGACCTGGCCGGGCAGTTGGTTGGTCGGGTGACTCGGGTCAGGCGTGAGGAAGATGGGAAAGGCGAGCTCGTCGTGGCCAAGTCAGGGGCACGCCTCCCGCCAGCCAAACCAAAATAGACCAAAATAGGCAACATTCTCGCGATATATGAAGTAGGCGGAAAGTGCACGTGATCTATTACACGGAACGAGATGCTAAGCAAGACCAACACATGCCAACACTCAAGGAGAAAACAGGCTCTTGTACAAAAATGAAGCACATTCATACACTCATTAGACGCGATAATTCTGCTTGTCACCGGTTAACTACGCTCATAAACCCGAACAAGGACTGCATGTTGACCCATCGTCGACCGTTCTTTTCGAGGTGCTTGGTGATCACCGAGCGCAACGTCTCGAACGTAGGCTTCTGCGCGTCCATGATCTCATTCACTTGATCTGCACGTCGTCGTGAAGTTGTGGGTTAGACTTAATTCGGAGAAGACACGGGCAGTCAGCTTAAGCGAATGTACCCTGAGTCGTTGTGCTAGCAGCTTTTGTCCGTGCGCGCTCGAGGTCGAACAAGGTGTCGAAGAACAGGATCTGGTTGTACAACTGCAAGTCGTTGTACTGATAGCGCGTTCGAAGGAGCTCTGTCAGCCGCAAGATGCTTCCCGTTGGATGCTCGTCGCCCTCGACTCACTTCGAAATGGACCGTTCCACGGCACGTCAACCCCGGGTTGAGGCACCGCTTACCGTACACGCTCATCATGCGGGATTTGTAGCCACATGTCGGTTCGTCGCAGACCATGACGCCCTCATAGAACTTGGCGATCGCACCCCGGATCTGATTGTCGATCTGGATAGCGATCGAGGCAGTCGACAGCGGCTCGAGGCAGTCCGTGTTGGTGCAGAAGAAGCCCGATTTGGAGACCATGTTCGTCTGCGGGGATCGTGTTCTCTGGTCAGTTCGCGGTTCGTGACCCTTTGTGAAGATAGATGGATGTAGATCACTCACCGAATTCTTGACCAAGCCATCAAAGATGGACTCGGTCTCGCAAACCCTGCACCGAATGCGCAGCGGCTCGACATCGCGGAAGCGCTGCGCGTCAGACACCTGCGAGTGCAGCGTCTTGAAATCGCGCTCCGGAGCATCAACGGTCGAGCGATATCGTGTCACATCGAGTCCGAGGCATTCGGCAAGGCGCGCCTTCTCGGTACCGTCGATATGCTCGCACAGACGCTCGATGGGAGGCAAGACCTGGACACCGAGGTAGACCTCGAAGTCGATCTTGAGGGTCGAGCCCTGGCGTCGCACATCATCGGGGTGGTGCGCGTTGACGGCTTTGGCACTCTTGGCCGAAACGCCATCAGCGGGGAGGCAGAAGATGTAAGGGACGACATCACCACTCTTAGCCGACTGTCCTTTGGCTTGCATGCGGAGGGCGACCTGGACGTGCGGGAGTGACTTGGCGTCGGGGTAGTCCTGCGGGTTCTTTCCGAGTCGTTTGAAAATAATGTACTCGTCAACGGGGACGACACCAGCACGGATGCGCTCGCCAAGTGTCGACAGGTACTCGTGGATCTGCTCGATCACGACCTCGGTCGACTCGCCGGACAAGATGCAGTCGAGGACGAACTGCGATGCACCCTTGGAGAGCGCGCAGAATTCTCGACGCTTCATATCAAGACCCTTGACTTCGGTCTTGATGGTACCGTCGTCCTCGACTTTGCGCGCAGCGTACTTTTTCTTGTTGAGCAACAGCAAGCGTTGGAACACTGCATCCGTGTCAATCTCGAGCTTCTTGTATTTGTCGTTGATGAGTTTTGTGAAGTCGTTGCCGATCTTGAATGCGGCCTGGATATCCGTTTGGTTCGTGTTAATCATGACCGAATCGGTGTCACCGTAGATGACGCTGAGGCCGAGACTTTCAGCATCGGCTTTCGTATTGGTCAAGATCTCTCGACCCTTGAACGTGGTCAGAGCGGCAAGCGGCTTGGCGTAAAAACGCGACCCCTCATATCCGAGACAACCGTACATAGAATTGGCGGTCAGTTTGAGAGCTTTTTGCGTGATGTCGTACTGCAAGCGATGGTCGGTGTATCAGCATGCTAATGACTACCCATGGCTAAAGTCGGCACCAACACCTACTTGTTGCATCTTGCTCGCCGAAACGTTCTTGTCCTTCATGTTGTTCTTGACCTGGCGACGGCGCTTGACGAAACCAGCGATAAGGTCCGGCAAAATGCCTTGCGGCTCGCCCTCGCAGGGTCGTCGCTCAGGCATTGTCTCGACATCTTGCGCCTCATCTGCAGTCCAGTCGATAGTCGAAAAGTCGATATCGAACTCCTGGATGATGCTCGGGTACAGCGAGTTGAAGTCCATCACGAGCACGTACCGATCCCACAAGCCCTTGATCGGTTCAAAGACGAGACCACCAGTGAACTTGGCTTTCTTCATCTCGACTTTGACGACAGCTTCCCCTTCCTCATCGGCCTTGCCCTTCTTGCCCTTTCTAGATTTGGCATCCTCTTTGGCAATTTGGGCCTTCTTCTCCCACGAGGCGACTTTGTCGGGGCAGACGTAACCAAGCGCCGTGAATTTGTGCAACAAGACGTACTCGTTGCGCTCGGCTCGGTTTCCAGCGAGTGTTTTATTCCTAGACAAAGCATAAGAAAATTGAGCGCCAGTGATGGCTTGAACCGCATTTAGGGGGCTGGAAACACTTACCAGGAGTTTCCGGCAAAGACTGTGAGCTGTCGAGTGAGAGGCAAGACCTGGACCTTGAACGCGACGGCCATCTGAAGGTAGCAATCTGCGCCGCAGTGCTGTACGAAATGCAGAAGTTGCGCCGCAGTCGAGTGCACATTGTCAAAGTACTTAGCCGTGTCTTCGGGGTCGATGTCTTCCCGATCAATGTCGAGATGGGTCTTGCACATCTCAGTCAAAGTCCACGTCGTGGAGTCGATAACGGCCTGTATATTTCAACCCATTCGTCTGTTAGTATTGTCTCCCAGAAAATCCAGCAACTTTCGGCACCCACCTTGGAGTTGTCACTCGAAAGATCCAAAGTCAATCGACCATCGAGCAACTTTAGGTTGCGCCCCGCGGTGAGCTTGGGCCATTTGGGCCTTCGGAATCGTCCGACCTTGGACCATGTCTCGATCCCGAGCTCTTTCAAGCGATTGAGCAAAACGTCGAGGTCGCCAGCGACAAAGTCGTGCCCGACGATGATATCAGGGTCGTGTCGGAAAATGATCGACACGAGCTGGGTCAAGAGCGTCTTCTCGTCCTTGAACGGGATGATGCGGTCTCGGGAGGTCTTGGCCGTCGCTCGAGCGGCGACCTCGAAACCAACGGGGAAAGGGGTAAAGAGGTTGCGGACCATGCTCGTCATCTGCGAGGGTTGCTTTTCCAGAGGTGTGGGGTCGTCGATGTTTGCTAAGGAGAGGTTGGCACAATGCACTGTGGTCAGCAGGTCTGGCATGGGACGTTGCCGACAAGGTAAACGCACCATCGGTCCAAACTCGGGCAGCTGCGCAGACGACTTCCCGCTTATTGTCGGTGATATGTACGACCGTGCGCATACTGAGACTCATGATCGTGAGCGGAGGGGCCGCAGTCGGCGCGGTCGGATCCTGGTCAGAGAAGGGATGGATTGTAGAATGATCGGCCGAGACCTCGAGCTTGGTCCACGTCGCACCGGCCTTTTTCGGGTCGCTGTAAACGGGTGCCTTGACGTTGAGCCAACACGGTCCCATGATCCTGTTCGCCACGACAAACGTCTCGAAGGCGCTCGCAGTGGAACCAAACACGTGGCTGAACCGCTCGCCCGAGGCGTTCAGGGGGATATCGACGGCAAATTTGGCTATTGAGGGACTCGACAAGTTAGCATCTGTATCGCATGAGAAGAACTGGCACGGTCCCTGTCCACGCACCAGGGAAATCCGAAGCAAACTCAACCCAATCCGTCTCTTCGCGAGGAATACCTTTGATACCGAAAGAGTACTTCTTCTTGACCCAGGTCTCACCGACGACTTCGAGATTCTTCACATTCCACTTGGACTCGGCCGTATCATCGAAATCGGCGACGACATCATCAAACTCTGGCCCGTCCTCGTCGTCAATCTCGTTCCCGTCCATGTCGAGTGCTTTGGCGCGGGGCAAGACGAAAAGCTTGCGGCGGAGTCCGGTGACAGTCAGACAAGCGCTGGCGTATCGATCGGCTTTGGAGGCCACTTTGCCCTTGTTGTCGGCCTGAGCCGACGTAACTTTGACCTTCCCGACCAGGCACAGTTGTCCGGGGCTCGGCTCGACGTAGTCAAACCAGTAGAAGCGCAGGGACCCGTCCTCTTCCTTGCTCTGGACCTGCTCGAGGACAACGTCGGTCGTCTTGACAACCTTGCGCAGCGACTCAGGCACAGGCAAAGGGTTGTCGGCATCGTCGCCGAGGCTGGCATCGCTCATGTTGACATCGTCCATCGAGTTTGCAGGCATTTCGACCGCAGCGAGTTGCGAAGTCGCAGTGCGCCAATCCGTTCCCTTGGGCTTGGCTTTAGCATCGACTGCCAAAGGAGGAGCGGCGGGCAGGCCAGGGATATTGAGTTCGATCCTTTCGGGCTTGACGGCGGCAGCTTTGGTGGCGCTGGTGTTGACGAGCTGGCGGCGCACGGGGGCTCCTTTGGGCTTGACCACCGGTGCTGACGGCTTGACGAAAAAGTTATCGTCGTCCTCTTCGGCGTCCTCCTCGGCTTTGACTTTGACGATGGTAGTGTTGGCTGCGTCAACGTCTTGCTCAATCTCGTTGCCCTTCTTCGATTCCGCGAAAGCCAAACTCTGCACAGCTCCGCCCAGGTCGTGCTCGACTTCGCTGAAGCGCGCCTTCTTGCCCACAACGTGGAGCACCGTTGCAGTCTCGTCTCCATCACTCGAAGGGCCGGTCTCGCGTCCGTTCCCGTAGTAAGGTTCGGAAGAGAGCGGGTCCGATGCATGCACGTCCGAGGACGAGGTCGTTCTGGCGATCCCGCGCTCGGCACCCATGGGGTCGTCCGCGCCAGCGCGTCGCTTCAAACTGCTCAGTGAGGTCGATTTGGCGAACCTGTCCAGCTTCGACGTGCTCGCAGCGGGCTGAGGCTTGGGTTTGGATTTGTTGACAACGGTCTCTTGCCCATCAAGGTCACCCATGAGCGAAGCCATAAAGTCCTCGACTTCGGCCTCTTCCTTGGCTGGCTTGATGTAAGGGTTCGCTCCGGGAGCGAGGATGGGCTGTTTGGCCTTGCGCTTGAGGGCGGCGGCCGACTGTTGTTTCTTCGCCTCACGTTCCTTTTTCTTCTGCTTTTGGGCAGCTTCTCTGAGTTCTGGTGGAGCGTTCCGGGACCATCGCGGAGGGGGTCAGCCATTGGGGTCAAGATCCGCCGCGTGCGCGCCTCGACGCGTCGCGACCAATTCCACTGCAGGTGGAGCATTCCTGAGACGACGAGACTCACCTCGCTCCTCGTCGTCGCTATGCCCTTCTTCATCACTACGATCCCAATGGTCCTCGCCGTTGTCGGCATAGCCCGTGACGCCTCCGTCCTCCTCGATAAAGTCGTCCTCGGCCAAACGACCTTTGACGACGGAGCGATAGCTTTCCTCGTCGACAACATCGAATACGGGGGCCTGTTCCTTGTTCTGTACATGAGTGTGAGATTCGACGGTCAGTTGGTCTTGTTCGAAGCACGAGTCCGGTGATTGTTCCCCGACGCCGAACGCGTGACCGTGGAGATGAGCCCGTGGCCACGCGTCGCCCACACCGTCGCGTCGACCGCGCAGTGAGAGTCCGGCGTGACACTTACCTCCCACACACGTCCACCACCGGCCCTGGCCGCCTTGAGCGCTTCCAACTGCTTGCGTTTGGCCTCACGAGACGCCATGTCGTGTCGCTTCCTTACCAAGAGGGTGAAGCGGAGTCCAAGGAGTGAAGTAGATGGCAAAGGAGCTGGGCTGACCGTGGCTCCCGCTGCAGCGCCTCGATGCCGTAGCTCTGACCGGCTCTGACAGGCTCTGACGAAGCTGAAGCCCAGCGCAGCGCGCGACTCTTTTACTCCCAGACGCGCGCGACCTCGCGCGACTCGGCGATTAAAGTCACCGTCATCATATATTCTGCGGAAAAGCCGGTGTGGCTTTTGATGGAGAGCAATAGGTCTTCCCTTGGATTACATTCCTAATCTAAGCTCTACCCTGGATCACTTTGGCGTGCCATCGACTGACGCTGTGGGAAATACATCGGGCCTCGCTTAATCTCGTGTCATCCCCACGCCTTGCATTAGTAATCGGGCCGATTCCAGAGCCTGGACCTTGAATGCGGGGGATATGGGGACTGGGCAACCCCGCCTTCCTTGGTCGACGGTCGTTCGATCTCAGCCTGTGCACCTGACAACTGACGAAGTCGAACTCGGTTGCGTCGAAGCGTCAAGTCCACGACAACGCCCGCGGATACATTGACTCGACTCCCACGATGCCGATCCCGACCCAGGGCATGTCCCTGAACCTCATGTCGACGCCGTCGGTCATTGGACTCAACTCCGTGCTGAGCTCCATAGCAGGCGCCGCGGCGTTCACGGGGTCGAACGTCCTCAGCCAGCAATTCGAAGCCACTCCGCAGATCGTCGTCGGCACCGCCATCATCGACAAACCACCCGGGGACAAGCGGTGGAACAACGTGCCCCCACTCAAGTTCTTCACCGCCGCGACCGTGCCGGGGCCGTTGCCAGAGGAGGTCGTTTCGCTGATCGAGTGTGAACCTCCGATCTCACCGGCGACGGAGACCGGCATTCCGGATCAGCAGCCGCGATCGACCGTCTCCTCGACGTCTCTGTCTCAGCCATCGTTTCACGAATCAGGTTGGAAAGTCGCGCTCAACTTGGATCATCAAGGAAGGACTGGAAATGACTCGGAAGGGTGTTGGAGAAGCGGCGAGACCTTGTCAGGCTTCATCCAACTCGACCCGATACCCGGGGTCTCACAAAAGGCCATCTCAAGCGTGATCGTACGCGTCTACGTCCAGAGCAACACCGTCTACACGGCGTATCGATTCGTGCAGACGTCAGAAACAGCAACGGGTCTGTTTTCCAAACTTAAGACAAGTGGTGCGGGTGGGATCACGGCCATCAACGAGATCAAGGGCGAATGGCATCGTGCATACATCGACGGTGGCTCGGGACGAGAAATCTGGCATGGCGGCGAGCTCGAGGAAATTCAACGCGAGGTCGAGGGTGACTTTCCTTTGCTAGGAGAGGAACAACAGAGGATACCGATCTTACCAGTCGTACGACAGAACGAACCGCAATCACTGCCCTTCGCCTTTACACTGCCGACTACGGTGCGGATATCGACTTCGAACTCCTTGAACCATCGCATTCCGGGGCGAGGAGAACTGCAGACATATCGCCGCACGCCACCGCCTTCCATACCTGGAACCCAACACGGGGAGGTGGCAGTGGAGTGGATCGCTGAAGTGCTCGTTCGCTTCCAAGATCTCGATGAACCCGGGGAGGACCTGGCAGTGCCTTCCACACCAATCAACATGAACGACGACGATTCTCTGCCCAATTTCGAAATGGCAACTTTTGATCCGGCGAGCCGACATTCAGAGTTCGGATTCCTCAGCTCTAGTCCGAATCTACAGGTTCACCGAGTTGTCTTCCCCTTTGAGCCTTCGGATCATGATGCACAGGACTTGTATTCGTTTTGGCGGCCCACAGCCGCGGGTGCATGGTCCGAGACGGTGGCGAGGTACAACGGACTCAATCTGGACGAAATCGAGGATGATCGGCCAGTCACCGAGGGTATCGTGCCTAAGTTTGGGAGAGATCCGAGGGACGAAGCATTGGGAGGGTCGAATATGGGACCGAAACGGTCCATGAAGGGCAAGCTGGTGGATAGGCTTGGCGGGAGGGATATGTGGATGAGCTTTGAAAAGAGAATGGGGATCAAGTCCAAGCTGGGGAGGTTGACAGGGTGGATACGAGTCGAGGTATGATTCTTTGGGTCGAGTAGGCTCGCTCGCTGAGGGCCCGGCGTTGATTTTCTCGTGTACTCCTGCAGACCTCCGTTCGACGGCCACTCATGTTGGCACGCCACAGTCCTTTTCTTCCCATCTTGCTGCACTTTTCGTTCCTCCCCTCCAAAGAAGATATGACGCCAGCTCGGACACTTTAAGTTTCGCAAGTCGTTATCGTATTGTCATGACGTCTATTGCTGAGATCGGGGCGTGAGGAACGACCCAAGGTGAGGACTTCTCAGTCCGCCTGCGTGATCCGTGCCGCTGAAAGGATGAGTCGCCCTTCACAGTTTCACATGGACGAAATGCGACGAGAGGTCGTGGATCTGTACGACGACGAGATTCGACCTACTATGGAAACGATTACACCCATCGACACGATGGAGAATGCCCTATCGCGCAGTCGGACGATGCCCCTGAATGGGCTCAAGCGAAGAGGGTTGATGCTCTCTCTCGGGGACGCCAATGGTGTCGATCTTCGCATCGACTTTGACATGCAGAGTGATGGGACAGGAACGAACGGGAAGGCCCTGACGCCAGGGAAAGGAATGGGTCTGTCTTGTAGGATGCCGAATGTCGAACTCGAAGTGAGCTTTTCGGGGTGTTTATCGAATGATCTTCATGTTGCTGATTCGTTCAAATGGCTCAATTGCGTCACAGTACATCATCAGTGTGACGATCCATCCCGTCGGTCAACCGTCTTTTTACGCGCTTCGAGTACCCGTGCAAATCATCCGAGGTGATCTGGACGACGCACCCCCCTTCCCCGTTGGGGACTCGCCCTTCCCTCATGCAAACGGCGGATCCACGAACTCGGACTCGCATTCGTCAGCCCCTGAGCCTCCGGCTCATGATGATGTCGCCGATTCGGGTCTGCCATCCTACGAGACCTTGTAATTGAAAAAGCTTGGGGTGCTGTATTGCGCTTTGAGATACATTTTCATATCAATCTGGACACCACTTGTTATTGCAACGTCGTTTATCGCAATTTTCTACGCCGCGGCGGCGCCGCTTCGAGTGCTTCGACTCGGTGCGAATTTGTCAGCCGGGCCATTGCCGGGCCCGGTTTCGTCATCGCGCCGTGGGGCCTCGAGCGGAGGAGCCCAATCTCTCTCTCTGCCCCCTACCTTTTGTCTCGCCACAACTCCACCACTGGCCACTGCGAAACCCCATCGCCACAATTGCTCGAATCCGCCCACCAGTCGTGCAGCAGCTGCATCGCGGCCTCTCGTCATCGCCTGTAGTCCGCTTCGATCGTCAGTTCTCGGCCTGCACCATCTCAAGGGTCGCCATGTCCGGCCCAACCAGTGCTGCACCAGCTGTAGCCGCTCCATCTCACCCCACCTCAATCTCCCGACTACCCATCTCCCCCCGTGCACCGATCTACCACCTCCCCGCCGATCCCCTCGTCCCTACGCCGCAAGCCCTGCTCGATTTTTCGTTGTATGAGCACCCACAAGACTTTGCCGCGGGTGGCCAGATCGCGCTCAAGGTCGGCGTCGACAAGATCCCGCCGAGCATGTTGCGTCGATCGAGGATGATCAGTGAAGGAGGCGCTTTCACTTTCGTTTCCCCTCTGCCGCTCGAATTTCCTTATGATATTCAGGAGCTGAGCGAACCGCAGCAGGAGAAACAGGTCGGCAAGGAAACCACGGCTAGAGCCGGTTAGTTCAAACCCCCGAGCTCAGCGATTCCAATTTCGAAGTCACCGAGCACCGACGTGATCAAGGCCAACGGTCGCTGCTGCTGCTGGCGATGATGCTATACTGAGTTCGGTTCATTATACACCGATTCTAGGAACGATTGAAACCGCTCTGGCGCAGTTCGAGGTTTCACCCGACTATGTGGAAGATCCCGAGACTCGTTCGGCGTTCTCGTCCAAAGTTCGCCAGAGCGCCAAGTTCCCAACGCCGCAGTTCTTGTCCATCTCGCAAAAGTGCCGCGACGAATGGCTTCCACAACTCGACATCGGTGAACCCGGAAGTGAAACGCGCAAGCTACTCGTCGACGTGCTGGGTGGAAAGACCGTGCTCGCACGAGAGGGAGAGCCAGGTTTTGCACCCTGGTCACTGTGTTACGGTGGCCATCAATTTGGATCCTGGGCCGGTCAACTCGGCGATGGACGAGCCATCTCGATCCTTTCGACACCTGCCGTCGAAGGCTTACCGTTCAAGTCGCTCGAGCTGCAACTCAAGGGCGCGGGTCGAACTCCTTACTCTCGCTTCGCCGACGGCCTCGCCGTTCTCCGATCCTCGGTCCGAGAGTATCTCGGGGCCGAGGCGGTTGCGGCCCTCAAGCTCCCAACTTCACGTGCGCTTGCTCTGGTCGGTCTGCCGAGTATCAAAGTGCGTCGTGAGACGATCGAAACCGCGGCTATCGTGACGAGGGTCTCGGACTCGTGGATTCGCATCGGCAACTTTGAAATTCAACGCACGCGCGAACAATGGGACACGCTCTTGGCGCTTTCGAACTTCGTCGGGCGTCAAGTCTACGACTTTGATGATGACGGCAAAGCTCCCACAGAGGCAGGAAATCGCTCGATGGCGTTGGCGGTGCTGACCGAGGCATCGAGGCGTACCGCGATCATGGTTGCTGGATGGCAAGCTTACGGCTTCCAGCATGGTGTGATCAACACTGACAACGTTGCGATGAATGGAGCGTGCATCGACTATGGACCGTGAGTGATGGCTTGGATTGCACCACTACTAGGTACACGATTACTAAAGGTCTCAAACTTTATTCTCCTGTAGATACGCCTTCATGGACGTATTCGACTCATCGCACATATGCAACCATTCCGACGACCTCGGACGATACTCGTACAAGAACCAGCCGACGATGGGTCTCTTTGCCATCACCAAGCTCGGCACCGCTCTCGCCGAACTCATTGGCGCCGAAAGTTCTTCCACGACTGGAGGATTGTCTGGCTACGTCCAAGCCGAGAAAGGGTGGGGCGAAGATGAGAGCAAAATGGAGGAGTGGCGCAAGCTCGGGAATGCAAAGGTGGAGGCCGTCAAGACGGACTTTGTGACCATCTTCATGGCCGAGTATACCCGCCTCATGCGTCTGGTAAGCTGTTTGATGCTTTTTTTAATACGGAGGCGTATCCGGTGTCTGATTTTTATTGAACCCAACCTGCAGCGTCTGGGATTCTCAACGGTGGGAGATGGTGACTTTGACCTCGTCTCGTCACTCCTCGATTTGATGGAATTGCATTCGCTCGACTTCCACGCTACAATCCGCCTTCTGTCTCAATTTCCCTCTTCAAACTCGGCACCTTCCTTCTCAAAGTACGTCGATCTAATCCTCCCCAGCGATAGCAAGCTGATCCCTACGAACGCGCGAGTGGATTGGACGAATTGGTTCGACCGATATGCGCGGCGTCTCTCGGCCGAGGGAGAGCTCTCCCCGAGTGAGAGGCGCAAGGCCATGGACGGGGTCAACCCTCGTTTTGTTTTGCGTCAATGGGTATTGGAAGAGACGATTGAGCGATTGGCGCATCAGGATCCGGATCTGAGTGGGCTCGAGAGGGTCTTGTGCATGAGTGAGGCACCGTTCGAAGCCTATGGTGAGGTCGAGGTCGCTCAGGATGGCGAGGGAGGAGCATGCAAGGTCGAGAGCGACGAGGATAGAGAGAGGACGAGGTTGTGCGGTATGGGCAAGAAGGAGTTGTTGGGATTCCAATGCTCTTGCAGTTCTTGATTATGGACAAAGCCAGTTTCCTCCTCCCGATCCGATGTTATTGCATAATCCTTCCTTGTTCGTAATCTTGTACACTAGTCATTGCGGAATTGGGTCCCTCCGGGTATCCAAGGACGATGAGGTGTTTGTTCCAACTGTAACTTTCCTCCATCTTGGATCTGTTATGCCGTTCGTGCGTCGAGAATGTCGCCGAGGAGCAATTCGCCATTGGCGGCTATGCCTTCGTACTCCAACACCCGAGCGACGGCCAAGAGCCAATCGAGCATCTCTCTCCCGTTCTGTAGAGACCTCCAGTCAGCTCAGGTTTCTGAGCGTGCCTAACAGCTCCTCGTTGTCGATCGCCGTACCTGTGGTTTGCGTATCTCGACCGCTCGAATAATTTGTTCCAAGAATCCGAGGCGTTCCTGTTCGACCCAACCGAGCAAGACGGCCTTGTCCTTATCGAACCCTGGTTCGCGATGCAAGGAAAATCCCGGATCGGCAACAACGCTTATCAACGCCTCGGGTGAAGTTGAAGAGGATTGTATCCCGAATCGTACGCCCAGACCTGTAGCCATCCCTGATTGTCGATGCACGATCAGGAAAGAAGCGGAGGGATAGGCCGTTGTTTGCGGCACGGATAGACAGGGGCATGTGCAGGGTATACAGTAGATGTCGTAGTGGTTTTGTTCGGTGGGGGTGTTGGTGCCTGAATTGACGGTCGAGAGGGTCGGGCGTTTGGAAGTCGATTGAGAGAGCGAGGAGCCGAAAGGCTCGTGGTGCCCGTTTGAGAAGGAGTAAGGTGGAGACGAGGGTGGCGTAGAGGACCTCCGTCGTGAGGTGGAAGGGTTCATGGCGGGGGGGTTTAGTCGTCTAGGGTGGGTGCAGAAGTGAAGGAAGGCGGCAGGTCGCGTCTGGTCGCGTCACGTTGCCGCGTGCTCTTGCTGGCAAGTGTCTGCAGGTGTCTGCAAGCTTCTACAAGTGTTCCGGCGCGAGCTTGCAACTTCGCGGAAGTTTCGCGGAAGTTCGCGGAGCCGTGTCGAAGCGCTGCGGAGCTCATGCTCATGCTGGGCCTCCTTCCACCTGCATCCCTCTTCGAATGCTTACTCGGTGACAGTAGCGATAACCCAGAGCACCGTCAGCCGCACTTTACGCGTTCGTGAGGGCGTAATGAACACTACTTCGCCCAGGATGGCCGTGCATGACGTCGGTGAGTCAAGGGGTCGTGGGAGGTGGGAGGTGGGGCAGGTGGAGACGGAATCGGGGCTAACACGGTCGGTTGCTTTACCAGATCGTCCGGTGGCTTCAACTTCTGTACTGGCTGCTACCCCTACAACGTACCAGAGCTCGTCATGGATCTCGAACTGCCTCGACTTCCGAACGAACCACCTGCCGTCTTACACTCCCGACCTCTCCCAACCCGGCACCTCGCTCGACGAGCACTACTTGACGCTCGCCTTGATCTACTCGAGGTTGTCCATGTCCAGAAGAGGATCCATGGCCTGCATCTTCGTCAAGCCACCTCCGACCGACCACTCAATCCGACCATGGGATCCCGACTCTACGCTCGGCGCAAAGTCTTTCGACTTTCTTGGCTCCGTCCTCGTGCACTCCAACAATACCCCTTTGCCCTCACCCATGGAGTATACTCCCGGGAATACAAAGAATGAACCTCACCTGGCTAGCTCGTCCAAGCACTACCACGTTCTGCAAAGCAAACAGACCGAACTTCATGCCGAAGCTCGGTGCATCTCCGTCGCCGCCTCCCGAGGCATCAACCTTCAAGGTTCGACCGCGTACATCACCTTCCCACCTTGCTACGCCTGTTTCCCATTACTCCTGACCTGCGGCGTCAAACGTCTGGTTTACCGACGATCGTTGTTGCTCAAGGAAGGACGAGGTCTCGCGAACGAGTTCGGCATCGACTTGGTCGAGGTCATGACCGGCGATGAGAAGATGAGGGAACGCGCCGCCGAGTATTGGCTCAGTGTTGGTGAGACGAAAGAAATGACTAGAGAACGGTCGGAAAAGTGGTGGGCTGAGAAAGGGTGGCCCAAATTTGTGCAAAAAGCTGCTTTGGAGGCGAAGCAGGGTTCGGAAGGCGCGGTTCGGGAGGAGTTCGGTGAGGGGCTGATGGAAGATGGTCCGAGCGAATTGGTGGGATCTCCGAAGAGGAGAAGATTAGAGTTCACATGAACAAAGACCTTGATTGTGTTGAAAATAACACCATGCTTCCTATTCTGCTGTGCTCACTTTACGACAGCTGGTGGTGGCCGGGTGCTTCAGGAGCAAACTTTTGATCTTTGAGCACGAAGCGTAGACCAAGCTTCGAGGTGTATGTGGGTATAGCGCAGAGATAGCAAAGTAACGATTTATCATTTTGCGCAGATGGCGGCATCTTTTGCTGTGACACCCCGCTGAGGGTCGACCGGGTCAAGTCAATCACGTGACTGACGCCCTTTTCGCCGGTTCTGGTCGGAAGGGGCGCCGCGGCCGACCCGCGGTAAACTGCTCTTTTCCGACACTGGGCAGCATGAGAATTGGTGACATTGGCACGTCCTGGCGGAGAATCAGGGCTATTTTAGGCGCAGTGCCTACTTCCCTTGCTGTAATACTTTCGTCAGGGGCTTTGATGGGTTTCGCGGTGATTTCAAGTCTCGTCGCTGAGTCACAGCGAGGCTTGACAGCGCCACGGACTGAAACACGGAGCTACGAAATTCGGGATTCCGAGAGAACATGATAGCAGAATGCGTATAACGAGGAAAATCTGTATACGCGATTGAACGGGAAGTGAGGAAATCACCCCTGGACTTCACGAAGCCAGACAAAGTGGCATTCGCGAAGCGAGCCAGCCTGGTAGTAGGCCAATGAAGACCCGCCGAATGTCAGTCCGGATCGCGAAGGCGTGATCGTCGTCGCGCTGGGCTTCGCGGGTCGGATCGCCTCCATCGCCGCTCTCTGCCTGTTCCTCTTGCTCGCTACGCACGCGCACGATCGTGCCCCTACTTTCGTTGCCTCAGCCTAGCTCGTCCTCCTTGCCTGACCATGTCGAGCTCTAGCCTGTACTCGTCCGTGTCGAGCACGTCGCGCATCCCGGGCGCGCAGTTGCTTTCGAGCGCCGTACTTTGGCCGGCCTCGTTCGCCTCCGCCTCCGCGCCCACACCTTCGCCACCAGCGCTCGTGGTCCTCTCGCCATCGGAGCTCGTCCAATTGCTGCCGTCGCTCAAGCCTTTGCTGCGATCGCCCGTCGTTCTTCAAGTCTCGACTGCTGCCTCGAATGGTGACCACTCGGCTGTCACTGCCCTGCGCTCGACCGGCCTCCCCTTGCTGTACTCGGCCAATCAGCAGCAAGCCGACGCGAACGCGCTCGTCGCAGCTCATGTAGCCGCCCAAGGTCGTGCCGTCCTGCACTTTGGCGAGTTTGCTGCGGATGCCATCTCGTTGGGACAGCATGCCAGTGTATCGCAAGACTGGGTCCGAGGTGCCGCCGCCGCCGCCGCTTCGTCCGCGCAGTCCAACGGCAAGGTCGCGAACGGTTCTTCGAATGGCCACTCGCACGCAGCTTCGCCTGCGGATGCTTTGCTGGCCTCGTTCGAATCCGCTTTTGGCGCTTTGCCGAGCTCGAACGCTGCTTCGGCCGTCACCTCGTCGGGATCGGGGTCGACGGTCGTGTTGGCGCTGGGCGACGTCGCTGCCTTGGCCTCGTCGATCCCCGCCGATGTCACTCTCGTCTCGCTTAACCTCTACCGACCTCTCTCGGCGCAACGTATCCGTCAGCTTGTTCCATCGGGCACATCGAACGTCGTCGTTCTCGAGCAAAACTATCAAAGGACCGCCAAGTGGTCGCCCCTGTTCCTCGACGTCGTCGGAGCCTTCGCGGACAGCGACGATGAGGCGCAGGTCCCAACCATCCTTTCTGCAACGCTTGGCCAAGTTCAAGATGGAAACGCCGCGTTCAAGGCTATCCAAGGTGAGTTCGATTCGCAGTGCTTCTTCCCACGTAGCGAGTGACGCCCCGATGGCCAAAGGCTGATCTCACCGTCCCTCCGTCGATCGCCGCCAGACGCCGTCGCCACTGGAGCGAGCCCCATCACACTTGGCACTATCCCTTCGCCCTCGGGCGCATCTGCGTCCACCTCGGCGGTTGTTGTCCCTCCCAAACACGAGTCCACATACACGAACTTGTTGAACGAAGTTTTCGGCCAGCGACTGTGGGTGGCCAACGCGCCCTCTTCTTTGTTCCCCTCTTCCTCGACCTCGACCATCTCGGCCACTTCACCCGAGTACGCCCTCGGACACGTTCTTGGCGCGCAAAAGAAGCGAGAGGAGCTTCGCCGAGCCGTCCGCGAGGCCGTGGCTGCACCGGGGATCGAAGAGTCGGCAGCCAAGGCGCTTACCGCATGGCTGCAGGACGACCGCAGCGACAAGGTCGTCAAGGCTGCTTCGGACGCTGCCGTCAAAGTTGCCTCGTCTTCGCTCCGTGAGGCCCAGTTTGGTCGCAAGTCTAACTGGATTATTGGCTCCGAGACTTGGTCCCACGATCTCGGTGCTTCGGGTCTGCACCACGCCCTCTCGACGGGAGCCGACGTCAACTTGCTCTTGATCGACACGACCCCTTACGCTCTCCCCGGCGAAGGACCCACACCTTCTCAACGCCGCAAGGATGCCGGCTTGTACGCCATGACGTACGGCAACGCCTACGTCGCATCCGTCGCCGTTTACGGTGATTTCTCGCAGACCTTGCGTGCCTTTGCCGAAGCCGATGCGTACAAGGGCCCTTCGATCATCCTCGCGTACTTGCCCGGAGGCGAGAATGACTCGACCCGAGCGCTCGAAATTCTGAAGCAGACGAAGAAGGCGATCGAGATTGGCACATGGCCCTTGTATCGATGGGACCCTTCGGCCGAGGCTCGAGGCGCCGAGGTCTTTGAGCTCGACTCGGAGAAGATCAAGGCTGATTTGAGGACTTTCCTCGATCGCCAGAACCACCTGACCGAGCTCAGTGCGCGATTACCGACCTTCGGTGAGGCGCTCGAGAGCGGCGCTGGCACCAAGTTGGTCGCTCTGCAGAAAAAGAAGGCGCGAGAGGCCTTTGACGCCCTTTCCAACGCGCTCGAGGGTCCTCCTCTGCTCGTTCTCTTCGCGTCCGATGGTGGTAACGCTGAGAAGCTTGCGAGGAAGTTTGTCGGTCGCGCCCGACAACGCGGTGTCGCTGCTCGCGCCCTTGCCTTTGACGACATGCCGATCGAGGATCTCCCCTTTGAGAAGAACATCGCCTTCTTCACCTCTGTCGCCGGACAGGGTGAGTTCCCCCAGAACGGCCGTGAGCTGTGGAAGGCCCTCCAAGCGCGCAAGGTCCCCGACCTCGCCGAGGTGCAGTTCTCCGTCTTCGGTCTCGGTGACTCGCACTACTGGCCGCGAAAAGAGGATGCGCACTACTACAACAAGGCGTGCAAGGATCTGCACAAAGCTTTGCTCGAGTTGAACGCGCAAGAGATCGTGCCCCTCGGTCTCGGTGACGACCAGGACCCGGATGGACCGCAGACCGCTTACAAGGTCTGGGAGCCGGCCATGTGGAAGGCGCTTGGCGTTGATGGCTTCGAGTCGAACGAACCCGAGCTCGAGCCCATCACGAACGAGCATATCAAGATTGCGTCCAACTACCTCAGAGGCACGATCAAGGAAGGTCTCGAGGACACGACGACGGGTGCGCTCGCCGAGTCCGATGGTCAGTTGACCAAGTTCCACGGCATCTACCAACAAGACGACCGAGATATCCGCGACGAACGCAAGGCCGCCGGCCTCGAACCCGCCTACTCTTTCATGGTCCGCATGCGCTTGCCCGCTGGTGTGTGCACCCCGTCGCAGTGGCTCGCCGTTGACGAGATCGCCGACCGCCGAGGTAACAACACCTTCAAGCTTACAACGCGCCAGACATTCCAGTTCCACGGCATCGTCAAAGCTAACCTTAAGCCCGCGATGCAAGAGATCAACAAGATGTTGCTCGACACCATCGCTGCGTGCGGTGACGTCAACCGAACCGTCATGTGCTCGGCCAACCCCAACCTCGGCCCTCTGCATAGCAAGGTCTTTGACTTTGCCAAGGAGTTGTCGGACGGTCTCATGCCACAGACGAGCGCGTACGCCGAGATCTGGCTCGACAAGAAGCAGATCGTCGGCGAGGCCGTCAAGGATGTGGAACCCATGTATGGCGAGTACTACTTGGTAAGTTGTAGCGGCTTGCCAATATTGAATTCGGCCCTTCAAGTCGGCTGACCGCTTTCTCACTCACAGCCTCGCAAGTTCAAGATCGCCATTGCAGTCCCGCCGACGAACGATGTCGATGTCTACTGCCACGATCTCGGTTACATCGCCATCCTCGACGCGAATAAGGAGCTCCTCGGCTTCAACATCACGATCGGTGGCGGTATGGGTGTCACCCACTCAATGAAGTCGACCTACCCTCGCTTGGCGGACGTCGTCGGCTTTTGCACGCCCGAGCAAGGTCTCGAGGTCGCCAAGGCCGTCCTGACGACGCAGCGCGATAACGGCAACCGTGCGAACCGCAAGAACGCGCGTGTCAAGTACACCGTCGACCGCATGGGCATCGATGCATTTAAGGCCGAGGTCGAGAAACGCCTCGGGTATAACCTCCAGCCGGCCAAGCCGTTCGAGTTTACGTCCAACGTCGATCAGTTCGGTTGGCAGACCGGCCACGACGGCAAGAAGCACTTTACCTGCTTCGTCGAGAACGGCCGTGTTCAGGATGAGCCGGGACGACCTTACAAGACCGGTCTTGCTGCGATCGCCAAGGCGCACAAGGGTGTGTTCCGCCTCACCGCGAATCAGCATCTCATCATCTCCGACATCCCCGCCGAGGAGGAGAAGACGATTCAGTCGATTCTTTCCAAGTACAACCTCGACAAGGTCGATTTCTCCGGCTTGCGCTTGTCGTCGGCGGCTTGCGTCGCGTTTCCGACATGCGGTCTTGCCATGGCCGAGTCAGAGCGATACCTCCCCGCCCTGATTGACAAAGTCGAGAAGGTGATGGAGGAGGAGGGCTTACGCAACGACTCGATCACGATGAGGATGACGGGTTGCCCCAACGGGTGCGCACGACCATGGGCCGCGGAAGTCGCCTTTGTCGGCAAGGCACCGGGCACGTACCTCATGTTGCTCGGCGGTGGGTACTGGGGTCAACGCCTGAACAAGATCTACCGCGAGTCGGTGAACGAGGAAGAGATCCTGGCGATCTTGAGGCCGATGCTTAAGGAGTACGCGCTCGAGCGCAACGACGGTGAACGCTTCGGTGACTTTGTCATTCGCAAGGGTTACATCACCGCGACCGAGAGTGGGAAGCAGTTTTACGAGGGGATGGCTCCGGGGATGGAGGTTGAAGCATAAAAATCCGAGTTCGAGTCCGTGTGTCTCTGCTGTGCGGAACGGGATTTGTAGTCTTGTCTTTGCGCCTGTTTCTCGTTTAGGGGCCCTTTATTTGCAATAGATATGAATATACAAAACAGCATGCGCCGCACAAATCGAACGTGAGCAGAGAAGCTGGCCTTTCCCCCGGTGGCGCCTGGCACGCCACCGGTCAAGGTTATCCGCACGTGACGCGTAACATGCGTGACACGCGCAACAATTGTGATGCACGATAGAGAGCTCCGATGACGAGCAGGTACGGGACCGTTGTCGCGAGAAAGGGGTCGTGATAGCTGGGCTATCATGGCCCCTCGAAAGGCAAGTAGTTTTGCTGTGCACACTTGATTCCTGAGTGCAGCAGGCCCAAGGAGGGTATCCCGAGCTAACACGCGCGGACTAGGGTTTTCAACTCGAGAGTGGCGCGCCGGGCTCCTCGGGTGGTCCCGCCCTCGATTCTGGGCCGACTTGGCCCGCGGATTGAATCCGGACTCCGAGCTAGAACCTCGCCGCGGCGTATCCGTCGACTATCCGCACCTCCAGGACACGAACTTTGTCGTTTCAGCTTCCCGTCCGCATCTTAAAAGCTCGCAGACTTTCCTACTAGACGTGCGCCGTTCGATTACAGTGGCCCGACTACCGGTTCCCACCCCGGCTCCGCGCTCTCGGAGTTCGCTTCAGCCTCCCCGCGACCTAGAGCTCAAGCTCGCTCCGCAGGACTCATCGACCGCGCCAGAGCAAGCAAGAAACCCCGGAGGATGGAGACACCAAGAACACCGATGTTGCCCATCAATAGAACCCCTCGCATCCGGAGGACAGGGTTCGATGCCTTCACCCCGGCCCCCGCAGCGCAACCCCTGTCCTTGTCGAGTGATCGAGCTCCACCTCCGTCAAAGCCCATGCCCAGCGCTGGCAAGTCTTCTGGACCACGTCGCAGTCGGATACCACAACTGGCGCTCGTGATCATCCTCGTATCAGGAACCTTGATGCTCTTCAGTGGGTCGTCATCGTCGAACAAATCGTCGCAAAAGGACTCGCTCTTCTTCTGCCCCCACTCGACATCGAAGCGCCACACCCCGACCGTGATCCTGCAGGCTGATGGAGCGAATGCTCGGACAGAGAATCGCACCTACTGGGTCGGAGGCTCCGATCTGGCAGAGTTCCTGCCTTTCGCGTCCCAGCCGCACGACCTCCGATTCCTACAATTGACACGGCCACGACACATGTAAGGATGTATCCTTACACATGAGTTAAGGTCAATACACAACCAAATCTGTTCATCTTGATATTGTAACATCAACATATAACTATTTCTGAATGGTGTCTGCAAGGACTACATGATAGCATGTGTATTGTAAGACTTGTAGTGATTCAAAATTTATGTGTCCTTACCGCACCTCCCGTGTACTTACCGCACCCTCGTATCCTTACATGTGTCGACATGTGTAAGAACACGCCCGCGCGCGCACGTGACATGCGTAAGGATACGCTTGCGCGCAAAGAGCACTGGCTGCTGCTGGTGAATAATTGACTCTTTCCGCACACCAGTGGTTGTCAAAGTATCGCCATGCCCATTTTTGCACTAAGTTTAGTTACACATACTATTGCTGACCGCTATCATAGCCCCTACTGTACACTACATTAGTGATTGACAAGGCCAAAACTTCACTGGACCACTGGGGCACAACTTCGTGAGTCAAACTTGCCATCAATATGAATGTTCCCCACTGTAATTTCCTCCAGGAACACTGCACCGCTGGAAAATATTGTAAGAGGAGAGCTTCGTCAGTTGTATTGATCTGCTTTCTTGGCGTTCCCGACACTCACTGTCTCGCATTCATGAAAAAAAGCCGACGCATCTTCCATCTTCCAGACACCTTGTCCTTCTTCAAGAGTCCCTTTGGGTGGTAGACTTGACACTTTGATGCCGATATCGGTAGGATCGGAGGGCTCATGGTATAGACTCCACATTTCGTGCCACTGCCGTGTTAGAAGTAGGTTGAAGGCTTGCAAGAAGTCAAATGACTCCTCTTCTAGCTCGTAGAAAAGCACGGAAACTAATCCGCCAGCGTTCCTGTCCCCTATCGGCCTAGCGAGAGAGCCTTTGATTGCGTCGAAATGATAGCGTGTGGCCTCTTGCCCGTATCCAACCGTCGCGTTCGTAACGAAATGTGAATTGTTGATGTTGTACACTCCTGACCGAAGGCGCCAGACCATCTCTGGCATTTGGTCCGAAACACCGAAGCGTAGCTCAGCTGGGCCCAGTGAATGTTCCGGGTACATATTGTTGATGTTGATCACACCGATAGTTGAGGAACAAGTGATTGAAGTATTGCAACTAACCTATACAGGTGGCAGCGGTAGGATGATACGCAGCGCAGTGTCAGAACCGATAGTCGAGGAACAAGTGATTAAAGAAAAGATAAACAAGGGAGTCCGCATTGCGAAGGCATAGGCCCATGCGCAAGAATATAATCCACTCAGACACTAAGTTTAATCCACTGCCTTAAAACCAATCGAGCCTCCGGGCGCGCGCCTCGCCTCGTTACCGATGGCCTACCATCTAGACAACACATGTGGCGTACCTTCAAGCTTAAGAGTCGTATGTTGATGCTTGGGAAGAATGGAGCTGTCCTTTGGAATAGCCTTGGGTTGTGAAACGCTTAGACTGGAGAGGTTCGGAGCTAATGCTGGTGAAAGCGAGCCGACTTGGAGGGTAGAAGCGGAATTCACACTCTCAACACTGCTTTGACTGCGCAGCGACGGCCAACCGGGATCGCTGTTCTGGGAGCACAGGAGGGGCATTGTTGACTTCTCGTGCTTGATGGTGTGGTGGAAGGGAGTGTCGTGGGCGAGCCGAGTGGAACAAGGTGAGTCATTGTCACGGTCGTCCTTGTGATCGTTGTGCTTATCGTCCACATAATTGTCATAGTTCTCCTCGCAGTCCTCTGCGGACTTGATGCGATTAGGCAAGTCGCTTGTACGATCGGAGATAGGAGAATCTCCTGTTGGAGTCGGGGATTTCGATAGCCGCGGCGCGGACACCGTGCAGGTCAATGCTTCAGCTTGAAGGTCGCCAGAATCGTCCTGAGGATGCGCTGAGTTTGCCGACTCGGGGACCGACTGGCCGTTTCCTTTCCTGATTCGACGATTGGTTCCTACCGTTGATCGGCGTTTGATGCTTGGGACTTTGAATCTCGACTTGGGAGTCCGCCGTTGGGTCCCCTCTCCAGCTCCAGAACGAGTCCGAGCCCAGGGCCCGGCGTCACGGTCGGGAAGTTGGCGGTTCCGCAATCTCATTGATGAAAGATTTGAGTCCGTGCCTGCTGGCACAAAGCTGGAGGTCGCAATTGGCTGGTTCGCAAAAGTCAAACAGTGCCACGGTGTTGACGTCGATGGGCGGTGTGGGGACAATTAGGTGAACAAATGTGAACAAAGGCTTCGAGCTGAGTGCGCCTCCTGTCGTTCCACATGGCACGTGCGCGCGCGGGCGTATCCTTCCGCATGTCACGTGCGCGCGCGGGCGTGCGTGTTCTTACACATGTCGACACATGTAAGGATACGAGGGTGCGGTAAGTACACGGGAGGTGCGGTAAGGACACAGAAATTTTGAATCACTACAAGTCTTGCAATACACATGCTATCATGTAGTCCTTGCAGACACCATTCAGAAATAGTTATATGTTGATGTTACAATATCAAGATGAACAGATTTGGTTGTGTATTGACCTTAACTCATGTGTAAGGATAGATCCTTACATGTATACAAGCCGATCTGCAGGGACCACACGGACAAGCCCGAGCAAGGCAGGCAGCTTTGCCACGTCCATCGGGTGCCGTCTAGTCCGCGCGCAGAAATTCCAAGCACATGGAAGGATAGCAAAATCATGTTCGGAATGTCGGATCGAGCGCTCTACTCACTACCCGTATGGTCGCACTGGGTGCCGGCATCGAAGGAGAGAATTGACCTTTCGGGGCATTCACCGGCGGCGGCGGCACTGGCGGTGCCCGAGATCCTGATTCTGACCCATCCACCGAACCCGACCGAAGCGTCTCGCATCACCGAAGCCGTCGAGGAGGCTCATGGGCTCGGTATCAACGTCGTGATGCGTAAGCAGGAAGCGGACCGATTCGAGACGAGGTACTTTATGCTCGCCAAGGAGATGTGGGCCGAAGCGCAAAGGAAGAAAAAGACTCATGGCGTCGAGACCGACTGGTTTGTGTTCTGGTGAGTCGCGATACAGTTTTTCCAACACGCTAAAGTTCTAAGATTTTTCACGTTGCAATGTTGGACTTCTCTTAGTGACGATGATACCTTTTTTCCCGACTGGGACTCGGTGGTGAGGATGCTGTTAGAACACGATCCGGCAAAACCCATCCTCATCGGTGCCCTCTCGGAATCCGTCCATCAAGTGAGTGGCCAAAATGAATAGTTAACCTCTGATCAAGCATCTCCCGACTAAGTCAGTTTCTGCTGAACCCTTCAGGTCAAACAGTGGGGTCACATCAGTTACGGTGGTGCAGGAATCTTCGTTAGCCGAGCGATGCTGCACCTTTTCAACGGCCCGGGACAAAGTCAGTAGAGCTTGCTTTCGAACGGCGCATTAGGAAGTAGCTGACAAATCACATGGCTCGCAGTCGAAGATTGCCTTGACAAATTTGGTTCGGCGTTCGGCGGTGATGCAATGGTCGCGCATTGTGCAGCTCTGGCGACCAAAAGGGACATTAAAGACGTTTTGACCCTCGATGATACGTTACATCAACTTGACATCCGGGGAGATGGAACAGGATTCTTCCAGTCCGGTTTCCTCATCACGTCACTGCATCATTGGGGCAGGTCCGTCGCGCCGAGCTATATGTTGCACTCACTGCACCGGGCCAGTTTTTACTGACCGCCTCACTCTGCCATGTGCTCGCAGCTGGTTTACCATTTTCCCGCCATGGTCCGAGAGTGGGAGCGGAGATCTACGGAAGAGCATCAGTCTCGTAGGACGAGCAGCCAAAGCCGTCGGGGGTGACAACTGGGGGCGACGCTACGTTTTCGAAGACGGCAAAGTCGTTGTCAGTCTCGGTTACAGCATCTCGATCGAAGCGAGGGCATTGTCCGAGTCCGAGTTAAACCGCTCCGAACATACATGGTGGGAGTTCGAGACGTTTCATCCGATTCGGCCGGGGAAGCACGAGAGTATCGAGAAGCGCACGTATTATCTCTCGGCCGTGCGACACCTAGAATCGGGGGTGGTGAAACTCGAGCACAAGAATCGGGAGAATGAGAGGGCCGACGTCATTTGGGATGCGCGCGAGGGCTGATAGGGGGTGCGTTGCGCAATCATACGTGCTAGTGCCATGATACCTTGGTTTGAGCTTTCTTTGTGCGACCAGGAAGGCGCCGTTGAAAGTCCGGAAGTAGACGAACGCGGCTAGACTTAGCTGTGGCGAGATCCCCCTGTGGAATAAAGGCTTAATCTGGTAAAGTGCAGACAGAACCAACCAACAGTGTAAAAAAATAGATTCGCGAAGCAAAAACTGTGTGACTCCAACGCGGCAAATGAAACAGAGTATGGCAAATGGCCCGAACCCGGGATCGAACCGGGGACCTCGCCCAAAGTAGATACATCCAAAGCGCAAGAAAGCACGGGATTGCTTACTCCCTAAGGGCGAATCATACCACTAGACCATCCGGGCAGCGAGCAATGATTAGGGTGATCAGGCGTGAACATATATCATCATTGCATCCCCCCAAAAATGGCCCATCACCTTGCGCGAGTGCGACTACAAGCTCTTCACCAAGGTCTACGTTGCGCGACTCAACCACGTGCTGCCGGACCTGCTCCCACCGCAACAGCACGGCTTCGTCAAGGGCCGCCGATCGGCGGACGCGTCATTCCACCTGCGACTCTTGATCGAAGAGCTGGGCGCGCGCGGCACCGAGTTCCCTGACGCGGCGCTCTTGTCTCTTGACCAATCGTCGGCTTACGACCTCGTCGAGCACGAATGGATCTTCGCCATCTTCGACGCTCTCGGCGCTCCTGCCGCCTTCCAACGCGTTCTGAGGATGCTCTACTCGGGTGACTCAACCACGGCGCGATATATCATCAACGGCTTCTTGACTCCGCCGGTGCGGCTGACGTGTGGGCTCGGCCAAGGGGACCCGGCGTCGTCGTCGGTCTGGGATGTCGTGTTCCAGCCGTTCCTGGATGCTCTGCACCGTCGAGGCATCGCGCTGAACCTCTCGCTTCCTACCATTCACCCCTACCCACAGAGCCGCGCCATTACATCCCTTGCGTTTGCCGATGACGTCGTCGTCGCTGTCGCGGGCTCGGAGTCACTCAACTTGCTCGACGACCTGGCGCTCGACTGGAGGCTCGCAACCAATGGCCGGCTCAACACCGACAAGACCGTCGTACTACCCATCGGGTGTCGTTGGGAGGCTGGCGATCGTCCGCTCGTCGTCAAGGCCGAGGGCGAGTCGCTCGAGTGGATCGGCCTATCTTTCGACCCCACCGGCAACACCGAACTCGCCAACGTGAATCTCGTCGCACGGCTCGAAGCGGTGCTCGATTCGGCACGGGACCGAGGGCTCACACACCACACCCGAGCGTTCTACGTCAACCGATACGCCATTCCCAAGATTCTCCACATCCTCTCCGCCGACATCCCACCGCTCGAGGTCGTCAAGGAGCTTGATCGCATTCTCGCCGACTTTGTCCGCGGCGGCAAGAGGAGGTCGTGCTATGGCAAGGACGTCGTCTTCACACCGAGGTTCAAGGGGGGTCTTGGGGTCATGCGGATGCAGGACGTCGTCGACTCGGTTGCGGCACGCGTCTGGGACGTGCTTCTTGGCGGTTCGGATGCGATCTGGCAGGGACTTGCGCGCGCGGCGATTGTACGAGCCCATCCCGCCCCCGACTTTGACTTGGCAACCGATGCGTGGCCTTGCGACTACACTCCGATCCGAACCGATCTACACCCAAGATGGCAGGCCGTGCTGAAGGTACCATCGACGCACAATGCGCAAGTCAAGCCGAGGACGTTGACGCTCGCGAACCTTCTCGCTCTTCCGATCAAGTTGCACACCCTTCACTACCTACCGGGAGCACCAGCTGTGTCGCGACCACCCTACGACGCCGACTATGCTGCGTTTGCCATTTACGCCAAGGTAGCGGACCTGTTTCGACGCGAGCTGTACCCGGGCGGGGGCTTTCATCTCTGGACGCCGCCGACGGATGTGGTCGTCAGCAACAGCGAATACGATCAACGGGGCCGCCCACAACGAGAGCACATCGTGGCATGGTACCGACATGCGATCAATCGATTGAGGTTCACACCAATAGCTCAACCGGTGGCGGCAGTACGAATCAACGGGCCTCCCCGAGTCCGCCCCACCACGCCGCTCGAGTCGATCCTGCCCCATCCGATCGACCCGCCGCAGCGCCTTCCGAGACCGGCTCTCCCAGACCAATCAACACAATACAACTTGCTCAGCATGGATCGGCCATACACCATCCGTCGCGTCCGCCGAGTCTTGAATGCAAAGGCCTTCACCGACACGATCGGTTTCAGGGACTCGCTGCAGCCCGACGATCTCAAGGGATTCTGGAAGGGGGTCAACTCGAAGGCATTGACGGCGAGGGAACGCGAGGTGTGGTTCAAGCTCGTCAGGAACTTCACCCCGACTCGGAGTCTGCAGTTTCATCAAAAGCACGACGACTCGCCCGCGTGCCTCGTCTGTGGAGCGCCCAAGGACGATCGGGAGCACTACTTCTTCGACTGCGTTGACTCTAGGAACGTTTGGATCGCGGCAAGGGGCGTGCTCTGCGACGCACTGGGGCTCGACACGATCGACAACACGCATTACACGGCCGTTCAACGCATGTTCGGACTTCCGAAGCTCAAGGCCAGTCTGCGCGATCAAGAAGGAGCGGGGAGGACGATCGAAATATTCACCGGGCTGGTCTTGGAGATGATCAGCAGCGGGAGGTGGGGGATGCAGAAGTGGGGGACGAGGATGGAGGGTGTTGGGAGGAGGAGGATAATCTTGGAGGAGAGGTTGAAGCTGAGGGCGGGAGGAGCTTGGGGGAGGAGAAGGCAGTAGAGGCTGGGTTCGACTTTCCCCCCACCACCACACACACACCAAATTCTCGTGACATCATTTTCTCCTACTGTACACTAAATAGCTCGCTTTCCTCTTTCTTTTGTTACAGGTTCACCGTTGCGGATCATGGACCATCTCGCGATTTGGCGTCGACTCGGTGTGGCTCGCGCTCTTCGGCTTCGGGGTTCTGAGTCAAGGGAGGGATCAGCGGACACAGGCAGAAAGTCGGCTTTGAGGGGCCAGGGACTGCCGAGGGGGAGGTTTTGAGGGACCTTCACCGCGTCTTGTTGTGACTGAGCAGAGACTTGGAGCGTCGAGGGTCGTGGTGGTTGCGCAGTCGTGCTCTTGTCTTCGTCTCGACCGAGTGGGAAGTGGCTGTGGGGTGGGCCTTCTGTCGTTAGTACATTTCTTTTCTTTCTCTTTCTCTTTCTCTTCATCTCTCTTTCTCTCTCTCATTCGTCTCCTGGGGGGGAGCAACCGCTTGGCTAGGGCATTTGAATCCGAATCTCGGATTGGTGGACTTGGCTCGTTTCTCGCACTTTTGCGGGCGGTTTGTGTTATCATCGTAGTCTTCCATCTAGTTTTTCCGTAGGCCGAAACAGGGGGAACAGGAATTGGGGGCAATATGATGAACGTTTTCTACAAAAAAAACCCGGCTTGCGGTAGGTGCCACTTTGTGGGTCACGTGGGAACCTGCGGACTGGATCAGGAGAGGAAGCGGAAGGAGGCTCACAACGGCATCATCAACAGCAACAAAAACACCATCACCCACAACACCAACATCGCGGAGGCCGAGGCCCCCATTCCTGTGCTGGTTGTTAACAGGATCGCATCACAGAATCACTTCGCCGGGCTCGAGGTCGAGGAGGGACAGGAGGAAGAGGTAACTGGCCAGGGCGAACAGGGACCGGAGGAATCGGGGGAGGAAGACGCTGGTGATAAGGCGGATGACGAGGACTCGGAGGACTCGGAGATGGAATCGGAGGCGGCCGCGAAAACGGAGGTCATCAAAATTGAAAGCGAGGACGAGTCGGTCTTGGAGGACTGCAGCGGATCCGATGGAGAGGTGATTGATGAGAATGAGGTGATGGCGGATGAAAGAGGTGAAACGGAAGGAGAGGTGGCTACGGAGATGGAGGAAGAGGAGGTGGCGACGGAGGTGGGCGATGTGGACGAAGCGAGGGGATCGACGAAAGCGGAGAATGCGGAAGCGACGGACTTAGGGGAAACGAACAGGCTGGACAATGACGACGACAGCGACGCCACAGCAACCGCCGCCACCGCTTCCCGCGAATCGACGCCGCATGAACCAACCCCACCTCTGTCACCCGAAACTCTCGCCAAGTCGCTACGCGAGGGGGAGGAGTGGGACAGGATCAGAGCTAACTGGGTTGAGCAGGCACGACTTGAGCGGGACCAAAGCATCGAGAGGAGGCTCAACGCTGAAACCCCTCTGGTGCGTCACAACTTTGCCACGTGGGACGAGGACGGTGAGATACGCTCCATCAACATCAGGGGGACCGCTGCGAAGTTCAAGAAGCAGGTGATGAAGAGGTCGCAGACTGCGGCGGACCTCAGTGACCCAAGTGACGAACCGACCGACGCCAAGCGAGTCATCATCAAAGGGAAGAGCCGCGTCGTGGTGAAGGATGGAATAGAGGGGCGGAGGGTGACGAGGTCGATGTCGGCGGCAGCGGCGATGCAGGTCGAGGTGACGAAGGTGGACAGAGGGAAAGGAAGAGGGGTAGCTGAGGAAAAACGATGGTCCGACCACGAGCCCGAGGACGATGTCCTGCCCGCCCTTCCCCTCTTTGAGGACGTCACCACCGCCAAGAGCGCCTCGACCTCGACTACCCATTAATGATCAAGCACACCATCATCACCTGGAACGTAAGAAGGGGCATGGGGGTCCCGGAAAAACGACGTAATATCTACACCTACCTTTCCACATTCAAAGCTTCCGCGATTCTCTTACAAGAGCATTTCATCAGACCACAATTCTGGCAGCTCATCAAGGACGAGTACGAGGGCAAGCTCTTCATCAACCAGCACTGCCTGACCCTGATCCCGGCCGACTCGCCCTTGATCGACGCCGAGCTCTTGCGCACCCACTCGGCACTCGACGGCCGGCTCCTCGTCACCTCCTTTCGTCTGCGGGGCGACATCAAAATTCTAGAAATCAATAACCTCTACGCGCCCGTTGACCCAAAACAAC